TCAAACTTCAAGAAATACTTTCCTAATCCATTTACATCTGCACTAACATAAGATCATAAATGTTATACTGAATAGTAATATTTGTAATTCTCAAGTTCCCAGCCTCAAAGCAAGGTTTAATTTTTATTCTTGTACTTAAATTTTAAATTTCTTTTTCTTAAATAACAAAAGCAAAAATAACAAAGGATACACTTCTTAACAAGCTATTGGCCAAAACTTCCAACTAATGAAAAATCTGTACTGAGTAATGAACATTTAACAACTGCCATCTGACTCTGCTTCAATCCACAAAAATAAGCCTATCAGATACATGTTTCCAGATCCTACACACACAATGACTTTCTTGAGAGGACAGTCTCAACACAGCAATGCAAGCTGCCAGGAGAGAAACCAGACCTGGAGTACCACAAGGAACCAGTATTGAAGAGGTCACAGCTGGCTTCTGGCTTCCGTCACGTACAGCCAATGATCCTGAGACTCAAAGATGCAGATATTCACAGCTAAAATAAAATAAACTGCAGTTTAAAGCAGAATCTACTGAGCATGATCCCACCCAAGAAACGAAATGACATGGCAACACAATCTCTCAAAACATTACAGAATGAATGAAAAACTGTACACATCACTGACAGTCCCGTTTTTGCTAAATGCCAGAGGACAGTCCTCTGAATTTTAAGGTGATTGCCTGGTCCCTTCTTAAGGGGAAGGCCTATGCAAGCTAAAAGTCCTAGACATCAAGTGGCTACCAATAATTCAGATCAAATTCTCAGATATTTGGCATCATCTGAATTCAGAGAGTATTTTTATACACATTTTTTTTCTAGACTAATTTGCTTTTCAGCTTCAGAAAAATGTGCTTAAGCTGTGTGTGTGTGTGTGTGTGTGTGTGTGTGTGTGTGTGTTCAGTCGCATCTGATTGTGACTCTCTGGACTGCAGCCTGACAGGTTCCTCTGTCCATGGAAAATTCCAGGCAAGACTATTGGACTGGGTTGCTGTTTCCTACTCCAGAGGATCTTCCTGATCCAGGGATCGAACCCACGTCTTTTCCACTGGCAGGCGGATTCTTTACCACCACGCCACTTGGGAAACCCCCACGCTTAGGCCATGCAAACAAACAAAAACAAAAAACCAAGGGAAAGAGAAAACTCAAACATTTTGCCCTGGTTAAGTTTATTAATCACAGAAAATGCAGTTCTATCTTATCGTCATGTTTTCTACAAGGAAACTTCTGCTCTTTTTTTGGACCTGGAGAACTGCTTTTCCTGACAGAACCCCCAGAACTGCAAACTTGTCCTTTGTCCTCGCTGTTTACCAGCCTTATCAGGGCACACACGGGTTGGCAATGTGATTCTAAGATAAAAATTTCAAAGATATAATTAGATGTTTTTCCGAGAAATAGCACCCAATGCCATGAAAATTTGTTTGCTCTCTTCTCCTTCAAGCTTGAAGATAAAGGTCTCACAATTTCTTGTCATTCTTTCAGATGAATGAGGAACATTACCTTGGCACTGAAGGAAAAACACATACTTTAAAAGTGAACACTAGTGAAAACACAGATTGGATCTCAAAACTTCTGTGACACTTCAATCAACATAGTTTTCTGTAACAACACACTTCCCTAAAGCTTATAACAGTGTAAATATAATGAAAATAATGTTATGCCCCTGAATTTAACTATAAATGAGAAGTGATAGAAAGACATAGTCCAAGCTGAAAAGTAAGTAAAGAAGAAAGTATTGGTTGCTCAGTCATGTCCGACTCTTTTTGTGATCCCATGGACTGTAGCCTGCCAGGCTCCTCTGTCCATGGGATTCTCCAGGCAAGAACACTGGAGTGGGCTGCCAAGACCTTCTCCAGGGGATTTTCCTGACCCAGGGGCTGATCCGGAGTCTCCTGCACTGCAGGAATATTATTTACCATCTGAGCCACCAGGAAGTCAGGGAAGTCCCAGTTAGTGATACATAAGCTTTCTCACAGTGCCTTTCAGATTCATTAGTTCAAATCTGAACAAAGGGGAAAAAAGGAGAGAGGTAGAAAATCACAGATGCCTATTTTCTAAGCTGCTGTAGACTATTAACCCAGTGAAAGAAGTGCTGAGAAAAAATCTCAAGTTTTCTACTGAGCTCCATCTTTCAGTTCAGTTAGGCATGCTCAGTCATGTCTGACTCCTTGTGACCCCACGGACTCATTGTAGCCCACCAGGCTCCTCTGTCCATGGAATTTTCTAGTCAAGAATACCGGACTGGGTTGCCATTTCCTACTCCAAGGAGACCTTCCAGACCCAGGGGGACTGGGTTGCCATTTCCTACTCCAAGGAGATCTTCCAGACCCAGGGATCAAACCCAGGGCTCCTGAATCTCCTCCGCTGGCAGGCAGAGTCAAACTCCATCTTTGCTAGAGACCAAAAAAACCGGTTTGGGGGGAAAAAAAGTCGTCTACTGCCACCTGCTGGTAATTTATAGTCAGTAGTTCTCAAAGATGCTTGAATGGCATAAATACCAGATTAAAGCAGAATCTTTTGCCTTGTAAAGCAAGAATATTAGATACAATATATGTTTCTAGAAACAGAGACAGACTACCACATTCTCCTCATGCTGACTGCCTCCCTCACTGAAACACTGTCCTGAAAGGAAGTCAGAGGCCACTACATTTCCATTCTGCCCTTTCCCACAAGTCATTCAACTTAGACCAGAAATAAAGTCTTTAAAACCAAACAATCTTGGCAGACCTGCCTGCAAAAGATTCACAACTCAAACTCTTGAGGTCAGCTAGAGAAATTTTATTCTTTTAGTCAAAGGACCACAGGTCAAACTGTATTTTTTAAGACTTCTCTATAAGAATATGAACCTTGAGTTTATGATAGAGGATTCAAATGAGAGATCTAAGAAAGGACCTGAACCCCCCTCCCGCCCCCCGCCCCTGCAACAGACAAGATTCTGTAACTACAGATATAAACATGATTTTAAAAATCCATAAAAGAAAAGGCAGGCCCAAGTTCCTACAGTCAGTTCCATTTCTATTTTTGGAGAATCTAAGAAATTTTCAAAGGCTTAGCGAAAAGGTTTTAAGGGAGAAAATTATTCTCTTTATTTTAGGGAGTATATTTAAAAATTAAAGTAGATGGGTAAAACATTTTGAGGAAAAAGAACGTTCTATCAAAAACCTATCAGCAATCCTCCTGCCAAAAATAAACTACGGACATTATGTTTTAGTTATCCCATGTCACAAGTCATACACTGCAGGGTTTTCATGCCACACTGTTTTATCTCTTCTAAAAATATATTGAAAAACATGGATTTGACTAACCACTTTCTCCAAAATTAATGTTAAGTGCAATGTGAATCAGAAGGCAACATCCCAAGATATAAATCCTGAGTCTTCTTTTTCACATCCCTAGACATGAGCAAATTTGTCTGCTAGGACACTGAAGAGTTGTCTGTAATTCTATGGTTCTATAATTAAGACTTGTACAAACTTTGCTGCCAAAAAATCACCAGAGTGGGTGGTGAATACAGCCAAGTAAACGCTAATTATGGAAGGCGGGTTTTCTAAGATCTTAAATACAAGAAGCAAAGGCAAGATCAGACAGCTAAGATAGTTACCAAGGCAATATAAATAGCCTTGTCAAACTCAGTGTAAACCCCCCTTTGGTAACAGCTGTTACCTCGCATAGTTCATAGGTACTTTAAAAGCACAATCTGGTATCTTCTACTTAGAATTCAGCAGTTAATTGTTCCCTAAAAAAGAGAGTTAAGAAATTTACTCATGTCATTTTCATTCCTGGAGCAAAAAAGGCAAGAGAAGGCCAGTGTTCCAAATAATTTTCCATTTTATGTTTCAGCCCCTCTTCTAATAATATTTTTAAAAGTTCTGCCTGGAATTCAGTAGAATGCCATTAGCATCTTAAAATGCATGCAAATTCTAAGCATACAGCACAATAAATTTACATAAATCGAATCATGCATACACCAGCAAGGAATCAGGAAACAGCATTTTCTGCACAGTAGAAGTGTACCCACCATCCAAAAAAGAGGAAATTTTATAAAATAGTGTTACCAAGTTCTCTCAATAATAACACTATATAGTGTATCCTTACAATCTAGAACTGTAATTACAGCCTTCAAGTAGAAGTGATCATGCTTTTTCCTGTTTACTTATTCTTACGTCTATGCCCATCTCACTGCTAATCAAGAAGCTGTGGGAACTTTTCATTTGAGCTCAGCCCAAATATCACCTCCTCTAGGAAGACTTTCTTAACCTTCACAGAAAAATTAAGTCCTCACGTATCTTCACATATAGTCTGTGTCTACGCTTATCACACTGCATTAGAGTTATCTGTATACACATCTACTGTTTTAGACTGTGAGTACCTTATGGACAGAAAAGGCATTTAATTTCATCTTGATCTGCCTTCTGGGCTTTAAATACTAGATGGTTTAAAACGCATGCTAATGAATGACTCAGTGTTTTTCACATTATTTCTTCTGCCATAGACAGCTTGTCAAAAAAGAAAGGTCTACCAAATTATATTCTATAATACTAAATGAAGCAAAATATATTATCCAGATGTCTTAAAGTACGTATCATCTTAATGCCCGCCACATAAAGGATCTATAACACAGCATGTTTTATTCAGATTAAACTGAAATGTGCTAATTTTAATATATTATATTAAATATATTATATATGTATTTACAATATATTTACATGTATAAATTGCCAACATTATGCTTCTTAACAGGCAGCAGCTATTTTCTTTGTTAGCGGTGATATCAAGGTAATTATCTGAAGAAGAGATAAAGGAGCTCAACAATGTTACACTGCTTAGACCTGACGCTCTCATTTGCTCTTACGGGTCTCCTTCCTCATTCTTCTCCACTACAAAACTAAGCGAGCCTATTTCAACTAGGGTGAGATTAAATTTTACTTAGACACTCAGCCCAAGGATCACAGAAGAAATGAACACTGCATCAAAGTGGGAACTCCCACGTTCTCCTACCTGTGTACCCACGCTGGCTGCCAGCATGTGAGTCAGAAGTTTAGCCGCAAACATGGAATGCCTAGCACAGAAGATGTGGGAAAGGACAGCCAGGCAGAGACCTGTAGGAACAAAAAAGCCCGTGTGCGGTTTTACAATCCACGAACAAACAGGAGCACGGTTAAATCTTCAGAAAAGGGAAGCGCAGTATCTTTGGGCTTACAACACAAGGGCACATAGCACAATATCTCTGGGGACGTCCATGTTTCAACTTCACCCCACGCCACTTGACCAGACTTACAAAATCCTCATACTTCTCAATTCAGCCCAAAGGGTAACTTTAAGTTTCAAATATCTACTTGTTTACTTCCCGACTAAAAAGAAAGCACAAATTAAGCTGATTAATAATTTCATTAAACTTTTCATTTTCTGTTTCCATCAGACAAGTGTTAACTGCTTAAGAATCAAATTCCATTCTAAATTCTCTAAGAATCGGTGCCTTGGCTAAAGGGATATATTTGTGGAGGTGAACAGGATTTTTCACCTAAAAACTCAGGTTTGGTAATTACCCCTTTTATCTACTAAGAATAGTTAGGCAATTACAAAAGTGGTGATTATGAATTTTAAAAGCAACATTACACTCCTGGGTGCCAAAACCAGGAACAAAATGTGTTCTTTCCCACCAAGGTGGTTTTTAACCCAAATAGCTACGCTTCTAAGTGGTGTGAAAAACATTATTCCTATCTTCTTTGAATCTACTTGAACTCACCTACCTGAATCTCAGGACTAACCCATAAAATTTTTTATCTTGCAATTTGTATACATTTATTTTAATATTAGTTTAAGATTTTGTATGTGGGCCATTTTTAAAGTCTTTATTGAATTTGTTACAATATTGCTTATGTTTTGGATTTTTGGCCACGAGATATGGGAGCTTAGCTCCCCAACTAGGGATTGAACCGACACCCTCCCTACATTGGAAGGAGAAGTCTAACCCACTGGACTGCCAGGGAAGTCCCTACTATTAGGTTTTAAATGCAGAATGTACACACATTTTAAAAGATTTCCTGACTTTTAAAAATTTAAATATGCTGCAAAAAGCGACATATTTGCTTTATCACTTATGCCTTTTACTCTACTCTCGTCCTCAGTAGGGTTATTTTGTCTAGGAAGTAATGACACATAACAACTGGCTTGTGTATGTTGCTTTGCCCTGTATTTTGCATGCATTATTTCATTCATCAATGGCCCCCTGGCAAATAGGAGAAGCTGCATTTATTTTGTTTCCTCATTATCTTTTCTGAAGCAATGGAACTTACATCACATGTTGGCATAAGTGGACTGGGCAGCTGCAAAATGCCCTCGTGGGGTCTGTGACTACTCGTCAGCACAGAAATGCCTCTCAGAAGTCCTTTTGGGAAAAGCTCTCAGTGTGTTTAGGTTTGCAAAAGGTAGACAAAGTTTCACACAGGAAGTGAGGCTCTGCATTAGTCAAGGCTTTCAGCCTAGAAATTTGGCCAAGAGATCCGGAGTAATCCATTTTTTTGGAAGACTGCCATGAGGCGTTCTGGGACAGGTGTGCAGGTCCTGAGGTTGCCTCCCAAATCCACCCACAAAGGTACACAAGTATACCCAGAAACTGCATCTTTGCTTAGGCAGCTTATCAACTATTGAAGCTGTTGTTCCAAACTCACTAATGTACACTTTGCATTTCTATGATGATCAGAGCCACCTTAAACTCAAAGTTCAAGTTGAGTGTGAGAGAGAGAGAGAGTGTGTGTGTGTGTGTATGTGCATGTAATACATTGACTTAAAAGCAGGGTCTTGCAAGTCTTATTTCATTGTAGGCCAAGTGACGACAAATACATGCTTTTCTGTGAGCTTACCGTGGTGGATGGTAACAATATGAGGCAAGGGGATTTGTGTTGGGCAAAGGAAAAATACTCCTGAATCAACTGTTTTTTCTAGTTCCCAAAAAGAGCTTATTCACAGCCTTTCCCCCTAACTTGGTAATTCTCCATTATACTCCCATTTTGTGATATAAATTTATTATACTTAAACTTGACCAGATCAAGAATATTTAATTAAGTCTACTAAGCTTTAATTAAAAATGCTAGCATGACACCTGGTGACAGTCCAGGATTCAAAGCCAGTGGCAGGAAAATGGGCTGGATTCTAACAGCCTGTAACTATAATGTATGATGTTATCTAAGTCCTTTTTTTATTTAGGAAAAAAGGATGCAGGGAAAAAAGCCTCAAGCAGCCTAGCCTCAGCTGACCTTGTGAGAGTTACTGCATACCTTAGATGTAAAGAAATGAATACTTTGGTTACTGAGTTCCTAAAGACTAATTATTTATCTTTTTTCTCATGATATTGAAGAGCTATATTTAGCATACAAAATTTAAATTTACAAGGCAGATTCTTTTAAACTAACAATTTTTTTTTGGTTTAAACTCCCTTAATATGTAAATCACATAGTACAAAAGTTAAATTCTAAAAGGAATTCTAAAAAATAAGGTATAACAAATCCAGGCATTACCTAAAGGTAAACTCTAAATAGTTTCTTAGAGATTGATTCCTTAGCAACTAGGCAGAAAAACAAACATGCAATTTATTAAGTAATCTTCATTTACTTTTTTTTCCTAGCACTATGTAGATTACAGACTTCACTGGAAAAAAAGTTAATCAGTTTACTAACACAAATGACTTTTCTATATGATTAGACATTAAGAGGGAAGATAAATTACCCTTAACAAAATAATATTGATAATCTTTGATTTAGATAAGAAAAACTCTAAAGAACAGCTAGATTCTTTTGTTAGTACCAAAGAGGACCAAAGATCTTGTTATCTATCTATACAATATTTGAATGTTTGTATGTGCATAAATATATGTAATGTTTATATATGAACATACATATCTAGTAAACAACTCTTGTTTGGTATCCCTTAAGAATGAGATATACTTTCAAAATAACTAAAGTTTATCCTCCAGAGGCGAATATTACATTTTTCCCATGAAAATTCCTTTAAAATATTTATAAATTCTATATTGTTTTATCATGTATCTCTGTCTCCTCTAAGCGTGAGTGCTAAGTCACTTCAGTTGTGTCTGATTCTTTGTGACCCTATAGACTGTAGCCTGCCAGGCTCCTCTGTCCATGGGATTCTCCAGGCAAGAATGCCAGAGTGGGCTGCCACGCCCACCTCCAGGGGATCTTTCTGACTCAGGGATCAAACCCACGTCTCCTGCACCGGCAAGTGGGTTCTTCATCACTAACGCCACCTCTATGGATAAACATTAAAAAAAAAACAAATGACCGCTAGATTATTAAATCAGATACTCACCTACTACCTTAGGTTTTTTTCTATTCCTCCACCTAATGCTGGCTGTAACTATCACCCTTTTAACATTTCTGTTGCTCATCTCTGCTAATTCCCAAATTCCTTCAACCCTCCCTTCAACACAATGCCCCTGGATTACAGCTACTGATAAGCTAAGGACAGAAAAACAAAAATATCAATCCAGAAGAGTTTACCAGGTTGAACAAAAGTCCATATGCCACATTTGACAGTACACAAGTTCTGTGTATCAGAGGGAAGAACTGACTCCAGAGGGATGAGGTTACCAGGAGACCAGCCTTCGGGTAACATGTGAAGTTCAGTACAATAGCCACTAGCCACACAGGGCCATGTAGATTTTAATTAATTAGAATTAAATAGAATTAAACATTCAGGTCCCAACTGTTCTAGCCACATTTCAAGGGCTCCATCACCAGATGTGGTCAGGAGCCACGCTTCCATCATCGAAGAAACAGTGGCTGGGGCCACTGTGTCAAACTATAAAGGGACTGTTTATAAAAGGCCATATAACACAGTTCTGGTCAGAGATGTGAGGGGAAACACTCTGGGTGGTTTTTGGCACAGTTTTCAAGGCTCTTAAAACAGGACCCACATAAGTGCTTTTCTCTTGGCAAGCCCAGACATCGCTGTGGGACGTTCAGAGCTGCCACAGCCAGCTCAAGACCATGCAGAGGCGAGGTGGAGAAAATAAAAGAAAACCTCTGAGGAGTGCGAAACAGAAACATGAGAAGAGGCTGGGCCCCTGATGATGCCACTGAGGTGCTGAACTAATCAGTCCTGGAACTGAATCTGCTTATTTAGTATGTCTGACTTGTCTTCGGTTACGTGCCAGCCCGAGTCATCCTAAATAATCCAGCTACATGTACCTAGCTAGATACATCCTACATTTTTATGCCATGTCAGAGTTAGACGAAGCTCTCTGACTTCTCTATCACCTGCAGTTACCCCTTCAAACTACTTATTTCTTTTTTAAAGCTCTTACACATCTCTCTCTATTCTACTTATGAATAACTCCCAATTTGATAGAATGAAACTTTTGATATACTCTCCCCATAATGATAATGGCTGTCTTAGGACAATGCTTCATGTGAATGTGAACTTAATATTTTGGGGCGAATGTGACACAGAAATTTAGAAAATATCTCATCTTCAAAAATAATTTCAAAAGAATGAGTGGCATCTAATAAAGTTTTTTTCTAGAAAAACTATCAAAATATCAGCTTATAAAATATAAAATTCACAACTAGAATATTCTTACAGCTTAAAGAAAGTGTTAGTAGCTCAGCTGTGTCTGACTCTCTACAATCCCATGGACTGTAGCCCGCCAGGCTCCTCCATCCATGGGATTCTCCAGACAAGAATACTGGAGTGGGTTGCAATTTCCTCTCTCCAGGGCATCTTCCCTACCCAGGGATCGAACCCAGTTCTCCCGCACTGCAGGCAGATACTTTACTGTCTGAGCCAGCTGGGAAGCCCTTACAAGTTTAATAAACCTGAACAAAAGAATGAGCATGCTTCAAAGAACTCTAGATTGTGCTGATTTCCTTATCCTGTAAACCTAAGTATTTAGTAATTTACAGACAATTATTTCCTGTTACCTACTTTAAACAATGACATTGTGTTGGCATTTATATACTTAGTAATCTATAAAGTAAATAAAACTATTAGTTATTTAAAAGGGAGAGCTTTAGTTTGACTAACGTGTTAAAGGATTTCTCCACCACAGAGAACAAAAAGAAAGAAAAAAAAATGAAACAAATGTGAGCTCTGCAGTCTAATCTCAGTTTAAAAGCACTTTAAAATAGAAGACTCTCCTACAGGTACATCAAACATGACCGAGTTCACATACTGATGTTAATGATGAAGTGGATTTTGGAATGCAGGGGTCTCATTAAGCTCATGAGGCCATACGAATTGTACCCAGAATAAAATCAGGATGATTTTAATCCGATGTCTACCTTTAACAGGCCAACATCAACAGGTAGGGAAAGCTGAGCAGGTTTCTTTTGACATTATTCTCCAAATAATAAGAAGCATGCTTAGGTTCCTTAGTAACTATAAGATTATGGTATTATCACCTAAAGTTGTTATGAGCTGTATTTCTTCCCCCTTTGAGGTGAGTCCCATAATGTTACACTTACACGCACAGTCATTTACTTCTTCTCTCTATAGCTTTTAGTTTCAATGGATAACTTCAGTTTAATTTCTTGCAATTTGATAAACTGGTTTACAGTTTTAAAAGTCACAGGTATATATCCTAATCTTTCACCTTTCTATATTGAGGATTACTCAGCTTCTTGGTTTACATACTCATTACACATACTTGGATCATTTCAACTGTTCTGCTCTAGTAGAGCAACCAGAACTGTAAACCAGAATTAGAACAGATACACTGTGATCTATCTTAATTTTTTTTATTAAACAATGGTTTAATTCCTATTTGACTACATGTTGCCACATTTCAAGAAAAGAGTTAGAATGCTCCCAAATTCAAAGGGATATTTGGTGTGGCCTAACTTAAATGAGAGCATGTGTATGTAAAATATGGAAAAATCTCTTGCCTTATTTCTGGGGGCCTTCCGAGAAATGTAATATCAGTCTCCCCAGAAACTGAAACTGAGCACAAAGACAGAACCGCCTCGTGAACCACCGAACGTGCAATCCATATTACAGTATGTCATGAGCAGACGGGGGGAAAAACTGATAATTTCAAATATGACTCCAAGTCAAAAATAACAAGATAGATACTAATATCTGGGTGTTGGTTTTCAAATACATGAGAAAATCTTTTTAAGAGTGAGTTGCAAACATATATATTTATTAACAGTTCTCTCAGAAAATATCTTAAAGTCCTGCTAGTCTTCTAAAAAATCAAGACAACATTCTCTCTTTAGTTTGTAAAATTCTTTGCTTTGATGTTGAGTATTTAGAGCAACCAAGGGATTCTTTGTGGGTCATATTAGCACTTAGAATTATGTCTCTATGTTTGAGATGATATCTAGATTTTATTTCAGCATTGTACCTTTTGGTTCTATTTCATCAGTCTATGAAATTTCTCTAAATAGATAGCATCAAAATAAAATAGGGTGTTGCCATCTGATTTTGAAGCCTAGAAGAATCTATTAAGCAAGAACCATCATTCTTTTGGAAGATGTTATTAAGAATAAGAAATTATTAACATCTGTTATTGAATCTAAGGTTTAGAATTAAGATACATTAAGGAAAATGTATAACTTTTAAATATTTGAACAACTAGGACAAAGAATATTAAATTACAGTGGAAAGATTTTAACAACCAGGACAAAGAAGGATAATTAATTACATGTTTCTACCTCCACAAAATTTTCCGAATCAATAAAGATTATTAGGGGACAGTCTGCACACTAAACATTCAATGATAACCACCTTTACATACCAAACATCACTAAGGCAGATGGTCTGAGCTAGTATATCTACCACCCTGTTAACACAATTTAAAATCAAGTATTTGGGGCGGGGAGACGGAGGTATTTGCCCTAAGTCTTGCAACTAGCCAGTGGCAGGACAAGGATTTGAATACAGGCACAGTTACCCTATACCCAGTTCTCTGTGTAGCTTACTGTTCATAAAAGCAGCTGTGGGGCTGTAAAAGCTGACTCGGGGCACAGAATCCATAGGATCGGGATAGAAATACAGTGTAAGGAATTCTCAGGCTCCCAACCACAAAGTAAAAACAGCAAATGAGAATAATTCTATAGCTGTTCAAAGTTTACTTATAGGTAAATCGTTGGACACACATTAACCCTACTCAAGTTTTTATTCTTGCCAGAAATGGGACCTAGATGTAGAAGGTGAAATAAAATTTATCTTTTAACATAGTAGTTGAATATACTTAAAGCTTCTAGACTGAAAAATGCAAATCAATCCATGGGGTAGGTTTATTTTTTAATGAAAATATAAAATGCTTTATTTATATTATCCCACGCAATCCTGCTATCTACTGCAGAATCGGCCTTCTAAATCAACACTATCAACTTTAACTCTTTTTTACTATCTAACTTCTATCTCACATTGTACTGGATATACACTGCTGACGAGCTGGAACTATATCTTGCTCTTGCCTTATCCCCAGTACAAAGTTGGTCCTCCATAAATAACGGCTGTATGAATTAATGAATAGGACCATGAGAGGGAACTTTCCTGGCCTAGTGGTTAAGACTATGTGCTTCCACTGCAGGGGGCATGGGTTCAATCCCTGCTCAGGGAACTAAGATCCCACACAATACACAATGCAGCCAAAAAAAGAAAATTAAAAACAAAAACAAAAAAGACCACGAGAAAGTTTATTTTCTTGTAATGCTGATGAATATCAGTACATCTGCATCTATATAAAAGGACCCTGGGAAAACTTTTATTCTCATCAATATTTTAAATTATTGACTCCAAACTAGTGTAACTCACCTGAAATACATATAAAGCCAGAAGAGAAAAAAGCTTCATTGTATGAAGACAAGTTGTCAGTCTGGGCGTAGACAGCGTACACAGACATGTATGAACAGGCACATTCCACGTAGTCTGAAGTGTCCTCAACCACTTTGCAAAACTGACTGTCGGACAACCAGCTAGAGCAAAAAACACAATCGTCACTACTCTTTCATCAATACTTAAGGTGTGGAGACGGCTTTTGAAGAAAAAATAATTTATTGAACCTAAGTGTTCTTTACTCAAGATGGAAGCAGACCACATGTTCAAGCAGAAACACTGGAGGGAACATCTTGTCCAAGACATGAAACAGCAGATCCCACAAATACCTTCAACAGCAGCCTAAATATTAACCAAACCTGCAAAAGCATTGTCACTATTGAAGAAGCTGACCCTCTAAACCAGCAGTGCTAGCCCCCACCTCATCTAAAGCAAACAAACTCAAGGTATTCAACAGGAAGTACTGTTCCCTAGCATTCAAGAGTACCAAAAGGTCAACACAGCCAAAAATGTGCAGTGTTCACCATTCCCCCCTTTTCACAACTCTTGTATTTTGAACCACATAAATTACCTGCTTGTCTAAGTACTTCCGTCCCCACCTGTTTGGATTTTGAGCCAATTACATTACATACATGTCTTCTTGGGTTTTTTTCGGGTGTCTCCTTCTATAAGGTTTGACCTTTAGCACCAAAAGTTTGTCACAATTATAGCAAACACAGTGTCACATGCCACACCTCTGAGCATCCTTTAGTGACTACTCTGCTCAAGAGCAGTCACTTCTAGTTCCTCTTGATCCCCTTATTTCTCTAAGGCCATGAAACTTCTTACCCGAACTGCAGATTCAAGCTTGAAACATTCACTATTAATTATACATTGAGGACTGTAGAGTATCTACGTATTAGGTTTAAAGTCTGTCCTCAGACATTAGGAATTTCAAAGGAAAATTATTTTCCCACACAGAGACTAGCCAGAATTTTGGTGTTTGAAGAGGACAGCTGGTTACCCAACTAGGCTGTGGAGTCTTATCAGAATTTTAGTTTGTGTGGCTGAAAGTAACAAAATCTAGTGACTGATCTGAACTCAAAACTCTCTAGGCCAGCCATGCCTGATCCTACAACATTGGCTGAGCTCCCAGGGAGAGAACTGCTCAGAAACATGAGGTCTGAGGCCAAGGGGAGTCAAAGGAAGAGTCGCTGTCTTCTTCCCCTTCTTGTGCCTGCTTTAATCCCCAAATGTGATCCAAGTCATACATGGATCAGAATTATGAATCTGTACTGATCCCTCCAGACATAGAGCATCAGATCCAGAACCACAAGTCCAGAGGGAAGGAGTCAAAAGAATTTCCTTAACTGTTCCATAAATTAACCTGTAACCAGAGGAAGGTTATCTGAACTGAGCAGAACTCACACTAAGTTCCATGAAGTCGTAATAAAAAAGGAGTTAAGTAATGAGTTATACACATGTTTAAATTGTTTGGCTGCATTTGCCACCTGCACCAGGCTAGACCACTTCCTACACTGCTTTGCCTCATTTAGTGTAGTGGTGATTCTCCAGTCTAAAAATCTCACTCCAGACGTTCAGTACAAAAAACTGGGCTTAATGGTACCAGAAGAAGGGACAAATTCTGATTTTAAAGAATTATTAACAAGTACCTCGCAGCTGCCGGGTTCCAAAGGAGACACAGAGGAGTCTGAGGAACAATTCTAGGCTCGGCAGCATAAATCCTGTAGAGAATCTCATTGTTGTTGGTCAGGGGTTGTGAACTCTGACCTTTCACACTCAAAGATAATACCTGTAATACCAGAAAGAACCGAAAATGTAACATCTTCAAATTAAATGTCAAGACTCCCAGTCTGAAATTTGCTTCATTTTTCTCATCATTTTTTGGCACTATTAATCATTAGCTTCCTTATGAATACAGGGCATCTGGTGGATTTTCCACTGCAGACCTACCTCACTCCAGCTACTGACCAGTCTCCAAGTGACAATATTCATTTTCAATGTCAGTCTTCATCAGGAGTGGGATATAGCTTTAGTGAAAGCTATGTGTTTTTTCCACTTTCTCATTTCATTCAATAAAACATGAAGGAAATATCTGCAACTATTTTTAAGCCCAAACATTCTACAAAGAGTTCATAAAGATGGGACATGTTTCATCATTAGCTTGCCATATGTAGCACTTACCTTAAGTCTGATCAAGTGCATGTATCCTAAGGAGCATGTTTGCAAAGGAAAAAGCAGATTCCAACTACATAATTCTTTAAATGATAGATTACCTTATTTTTCAGGGCATGGAAATTGTTTCCAGTCATAAACCACTGCTGGCTGTTATACTCTGTAAACTGGACTAATTCACATGTGCTTCTCCCGGCCATTATTTCTGCATCCAGAACATCCAATAACCTCTCTGGAACTCGAATATAATCACCTTCTTTTCCTTCAAACTTGTGCCCATTGATCTGCTGAGGGTACCAATGAAGAGCCAGTATGGACAAATATGGGCAGCTGTCAAGGATGGTTTTGCCTCTATGAGAGAAAAGCAAAGGTTCTGCTAAAATGGCATGTATTTGCATATGTATATCCATTCACATTTGTTAAAAATCCATTACATTGTTAAAAATCTATTACACTGGAGCTCTGTTCCTTATGTACAACCATGATACTACCTACCCAGAAGCAGTAAAGAGAATATGCTTTCAGTTCTTTTATGGTGAATTGTTAGGATGTTTTGCACAGAACTTTCTGTATCCTCTTGCCTGATCCCCCTTCTGATCTGAAACATGGGTTTCTGAAAGTTTTTTCACAGTTATCAGAATCTGTGCTATAAAAATGTCTATTTCTGTGTTAGTCACATCAGCATGGGAGGAATAGGGTGAGAAAGGATGCACCATTCAGCTGAAACTCTCTTCTTTATAATCAAGAGTATCACAAACCTTATATATCTACAGCCAAGTTCTCATCAAGTTCACCTCACCCTTTTCTAAGCCATCAGAGCATTTATAATTTAACCATGTCCCTGATAAAAGAAATGGCCCTGAATAGAATCTTTATCCATTTAATAATTCTGCTCACAACAACCCCGAGGCACTAGATCCTGTGCTCAGTGAATCTGCTTTTTAAACCTCAGTATGTGTTGAAATCACCTTGAAGCTTGTTTTAAAAATACAGATTTCTAGGGACTTCCCTGGTGGTCCAGTGGTTAAGACTCTGAGCTCCCAATGCAGGGCGCATGGGTTCAATCCCTAGTCAGGAAGCTAAGATTCTATAGCCAAAAAAAACCAAAACATATTTCTACATTACATCCAATTTTTACTAAATCAAAATCCTTGCCTAGGGGAGACTAGAGATTCTTTGAGTCTGTATTTTGTAACCAGTCCTCAAAAAAATCTGATATATGTTTTTCTGTGGACACATCATGTCTACAAATAATGAAAAGACACAAAGATAAATCACACTTGAAACCTGTCTGAAAAAATATGGAGAACAGTAGGATAAAGGTAAGTTAGATGGGCCATCAGTGATGGTGAGTATATATAACTGTATCATGGATACAAATACCTCATCAAGGCCCCTAACCTAGGAAATCGAGTTGAGAATTTTAAATAGAAGATTTGAGAAACAAAAGGAAAAGGTAAGGGCTAACTTTTTCCTCTAGCTATATACTCTTTTTAAAAAAATCTTTACCATATTTGAATTGATGCTTTTGAACACTTATCTTTAGTCCAGCCATTCATTCAGGCTCTAGACCTCTGCATCCAAAATGCCTATTAAAACATCTCAATCCATATAGGCCACCCACAACAGCTTATAAAAACTCATCTTTTCATCTCTCCATCTACATCTTCACTGGTGACTTGGAGCTAAAAGCTGCCACTGTTGACCTCTCCACCATGACCAGGTACAAACTGACTGAGACCAGTGAACCACTGTTGGTGGAAATGTAAGTTGGTGCAACCACTATGGAAAATATTAAGGAGGTTCCTCAAAAGGCTAAAAACACAGTTGCCATATGATCCAACAATCCTACTGCTGGGCATATGTCTATAAAAAACTATAATTCAAAAAGATGCACGAACCCTTATGTTCATAACAGCATTATTCACAATAGTCAAGACATGGAAGCAACTTAAATGACCATCAACAAATGAATGGATGAAGAAGATGTAGTACATACATAGCATGGAGTACTACACAGCCATAAAAAAGGAATGAAATTATGTCATTTGCAGCAACACAGATGGACTCAGAGATTATCAAACTAAGTAAATCAGAAATAGAAAGACAAATACTATATAATATCACTTATAATATCACATATGTGGAATCGAAATGACACAAATGAACCTATCCACTAAACAGACTCAAAGACCTATGGTTGCCAAAGGTCAGGGGAGGGATGGGATGGGGGTTTGGGGTTAGCAGATGCAAACTATTCTCGTACAGAATGCATAAAAAACAAGGTCCTACTGTATAGAACAGGGGTTATATTCAACATCCTGTAATAAACCATAAGAGAAACGAACATGAGAAGAATATATACGTGTGTATAACTGGATCACTGTTCTGCAGAGCAGAAACACAGCATTGTAAATCAACTATACAGCAATTAAAACCATTTAAGTGAATTTCTGACACATGCTAGAGCATGGATAAAACCTGAAGAAACGTTATGCTAAGCAAAGTACAGCAAACACAAAGGACAAATATTACATGATTCCACTTATGAGATGGCTAGAATAGGTGAATTGAATAGAGATTAAGAAGTAGAATAGAGGTTACCAGGACAGAGGGAAGGAGGAATGGAGAGTTATTAATGGGTAGAGATTTTTAATTTGAGAGGATGACAGTTCTGGATATGCATCCTAGGGATGGTGACCCAACAATCCTGAATATACTGTGTCACTGAATTGTACACCTGAAAACAGTTTGAAAGTGAAAGTGTTAGCTGCTCAGTCATGTCCAATTCTTTGTAACCCTATGGTTTGTAGCCCACCAGGCTCCTCTGTCCATGGGGTTCTCCAGACAAGAAAATTGGAGGGGTTGTCATTCCTTCTCCAGGGGATCTCTCCCACCCAGGAATTGGACCCAGGTCTGCCTGCATTGTAGACAGATTTTTACCATCTGAGCTACCAGGAAGTACAGAAAAATAGTTTAAATGGTAAAATCTGTCTTATGTATACATTACCACAATTTAAAAAATGGCCTGAAATAATTTAAAAGTTGGAATCATCCTTTTTTTTTCCATTCAGAATGTATCTTCTACTCATTATATAAAAAAGAGTAAATAACAAGACGTTTTATTTTTAAAAGACCCTTCAAAACAAGAAGAATATATTACTGACAGTATAAATTAATTTTTTCTGGATGTAGTTTCTATGTTTTCTTCAAATAATTAACTTAATTTGCCCATCAGGTACAATTCATTGATTGTATAAGCCTTAGTTACATCATCAAAATGTCAATTTGCATTCTTATTACTTTCTACCCTGTAAAGGAATACATTTAAGGTATAGTATTATATTAAAAGATACTTACTTTTCACCAGGAGAGCCACAGGTAACATCAGTCAGTAAAGAAAAGGCAAAACTCTCCGTCACTTCAGTAAAGTGACTGAATCCCCTAGTGTCCTTGCGTTTTGGGTTAACAAGAGCACAAAGGATCTCATAGAAAAGATTTCGGCTTTCAATGCTTAATGCTTGTTTTCTTCCTTCAACAGTTATCTGGAAAAAAAATCCCAAGTATGAAACTGTATCTTAAAAAATCAACTGCTTAAATGATACATAAGGTATAATGTGTTCTTTGGACCAGTTACTAACATTAACAAAAATAAACATGAACCTATGAGGAATATGAGTAGTGTCAAAATTATATTTGACATTTAAATGTCAAATACATTTGAACTTTAAAAAGCATAATCATTTTATAAAGAGAAGGCATCGTCACAAAAATATTTTGTATATAATATCTAGATAAAGCTCCAAAGGATTGCATGGGTCACTTAATTCTAAATGCAAAAATAAATACCATGAGTCAAAATTGAACTCACTTTTACATCTATCCCAATTCATACAGCCTTATGAAAGACATATATAGCATAAAGCAGATTCTAGTTCAAAGAACTGAGAATCTGGGAGATAATAAAACTTAAAAACATGAGACAATTTTACTTAAAATATGAGACCCTATAGAGCAAAGTTCTATCAGCAATTGGAAATCCTATCCTATACTTCTGAATCTAAGTACATATGAAATACATATGGGACATATGAATGTATACCAGATAAAGTAAAGGTGATTCTATTTGAATTTCAGATAATCAGTCAATAATTGCCTGATATAAGTATGTTCCAAATAGTGCTTGTAAATAAAAATATTTATTTTTATCTGCAATACACTTATACTAAAAAATACATTGTTCATCTGCAATTCAAAGTTAATTGGCACCTCATACTTTATTGTTAAAATTTCAACCCTATATTTTCAATGCTTGTTTCATTATTGTCATATTCTAATTATTATATGTCTAAATTGTGAAAACATGTCACATTTTATGGATATAGCAGGCCCCTTTTAATGGCTAGTTTTCCCAATTCTTGTTATTATAAGTAATGCTTAAATACTCATTATACAGGTATTTGTACAAATATTCCCCACACCTATTAGGCACCATTTTTTTTAGTTTTTCCCTCCAGTTTTATTGGGATATAATTGACTATAAATATTGTTGTTGTTGTTGTTGTTGAGATGCTCAGTCATGTCCGACTCTTTGTGACCCCATGGACTGCAGAACGCCAGGTTTCCCTGTCATTCACCACCTCCTAGAGACTGCTCAAACTCATGTCCATTGAGTGATGCCATCCAACCATTTCGTTCCTTGTCGTCCCCTTCTCCTCCCGCCTTCAATCTTTCCCAGCATCAGGGTCTCTTCCAATGAGTCAGCTCTTTGCACCAGGTGGCCAAAGCACTGAGTACTGGAACTTCAGCTTCAGCATCAGTTCTTCTAGTGAATATTCAGGGTTGATTCCTTTAGGATTGACTAGTTTGATCTCCATGTAGTCCACGGGACTCTCAAGAGTCTTCCCCAACACCACAATTAAAAACTATCAATTTGATCTCCATGCAGTCCACGGGACTCTCAAGAGTCTTCCCCAACACCACAATTAAAAACTATCAATTCCTCAGCGCTCAGCCTTCTTTATGGTCCAACTCTCACATCCACACATGACTACTGGAAAAACTATAGCTCTGACTATATAATTGAGGTGATTTTGATCACCTTTTGATTTTTCTTGTGGTATATGTAAAGAGAAATTTTGTTTAAACTTTATGTGGTCAAGTTTATCAATCATCTCCTTTATGACTTCTGCATTTTTATATTTAGAAGGAACTTCCCCAATATAAACTTTTATATTAAAAGTGATTCATCCATGCTTTCTGCTACTACTTTCCTGGTTTCAGCTTTACAGTTAGACCTCTGACCAGTCTGGGATTTATTTTGGAGTGGGTTTAACATGGAGATACAGCTAATATTTTACTTTCAAATGGTTCAATCAGATGTATCAACACCATTTACAGAATAATAACTACTGCCTCTTGAGAAATCTGCATGCAGGTCAAGAAGCAACAGTTAGAACTGGACATGGAACAACAGACTGGTTCCAAACAGGGAAAGTAATATGTCAAAGCTGTATATTGTCACCCTGCTTATTCAACTTTTATGCAGAGTATATCATGTGAAATGCCGGGCTGGATGAAGCACAAAGTGTAATCAAGATTGCCAGGAGAAATATCAATAACCTCAGATATGCAGATGACACCACCCTTATGGCAGAAAATAAAGAAGAACTAAAGAGCCTCTTGATTAAAGTGAATGAGGAGAGTGAAAAAGCTGGCTTAAAGCTCAACATTCAGAAAACTTAAGATCATGGCATCCAGTCTCACCACTTCGTGGCAAATAGATGGGGAAGCAATGGAAACAGTGACTGACTTTATTTTTGGGGCTCCAAAATGACTGCAGATGGTGACTGCAGCCATGAAATTAAAAGACGCTTGCTTCCTGGAAGAAAAGCTATGACCAACCTAGATAGCATATTAAAAAGCAGAGACATTACTTTGCCAACAAAGGTCCGTCTAGTCAAAGCTATGGTTTTTCCAACAGTCATGTATGGATGTGAGACTTGGACTACAAAAAAAGCTGAGTGCCAAAGAATTGATGCTTCTGCACTATGGTGTTGGAGAAGACTCTTGAGAGTCCCTTGGAGTGCAAGGAGACCCAACCAGTCCATCCTAAAGGAATTCAGTCCTGAATATTCATTGGAAGGATTGACGTTGAAGCTGAAACTCCAATACTTTGGCCACCTGATGCAGAGAACTGACTCATTGGAAAAGACCCTGATGCTGGGAAAGACTGAGGGTTGGAGGAGAAGGGGATGACAGAGGATGAGATGGCTGGATGGCATCACTAAGGTGATGGACATGAGTTTGGGTAAACTCTGGGAGTTGGTGATGGGCAGGGAAGCCTGGCATGCTGCAGTCCACAGGATCGCAAAGAGTCGGACACAACTGAGCAACTGAACTGAACTGACACACCCACCTGAAATGTCACTTTTATCGTATACGAAATTTTCATATGTAATTGGATTATATCTTCACTTTCTGTTTTATTCTACTAATCTGAATATCTGTGACAGCACCAGTTCATCCTGTTTTAATCACTATAACTTCTTATTTTCATATTGAGAAGAATAAGGTCCCTATCATTTTTCATCTTTTTCATAAAATTTCTGATGCATGTTCTCCCAGGTGAACTCATCATTTTGATTAATTTTAAAAAACCCAAAAGACTTTACTGATATTTTGATAGTACTAATATCCTAAGAAAGGCAATCCCAAAGAATGCTCAAACTACCGCACAACTGCACTCATCTCACACGCTAGTAAAGTAATGCTCAAAATTCTCCAAACCAGGCTTCAGCAATACGTAAACCAAGAACTTCCAGATGTTCAAGCTGGTTTTAGAAAAGGCAGAGGAACCAGAGATCAAATTGCCAATATCCGCTGGATCATCGAAAAAGCAAGAGAGTTCCAGAAAAATATCTATTTCGGCTTTATTGACTACGCCAAAGCCTTCGACTGTGTGGATCACAATAAACTGTGGAAAATTCTGAAGGAGACGGGAATACCAGACCACCTGACCTGCCTCTTGAGAAATGTGTATGCAGGTCAGGAAGCAACAGTTAGAACTGGACATGGAATAACAGACTGGTTCCAAATAGGAAAAGGAGTACGTCAAGGCTGTATATTGTCACCCTGCTTACTTAACTTATATGCAGAGTACATCATGAGAAATGCTGGGCTGGAAGAAGCACAAGCTGGAATCAAGACAGCCAGGAGAAATACCAATAACCTCAGATATGCAGGTGACACCACTCTTATGGCAGAAAGTGAAGAGGAACTAAAAAGCCTCTTGATGAAAGTGAAAGAGGAGAGTGAAAAAGTTGGCTTAAAGCTCAACATTCAGAAAACTAAGATCATGGCATCTGCTCCCATCACCTCATGGGAAGTAGATGGGGAGACAGTGGAAACAGTGTCAGACTATTTTTTTGGGACTCCAAAATGACGGCAGAAGGTGACTTCAACCATGAAATTAAAATACGCTTACTCCCTGGAAGGAAAGTTATGACCAACCTAGATAGCATATTAAAAAGCAGAGCCATTACTTTGCCAACAAAGGTCCGTCTGGTCAAGGCTATGGTTTTTCGAGTAGTCATGTATGGATGTGAGAGTTGGACTGTGAAGAAAGTTGAGCACCGAAAAATTGAAGCTTTTGAACTGTGGTGTTGGAGAAGACTCTTGAGAGTCCCTTGGACTGCAAGGAGATCCAACCAGTCCATCCTAAAGGAGATCAGTCCTGGGTGTTCACTGGAAGGACTGATGCAGAAGCTGAAACTCCAATACTTTGGCCACCTCATGTGAAGAGTTGACTCACTGGAAAAGACCCTGATGCTGGGAGGGATTGGGGGCAGGAGGAGAAGGGGACGACAGAGGATGAGATGGCTGGATGGCATCGCCGACTCGATGGGCATGAGTTTGAGTAAACTTCGGGAGTTGGTGATGGAAAGGGAGGCCTGGCGTGCTGCGATTCATGGGGTTGCAAAGAGTCGGACACGACTGAGCGACTGAACTGAACTGAACTGAATACTCCATTTATAGGTTAATTTATAGAAAACTGTTGTCTCTATGTTATTGAGCCTTCCCACTGCTGAACAAGTTATAGATTTCTATTTTTTCAAGGCTTCTCTGTTAGTAGAAATTTTCAGTTTTCTTGATATAACATATATTTTAATGTATAATATTATTGAATGATGTCAGTTACTTGAATCATCATATTTAAGTACTGACATACAAACAGCTTCAAGAAAACAATATGCCATAACATTGAAAAAATTTAGTAACAATAACATGATTTGAAAATAATCAGAGCACAGGCAACTTCAGTGGAAATAAAATCATTTTAAGAATACAAATAATGTTTTCTACTTGATCTTATAATATTTTAGAACACTTCAAACATATTTCATGCCTCTAATAATTGCCAAGTTACCTATTCCACATAAATTGTTTTAATATATGAGAACTTATACTGTTTATTAATGGTTACTCAAAAAAAAGTTAATTACATTTTTTCCATAGGATCTTCTTTCATAATTCAGTTTCATTATTCATGACAGATTCAAAAAAAAAAAAAAGAATCAAGATGTACTACCTGACAGCTCCAGTTAAATATGTGTTGATTCTCAACCATTAATATGTAGCTTTTTAATGTATCTTTTCTAAAATACAGTTACTGTGCATTCTTTCCCTCTTCATAGCCTAAATCAAATTGCAATTGTACTATACTATTTCATCATTAGAAAATTTAAGTAACATCATTTCCTACAGTAAATTCTTTCCAATAGCCAGGAGGAACAGGGAACAAGCAAAGGGCAACAGCTTCATAGCACTTCAACTAGAAGAGCCATATAATCTAGTCCGAGTCCTCATTTATGGACTTAGAAAAACTGCACATTATCTCAGAAGATGTCCATGCAGTTTCCAGAAGTATCAGCAAGAGCCTGGAGCTTCTGACCTCCGAAGCCTCTTTTCAGACACCAGTCTGTCCTTACTGCTGCAGTAGAGAACTCATCCTTCTCTGAACTTCCAAACCAGCACCAGTCCCATCCAAGCAAAACACAGGGTCAGATATGGTGAACTCCACTCTGAGATTCAGAAATTCGACTCTACCATATAAATTCATCATAACTGATATGATAACCACATGTGGCTTTGGTCTTTTAAAAAAGTATGAAACTGCTAACACCCGCAAGGGCTTCTTACCTTGTCTATTAAATACAGCACGGCGCTGAGCTGTTCATCCGTGTTCTCCGTGGCCACTTTCACGCTGACGCCGTGGAGCACCCTGTTGAGAATGTCGCCGTCCAGGGGCTGCTGCAGCTGATCCGCGAGCCCCCAAAAGGCCTGAGAGTCCGCGTCGGAGACGAGAGTGATGTTCGCGGTCCCGTACACTTTATCAACTCCGGCACCCCCTTTCGCGTCAAAAAGCATGATCTGGAAGCGTTTAGGAAATGGATTTAAAGACCCTGTCTCTGGCGTGAGGATGACGTCCAGAACAGTGGTTCTCTGGCCAGGCTCAAAGATCAAGATGCCTTCGGTTCTCACAAAGTCTTTCCCAGAAATAGCTGGAGATATGAGAGTACGACCGATGGTCTCGGCACTTCTCAACTCCTAGAAATTAGACAACACCACTTAAGTGAAACTATAAACCTCTGATCTCGTCCAGAACCAATTTTCTCTTAAACAATCTGATGGGCCACAACACTGGTATTAAGACAGGTGTTGCTTTAAATTTATAGTTTGAGTCCACATTAGATTTTCTCCTTCTATGGGAGTGTTCTGGCCTGGAGGATTCCATGGACGGTATAGTCAGTCAATGGGGTCGCAAAGAGTCGAACACAACTGAGTGACGTTCACTTTCACTTTTCACTATGAACCCTCATCAATCTTGTCCTCCAGTGTTAATGTGGCTATATTTCCTTAAACTACACAAATGTCAGATTTTTAATCTTTGGTAATTATGATATTACAAAGAAGTTGCCTTTTTTCCTTTTATTGTTCAGCTCAGTCACCTTCACATATGCTTTAATCCTTACTAGTCACTTGTGTTATTTCCTTTTCTTCTTTCTTTTTCCATTTCCCTTGATAAGTCAAAGTCTTTTCTACTGGTGTCTAAGAACTCATTTATGACTGAGAATGTTAACCGTTTGTCACGCAATGCAAAGGAAACATCGTATTTTATTTTTTGGCTGCTCCAGCTCTTAGTTGCAGTACGTAGGATCTCCATCTCCATGGTGGCACGCAAGACCCTCAGTTGCAAAATGCACTCTCAGTCGTGGCATGCAGGATCTAGTTCCCTGACCAGGGATTGAACCCAGGCCCTCTGCATTGGGAGCTCAGAGTCTTAGCCACTGGTCCACCAAGGAAGTCCGGAAACATTGTATTTTATTGTCATCAATTTACTATGGTGTTTTGTCTTTCGGTTATGTATTAAAATATAACCATGTTGTATTTTTTAAAATTTTTTTTAAAAATAAAACATGGAGTTTTTTAATTTTTCTAATCTCCCAAGACAAATTAGAGAGATAAATACACATCATTCAGTGATGAGGTTAGGAAAGCTAGATGCCTTAGAATAGATCAAGAACTCAAGAAGAAAGGCCATAACTGCCTCACAGAACTTCTCCAGTTGTGAGCTGACTAACAATCTGAAGATGTATGTGTCAGATCACATATGTCCCTGATACAAAGTGTGGTAGGAAGTCACTGGAGGATTCCAGCAGGAGAGTGACATACTTTATTTCATATATTTGGGAGCGATCTGGCTCCTGTGGACAGTTAGGCTGCAGCAAGGGGAGAGGATGGAAGCAGGGAGAAAAGATAGGAGATTTTTACATTAGTTCCTGCAGAAAAAGGAAATGATGGTAGCTTTGGTTGTAGGAGGAGAGAGGGTGAGAAGAGCTCAGACTGGGAATATATTTAGAATGTAGAGTCAGCAGGACTTTCTGATTAATTCAGTGCTGTATGCAAAAGAAGAGGAGAATGAGGATAACTCCAAGCTATTTGCCTGGATGAATGGTAGTAAGCTACGGGAAATATCACCAAGGGTGAAATAAGAGTTATCCATTATATATATGTCATATATCTTAAGCTTGAGATGATTTTTAGACAATTCAAATGAAGATGCCAAGTAACAGCAATCAGATAAATGAGTCTGGATCTGGGGTGGTGAAGACGTTAGTGATAAAAATTCAAGAGTTCTCATTTTACACAGGATATTTAAAGAAAACAGGTGGGCATGGTCTAGCCTACAGAGGAAGTATAGATGGACCCTGAGATTTATTGGTCAGAAAGACTAATACAAGCAACAGGAAGGGGCTGCCAAAGAGAAAAGACTTAACAGTGGGAAAGCGTGGTGCTCCAGATGCCTAAAGGAGAGCTGGCTTCCAGAGGAGGAAGTGCCCAAGGGTGGCAAAAAGTGAAAACTCAGTGAACATACAGGGTTTTCAAGAGTCTCTGCAGCATAATGGTGGGAGGTCAGAGGAAAGACTAAAGGAGGCAACACAAAAGTCTACTGGCTTCAGAATGGAGAAATTAAACTACTCATTGAGATAACCATATAGGAGTCAAAATGAAAGAACTACATACATTAGCACAGGCGTTTCTCAGAAACATACTGCTGAACAACGAAAGAAAGCACATCGTGAGACAATACTAGAAGAATCTCATCTCCATAATTACCAAACAGGTAAACTTAAAAGGCATATGGTATGTGGTAAAACTATAAATAAAAGCAAGGTAGTAATTCATCGTGTAATTCAGGATAGAGGTTATCCGCAAGATGCCGAGAAGTTATCCTCCCCTCTCAGGATGGCAGAGAAGGTTCATGGCAACTAGTGCTAAGCATCTGATAAAGCTGCATTTTCTAAGCTACGTGGTGGTGATTTTATTACTGTAAATTGCACATACACATTATGCTCACTGTTTTCTGGTAGAATTTATAGAATTTCACAATATAGACGTTTAAAGGAACTAGAACAATCAAAATGTTCTCATGTTTGTAAAATACATGTAACAAACACAAAGAAGCACTATGCAATTTAAAAGCAATAGTGAAAATCAACAGCTTTTGGTGGAATAACCAGTGTAAGAATAAGAAGGAAAGATACTCTTACTGGTACACACACACACAAATGAAATATCTGGAACTGGTTTTCAAACTTGGCTTAGCTACAGGCCTATTTAATTTAAAGATAACTGGAATGAGTGATATTTTCATTATCTCAAGTCCTTATATCCTTCACCTTTAGATCAGAAATATGGAGATATATAGGAATTTATAGTATGTACATACTGGGAATGCTGACCTACTGAAGATAGGTATATTGCAGGTATACTACAGCTATTAACTACATTATTAAAAGCTGTTTAAAGTAAAATCAAGAATAGTATTACTGTTAACAGAATAGCAACTTGGTCCCTAATAGCAACTTGGTCCCTAATAGCAACTTGATCCATAATTATTTTCTCATACTTGCTAGCTACTGGAAAATTGAATTATATGACTTTCTCTTCTAACAATATGCCCAGCATTCAAAGACAGAAAATTCAAGAGCGATGAAGCAACAGGAAAATAAATAAATGGCTGATTCATGTCAATGTATGACAAAAACCATTACAATATTGTAAAGTAATTAGCCTCCAACTAATAAAAATAAATGAAAAAAAATCAGACCAGAGAGGTAAATTTTTTCTTTCTAATTTTTAAAATTAAAGCTTGTATTTTGACACAATTACAGACTCGCATGCACTTATAAGAAATATAAAAGAAAAAAAGAAAAAATATATATATAAAAGAGTGGTCTCCTCTACCCTTTCCTAACATCCTTCATAGATATTAATAACAACTTGCATAATTGTATCACAACCAGGATATGAATGTTGATATAGTCAAGATACATTTTCATCACCACAGGGCTCCTCTATGTTGATTTTTATAGTGCTATTAAAATGCTATGAGTTACATGCTAGTGACAGCATGTGTTTTACAAGATCATTTGTGAATAATCTAGAAAGAACATAACTGAGTATGATAGAGATATTGGCATTCAGATTCTTCTTTTGGCATTTTCAACTCCCCTTTCAACTGAGTGTATGAACTAGTTTAAAATAAGTCTCAAATCTTTTTTTTTATCACTTCTTCCACTCTTCTGCCCTACAAAGTAGAGAGCATATGATGATATATATTTCATGGGAGAAGAAAGAACACATATTTTTTTTCTCATTTCTCTTACCATCTTAAATGCTTAAAAGGAAAAATGCTAAAATCTCCCAATGAATCAAAATACTTCTTTTCATGCTCATACCACTGCGGGCTATTTAGAATGGAGTTTATTTCGAGAGTCTCATATGATAGAGTTGCATCTTCTGGCTTGCCAAGCTGTAGACTCTGTTAAAAAGACAACTTTTCTTCCTGGCAAGCTTCCAGGACAGCTCACTACCCACAGCTACCGTCCTCACCTCCAATCCCTCACTCACAGGATTGCTACAGCAAACTGGTGGCACATCTGCTGTATCTCATGCACAGAATGTTCTGCGCATTTGAGCCACCCAACAGTAACACAACTAGCACACACTAAACAACACGTGGCATAAAAGCACAACTTAGAAACCTTGAGGCCTAAAGTATCACCAGGCTTGGAATCTTGAAACAAAAGAAATGGCAGCACTGTCCAGAATGGCAGCTTTCAAACTGTGGGGTTTGGGAGTTATACAAATCCAGGGGAGGGAAATACAGACGGCCACGGTGGGCAAGCTCCTATCTCCATAATCATGCTTCAAAGGGAGCAGACATACAGCTTTGTCTTAATACATTAAAGTTTTGCTCCTAAAATAAAGTTTAAAACATAATACTTCCTCCCTTTCACTTGATGTCACCTAATAGAGTGGATGTTAAAAGTAGCTGTGAGACAGTCTCCTGAACCCATGGATTTAAAGAAACAAAGGTCACAGGAAACACACAGTTAATATTTGAAGTCCTACAGAAGATTTTCAACTAGTTCAGGTAAAAATCAGAACACAAACCCATACTTTTTGTTTCTGGTCTTACACAGTTACATCCTAAAGAAACTTTAAATCTCTACAGATTTTATAGAACAGATGTATGTAAGACATTTTGCATTGTATAATCAACTTTTCCAAAAGAAACAAAAAGGCAAAAGACTATCATTTTAAAACATGATCTAAGTGAAGAAAATTGAACTGTGTCAAAGCTAAAGCTTAATGTCATAAACATAATGTGAGTTATGATTGTATCATCAGAAAATAATATATCAAATCTTCTCTGCTTCATGACACATGCCATAGTTAAGGAAGAAAAGCTTCCTGTGTGAATACCTGCTGCCTGCTTACCTGGGTACTGAAGTTAACAGACATCGTGAGTCCGGCCCCATGGTCTCTGGCCACCTGCAGACTAATGAGAGTGGCCTTCTTATGAGCCACTGGCAGTCGAGAACCCACAGAGAAGTACACGAGACTTGGAGGTTTATCAGGCTGGAATAATTTAACCTGTGCAAATCTGGCACTATTGTTTAGGGCTGCTCCAGCTGTTACTTCGTACAGTTCCACAAAAAAGTGTACTTCACTTTGAGGTATCTGCCAATGAGAAAAAAACAGGAAGGGGAATGATAACTACTAATATATTTCTATTTTTAAATAATTCTGACATTAAGAAATAACATTATTCATACACACTACTACAGAAATAAGTATACATTTAGAGATACAGTCTGTATAATTACAGAATTAAATTCTTACGTTAGATTGCCACGAGATTTATTTTTTTGGTCTTTCTTCAACACCTTTACTCTCTCTGGGAGAGCATCTTACTAGAAAATCAATGTCAGGAGATAATCTACGCATATACTTCAATAAACAAAAGGATACAGAAAGTATATTCACACAATGAAAATGTTATCCAGTAGTTAAGAACAATGAACTGTTTCAATATATTTCAATGTGAATGGATCCAAAAACATGACAAAGAGGAAAAAATAAAGTTCGATAATGACATGCATGCCATGCTACAACAAATGTAAAATTTTTAATTACATAAAGCTTACTACATTTTGTTACCGGATGCGTATTTCGCGAAAGGGTAAAAAAGAAAACAAAACACCACGCCAGTGGGGATCTCAGGTGGAGGGGTTGCACTGAGGGTAGGGCAGGGTTGGAGCTGAAAACACAGGACAGAGAGAATGGAGCTTCCACTTTGTAATGTTTTATTTTTAAAAGCTTTACATAAATTGGCCAAATATTGATGGGTTCATTTAGTGACCTTAGGTATCATTCAAAATTTCCTTAAATTCAGTATCAAGAAATCTAAATTTAGTCTGTTGGTTATAGTTTGGTCACGTTTTCCCTCGGTTCTGTGTCAACAATCTCAAATAATTTATTTTCTAAAGCCTGCATTCAATTTTGTAACGCACTGTTAATCACCTGTTTTCACTTATTTTCTCTTACATAATAATCAAGAAATCTTAGCATCATTTTTAGCTTCCTAGCATAATTCCAAGAAGCTAAGCTGATGCATTTTCAATTGTATGTCTCACTGTCTAACTTGATATAATGCATTCTTTTTTTCTATCAGCAAGGATCTTAGTCATCATTTGTTTTGTGATCATTTTAATGAGAATTATTATGTCATGAAACAACACAACAAATTCTTCAGTATTATTCAAAATGATTTATATCCTAGTGGCACAGTAAATGAACTGAATCTCTTTTTCTTGTCTGAAGAAACATATTTAGTTTTCATGTGATATAGATTTTATTTATTTTGCTGATTAACTCTCAGTAAATTTTGAAATGAAGGTAAATATGTTTTTCCCACTTTTGACAAACTAAATTGGTAAATACAATAAACTGAAGCATGTGAAAAGTATGGCTAACTATATTCAACAACTATTATTCCCTAATGGCCAATGAGCTTGAGTTCACAAAAATTTCATTTAACTAAGAATTTCAGAATATTACATTTCAACAAATTCTTGTCTTGTCTTCAGTATAGTATTTCTTCTCATTGTGATGATGATTAAAACATTACTTATAACTACTCTGAGTCAAAAAATATGTTGTTATCTAAGTAGGGAACCATGCAAATTGAACAAATGTGCAGATGGGTGCCAACACATAATTAGAAGAGACAAAAGGAATCTTTCAGTCTAACAACAAAATACTCTGTTCAAAGAATATGCCTGAAGTATACTGGGAAAGCAAAACTCACAGATGGTTATCCGAACCTCTCTGGACCTAAATATGACTACAGACCTCATAGGAACTCAAGTTCCTTTCCTAGTTAGGTCAGCAGCATTCCAAGATGATCTTTTGCCCAGCTAGTATAAAATTATTTTTCAAGCCAAGTAATAAACAAGCAAGATCTCACTAAATAGTTCTTTTAAGAAATATGTGCAACAAATGTTTCAACAATCTGTTTAGTTTAAACAAACTTGTTGGGTTAAGAAACGCATCCTAAGTTAAATAACGATGACCTTCATACATTTTGCTAATACAGACCATATGGCAGAACCATAGAACCATAAGATACCCAGAAGAGAAAGGGTACATGAATTGGAATTCAAAAGATGAATTTTAATCTTTACTGAGTAATCAATCTGGGGAAGGTTACTTAAGTTCTTTATAACTTGAATATAAAAAAACTGAATGACTATAGGGATGATAATTAGAGATACGGTAAGAGTAGAAAAACGTTGAGTGTCAGGAGACAGACTGAACTTAGGAAAAACCACCATCAATCAGTGGTGTAACTCTACAGATGAAAGTAGCATTGTGTTCACTGTACTGTAAACTACAATTAGTAGTTTCAACTACTACTAGTGTTGGTGTGGTTACTACTTGGCTCCACTCCCATCCATTCTGAATAACAGTAATACCAAGCCACCGTACGGAGAGCCAACTCCTTGCGGAGAGCCAACTCCTTGCCGAGAACCATGTGAAATACCTCTCATTCATTATCTCATTTAATATAACGGCCCTGTTATAAACTCCACCAAGTCTGAGAAGTTCAGGAAACCTTAGCAACTTGTCTGTTGTCACAAGCTATTTAGTGGAAGAGGCAAAATTTGAACCCGGGTCTTCTATCATCTTATGTATGGACCTAACAGAAGTAGAAGATATTAAGAAGAGGTAGCAAGAATACACAGAAGAACTATACAAAAAAGATTTTAATGACCAAGATAACCACAATGGTGTGATCACCACCTAGAGCCAGACATCCTGGAATGCGAAGTGAAGTGGGCCTTAGGAAGCATTACTATGAATAAAGTTACTTGGAGGTGAAGGAATTCCAGCTGAGCTATTTCAAATCCTAAAAGATGATGCTGTGAAAGTGCTGCACTCAGCATGCCAGCAAATTTGGAAAACTCAGCAGTACACAGGACTGGAAAAGGTCAGTTTTTATTCCAATCCCAAAGAAGGGCAATGCCAAGGAATGTTCAAACTACCACACAATTGCACTCAATTCACATGCTAGCAAGGTAATGTTCAAAAGTCTCTCAAGCTAGGCTTCAACAGTATGTGAACCGAGAACTTCCAGATATACAAGCTGGACTTAGAAAAGGCAGAGGAACCAGATTCAAACTGACAATATTTGCTGGATCATGGAGACAGTGAAAACTCCAGAAAAACATCTACTTCTGCTTCACAGACTACACTAAAGCCTTTTACTGTGTGAATCACAACAAACTGTGGAAAATTCTTCAAGTGACGGGAATACCAGACCACCTTATACCAGACCACCTAGGAAATCTGTATTCAAATCAAGAAGCAACAGTTAGAACTGGACATGGAATAACGGACTGGTTACAAATTGGGAAAGGAGAACGTCAAGGCTGTATATTATCACCCTGCTTATTTAACTTTTATGCAGAGTACATCATGCAAAATGCCAGGCTGGATAAAGCACAAGCTGAAATCAAGATTGCCAAGAGAAATATCAATAACTTCAGATATTCAGATGACAACACTCTCATGACAGAAAGCAAAGAGGAACTAAACAGCCTCTTGATGATGGTAAAAGAGGAGAGTGAAAAGGCTGGCCTAAAACTCAACATTCAAAAAACTAAGATCATGGCATCTGGTTCAATCACTTCATGGCAAATAGATGGGGAGAAAAATGGAAACAGTAACAGACTTTATTTTCTTGGGTTCCAAAATCATTACAGACAGTGACTGCAGTCATGAAATTAAAGGACACTTGCTCCTTGGAAGAAAAACTATGACAAACCTAGACAGCATACTAAAAAACAGAGACATTACATGACTTTGCTGACAAAGGTCCGTCTAGTCAAAGCTATGGTTTTTCCAGTAGTCATGTATGGAGTGAGAGTTGCACCATACAGAAGGCCGAGTCCCAGAGAATTGATGCTTTCAAACTGTGATGCTGGAGAAGATGCTTGAGGGTCTCCTGGGCTGCATAGAGATCAAACCAGTCAATCTTAGAGAAAATAAATCCTGAATGTTCATTGCAAGGACTGATGCTGAAGTTGAAATTCCAATACTTTGGGCACCTGATGCGAAGAACTGACTCATTGGAAAAGACCCTGAAGCTCGGAAAGATTGAAGGCAGGAGAAGAAGGGGATGACAAAGGAAGAAAGAGTTATATGGCATCACCAACTAAATGGACATGAGTTTGAGCAAATTGCAGGAGATGGTGAAGGACAGGGAAGCCTGGCGTGCTGCAGTCCATGGGGTCGCAAAGAGTCAGACACGACTGAACAACAGAACAATAACAAAACTGAAGATGTGGGTGACATACTGGAGGAAGTGATATTTTTATTAGTCTTTAAAAGAGAGTTAGGAAATGTTGGGTTGTGGGGGTTGAGGAAGGCATAAGACTATTCAGACAAATGCAAAGAGGAGGACTTAAACGTTATCAAGTAGAATAACATGACCAAAAGTTTTGAATGTTGAAATTTCAGCTCCTTTTCTTCAGGGCAATAGAAAGCATAGTGACTGATAAAACTCCCACTCAAGAAAAGTAAACTACAATAATATTTGTATAAATTAGGAGTTTGGGATTAGTACATATGCACTACTATACAGAAAACAGGTAAAGAGGACCTACCGTATGGCACAGAGAATTATACTTGTTACCTTGCAATACCTACAATGGAAAAGAATATGAAGACAAATGTATGTATGTGTGTATATATATATATATACACACACACACATACATACACATATATGTTATTGTTTAGTTGCTTATTCATGTCCAACACTTCGTGACCCCATGGACAGTAGCCCACCTAGCGGCTCTGTCCGGGGAATTCTCCAGGGAAGAATACTGAAGTGGGTTGCCATTCTCTTCTCTAGGGGATCTTTCCGACCCAGGGATAGAACCCAGTTCTCTAGCAATGAATGCAGATTCTTTACCACCTGAGCCATCAAGGAAGCCCACATGTACATATAAACTAACACATCACTGTACATTAAGTACACTTCAATTTCAAAATGTTTTTAAATGAAATTCTTGGATAAAAAATCAGTGGGAACTCAATATTTTAAATTTGTTTTCTAGCTCCATAACTACCAAGATGGTTCACAGAAGCAGCTGGGTCAACCATCAACTCTCATGCCTATCTCCAGAACAAAGACTCAGATCTCTGAAACTCTGATGAAAGAAATCAAATCCTTGGATGTCTTAGAGCAGGAAAAATCAAGATGGCTCTAAAACACAGATTACTGCTATAAGGCAAATAAGTATCCAGAGATGTTAAAGCAATATGAAGAGACACAAGAATAACTTAGTATATCTTTCAGTGTCTGTGATATGACTATTGAAGAAGTGGGCATCAGAGGATGAGGTGTCTGGAAGCCATCACCAATGCAACGAACATGGACTTGGGCAAACTCTGGAAGATAGTGAGGGACAGGGAGGGCTGGTGTGCTGTAGTCTGTGGGGTTGCAAAGAGTCACACAACTGGGCAACTGAACAATAACAATAGCAAAAATAAAAGTATTTAGTAAGTAATTAAAATTAGATGAATTTGAATCTATAACATAATGGTACTTAAAGGAGAAAAATTATGGTAATGTATTTTTTAAATGGTTAAAATGAAAAATGTGAGTGTAACAGTGTATAATTAATATTTTATTAGTTTTAATGTATAGGGTAATGTTCAGTTCAGTTCAGTTCAGTCGCTCAGTCATGTCCGACTCTTTGCAAACCCATGAATCACAGCACGCCAGGCCTCCCTGTCTATCACCAACTCCCGGAGTTTACTCAAACTCATGCCCATCGAGTCGGTGATGCCATCCAGCCATCTCATCCTCTGTCGTCCCATTCTCCTCCTGCCCCCAATCCCTCCCAGCATCAGGGTCTTTTCCAATAAGTCAACTCTTCGCATGAGGTGGCCAAAGTATTCGAGTTTCAGCTTCTGCATCAGTCCTTCCAGTGAACACCCAGGACTGATCTCCTTGCAGTCCAAGGGACTCTCAAGAATCTTCTCCAACACCACAGTTCAAAAGCATCAATTCTTCACTGCTCAGCTTTCTTCACAGTCCAACTCTCACATCCATACATGACCACTGGAAAAACCATAGCCTTGACCAGACGGACCTTTGTAGGCAAAGTAATGTCTCTGCTTTTTAATATGGTATCTAGGTTGGTCATAACTTTCCTTCCAAGGAGTAAGCGTCTTTTAATTTCATGGCCGCAGTCACCATCCGCAGTGATTTTGGAGCCCCAAAAAATAAAGTCTGACACTGTTTCCACTGTCTCCCCATATACTTCCCATGAGGTGATGGGACCAGATGCTATGATCTTAGTTTTCTGAATGTTGAGCTTTAAGCCAACTTTTTCACTCTCCTCTATCACTTTCATCAAGAGGGTTTTTAGTTCCTCTTCACTCTGCCATAAGGGTGGTGTCATCTGCATATCTGAGGTTATTGATATTTCTCCCAGCAATCTTGATTCCAGCTTGTGCATCTTCTAGCCCAGCGTTTCTCATGATGTACTCTGCATATAAGTTAAGTAAGCATGGTGACAATATACAGCCTTGATGTACTCCTTTTCCTATTTGGAAACAGTCTGTTGTTCCATGTCCAGTTCTAACTGTTGCTTCCTGACCTGCATACAGGTTTCTCAAGAGGCAGGTCTATGTTAGTATATCAATAAAGTTATGCCTTTAATTAAGTATATATTGATTTATTAGTGAATGGTAAACATCCTTCTCTTTGCATGTACGTAGGAAGGAGTTCATAAAAAATGTAAGTAAGACAATTATTTCTAGAAAAAATACAAATTGTACCAAAAATAGGAATAAATTTTTAGGACCGGTGAAATGCATACAAATGAAAGCATGTCAGAAGTTAAAGAGTACCTCATACAGAAGGTGAAAGATGATGCAATTTTATGTTCATTCAAATATGATAGAACAGATGAACTGCAAAGATGCACTAAGACCACAAACTTACTATCTCATTTCTTTTCAATTTGTGCCACATTCCTTAGCATGTGGGACCTTACGGGGATCGAACCCATGGCCCCTGCCCTGGAAGGCGGAGTCTTAACCACCAGACTGCTGACGAAGTCCCTGCATCTCATTTCTTATGAAGTGGAGCCTCCAGGTTGCCCTCACAAATATAACAAGATATTGACAAGGCAGGTCTATCTTTTCAATGCCCCTGTAGACCAGCTCAATGTTTGACAGTGACAGGGCAATGGTTAGGGTAAAGCAGCACTGCAAGATTTAAAGAGCAAATCATTCTGTGGAAAACTCATGGGCTGAAAAAATTAACCTGTAAAGCGTGAACTTAAAAAACATGTTGATCTCACAAGTCAAGTCATAAAATGGATCTCAATCCACCGTCCAGCAATTCTCATTTGAAACAGCTTCAGACAAGCATTAGGATCTGTGGTCCTAACAAAGAACAAACTGGTGATAACCAAGTAACCTGAAGTGATCTGAGAGGAGTCGTCTTTCTCTTCTGGAACCATCAAAATTGCTACAATTCTTCAAGGTATGAAAATATGTATCACTGTAACCTTAGAGAACATCAATATAACTGTTTCAGGAATCCTCAGAAGGTGAAAAACCAAGTAGACAAAAAAAATGAATGAATAGTTAAATCTACAAGATTATTATTTAGAATGGGTTTAAATACACCTACCCATTTGGAAATAATTTTATTTGTGTAATGCTTTTCTGCTGTTTAAAGTTTTTGGCATGTATAAAAAAATCGTGATACCTTTGAACATTCAAAATATTGTGGCTAGTTTTTGCATTAAATATTTGAATTTAATAATTTAAGTGGTAGGCAAGGAACAAATACTACTGAGTGATCCTTGGACATTAAAGTATCATAGAATAGTCATTTTTTAAGAAGCGATACCTGATTACTAAATGACTAAAACTCTGTTAGAGCCTCAACAGCCAATACCATTTGATTAATGCAGATTCCATTAGAATCAGGAGAGGAACACTTGGCTCCTGGGTGCCATGTGCAATGTGAACCAAGAAAAATTGATCCAAAGGCTCCCTAAGCACGGCCTCTGTGCCTCTCTGGTAGATCAGAACTGACCTCTCTAACTAAAGGGATAGTGAATAAGAGAACTTTCATTCTAAGGATGAAATCTATGGATACAAAACAATGTAATCAAATCTATATATATGATAAAAGGAAAAGAACTAAACATTCAGAGTAATCAGAAATAAGACTAATCGGGCTGAAAATAACTCAAGGAACCATTCACCCCGTGATCAGGTGGGCCAGGAAGAATCTAGGAAATGACAAGAAATAGAACATAAAAACTGATGAGCTTTTTTATTACTGAGATACAAGTGACTTACAACATATATAATCTCAGGTGTACAACTGATGCGCTTATTTACAAATACTCAAAGAGACTCAGACATCGCAGCTAGGCGAGACACAAAGAATTTCCACATAATGTATACATGTATACATTTCAACAAAGTAGAAAATGACTAATTCTAAAGAAATACAGTCAGAATTCTACAACACTGGGCCTCACTGTTTCTTACCTTTCCAGGTTTGAGCTCAATGGTGATAAAGCACTTTGTTTGACCTGCCATACAGATAGTGGTCCCTGATACAGACAGAAGTTCATCCGCCAGGTTCACACCATCTTTCTGGAGCACAGCAGCTGTTCTGTTAAATGTGACTCGCCAAAAAACCTTGACATCTTCGAAGGCTCTAGGAACAAAGCAAAGCTTATGCCAATGCAGTCACAGAGTGCATCATTCCTGTGGCTAACATTACGCCGAGTGCACCTCCTCATCCAATATAAGCATCTCTCCCACTGATAATGCTGAAAATAACCAATTCTGCCCACTACAGTTAAGAAATTAAGGCCAGAGTTTATGTGGCATTCTTTGACCACACTCCATTCAGTAATGATTAAGTATTTATTGAAATATAATTCTGGATGCTATGTACCAGAAATATGAAAATAAAAATTATAGAGAACCATTGCCTTGAAGTAAATGTTCCTCATTTGTCTTTTAACAAGAATCTTCCTAAAGGAAAAACACTACTGCTAAAAATGGTCGTTACTATAAAGGACAAGAGATGATCTATCCTTTCTGAGAATATTTAGACCCAAAATGGAAAAGGAAACACTGACACATGTACCCGTGTGCATACCCAGCGCACGTACATCATCAACACTCAGATGTGTGCTATACTCCATTAAGTTGTAAGCAAAATACCGGCAATCCAAATCTTCCTAAATAGTAAATGGTTGTATATGCAGAGTGATAGAGAATAGTAAACATGATGAAGTGGTGACTTACATAACCTGACATCTGTATGGTACGTCATAAAGTACTAAATGTTCCAGGCAGCCCTAGTCAGGGCTCAATCACTTCTGACTCTTTGCAACCCCATGAACTGTACCCTGCCAGGCTCTTCTGTCCATGGGATTTTCCAGCCAAGAATACTGGAGTGGGTTGCCATTTCCTACTCCAGAGAAACGAGAGTATCTGAACACTGACATCAAATTCCGCATCACTTTCTTCTACCAACATTTCATCTGCTTCTACCACTTTATAAATTCAAATTAAACACTATGTAGACACACAGGATGTTATGCCTTCTACACAGATATAAACAAACCTGTTTGGCTGCCTTGTAACAGTAAGATGCAGACGGGTCATCTCAGTTCCTTCACCTAGCTCCAGTCTACTCTGGGACTCCTCACTGAATCCTATGATGCCATTGTGAAGATCACTCCCTGAAAAGAAAAATAGAAGATTATAGTACACCAAAGGCTTTAAAAGATCTCCAATGTTCCCCTCATCTATTCAGTTCAGATGATATAAAGGTGAGAAATTCACAAGTGAATGGGGCAGGCAGGAGCTACCACTTTTAAAAGATCTTTACCCAAAACAGATTAGAATCAAAATGAATATGGCAAGGTAGTTGACACTGTGGGAACAAAAAAAGAAAGAAAACATCAAACCCTGCTCCCCGCACTGATATACATGCTCATCTCTCTCTGATGAGGCTTTTTTATTTCAGTCCTCGATACTGCTGTTTAAAGTTAGCACATCCTGATAGAATATAAGTTCTACTGAGTAGCAATTGTTTTATTTAGTGCTGTATCCCTAGTACCAAGAACAGTGTTTAATAAATATTTAGTGACTGCATGACCTTCACCTGATTGGTTTACTTCCCTATGAGACAGCTGACCAAAAGACCACTGAAGTTAAACATCTGATTATTTTCCCCAGAGAAAAACGGAACTATTAATGAACTCTTGGGAATCTTGGAGTAAAAGAAAACTCCTCCAAGCAACTCTTGAGGTTGGAGGCACCATCATACTACACAACTGTCAAAAACTGGAACAAACCCACAGCCCACACTACGCTGAAGCAGCCACTCCAAACCCTGGCCAACACATAAGCTAGCTTCTCAGACAAGAGATATTATCAGTAAACAGCTCCTGCCGCTTTCTATTTCTCAAGAACCCAGTTTTGCAAAGTGATCCTGAAAGCAATGACCCAGCGGAATTAGCCTCAAAAACCACTTGTACCCATCACCCTGAAACCTGAGGTTCCAAGTAGACAGAACTTCTGCAAGGAAACAGAAAACTACTGATCTGTCTCGAAAGTGTGAGTAAATATGGAGCCTGCAGCTTAGGGACGTGCAGGTGACTGGACCACTCTTGTCCTGGTGCCTCAGGGGTGTTTTGTCTCAGCCATTGCCCATCCTCATCCTCACCAATTAATCACTACGACTGCATCTTAGTCCTGCTTTGGAACCTGACCTTAACTCTTTTTTCTTCAGCAGCAATTCTTCTCTTGTCACTTTGAGTAGGAATTTGGTCTCTCAATTAATAATAAACAGATTATAAGATTCTCAAAGCGGAACTTGCATTTTCTTTTTCAATGTAATAGTGACTAGCATGGTCCTAAGGAGTATAATACTTTCCTTGCAGCATCTACCATGATAAACTTGATGTCCAGTTTCTAGGAAGATGAATCAAGACTTCCAGAGTGCCAATGATGGGAAACAAAACTAAATAAACTATTTTCCCCTGATTTATCTTGAGCGTTTGTTCTAAAATCTAAATGTGAATGATTATGAAGGTTAAAGATAAGAGGAATCAGCAAAATTAATGATATAGTTAAAAGAGAAATACTAATTTAAAATAAAAAGCCAGGTAAGGAGGAGAAGACAGGAACATTCACAGAGAGAGTAAGGGAAATCAGAGTATTTCACATGCAAAAATGCTGATGAATTACACACATGATTCTAAGAGGAGTCAATCATTTGCTATGTATGTAAGATGCTTGGTGTTAGGTAGAGAAGAAAAACATTAGAGAACTTCACTGAAGCTCAACTGACTGACTGCTAGCTAGGCTCGGAGCTGGCTGACGGGAACTGCCTGGGGAGTTAGACTCAGGGCTGACATATGGCTGAGCACTGGTACGCCATATTGACTAGTATTAGTGCGCCATGTTGGTATGCGTTGGTATGCCAAACTGACTGAGGAGCACGTCCATTCCAGTTGGAACACAGCTGCTGTCCTGAGTCCCTAAAGGACCCTAACCACCACCCTAACCGGTGCAACATCTCCCCATGATCCAGTAACTAATGGAGTATCGCTTGGGAGAGCAAAAAGCCTCCATCAACTATTGTGCCTGGTCTGTGCCTCTGTCAAACTAACTGCTAAATATTTTGACTGTCAACTCTGATCTTATTCATATAAACATAAAAAAAATCTATGTCATGGAATGGGGGAAGAGACTGTTTATTTAATTTTAAAAGAAATATATAGGTGGCATTAAGCTAATGTGAATCAAACTCAGTAAATAACTTGAAGAATAGAATCTGCATTTACAATATTCAATAAACTGGATGATTAGGAATAAATGATAATTCTAATTGGTATAAATTTGCAGGGTAACATAAATGGGATGATGTTGGGTATACGAGGAAATTACACAATTGCAAAATTGTGACTGAATTATAACTGAACGGCTAAAACAAAATTTTAGGAAACTCCAAATCCTGAAAGTGGGACATCAACATGTTTATTCTAAAAATTTCCTTTTTTAAAAAAAAAGAAACATAAAGCATAGACACTAAATGATTTAATCAGGGCCTTTGAATTAATGATTGAGCTAAGTCAAAATTACATACTTCATGATTTTTAATTTTCTTTCCACTATACTGTTTTATTATAGTGTTATCTGAAACTCTAAAACACTGTATAAAACTCATTATTGTTTATATAAAAGGGTAGACCAGGTAAGAATCATGAGATAGCCTTGTCAATACTCTAATTAGCGCAAGGTATTGACAAGTTGAGCTAATCCACTTGAAGAAATACAGTATGATTTCAGAGGAAAATTGCAAATTATCACTAAAAAATTTTCAAACATGCACATATACACACACACACACATTACCAACAGTACAAAAGTTATATAAACTACATTGGTTCAAAAGCAGAACAAAAGGGAATAGCTGTAATCTATTTCCCAACAGACATAAAGAATTTTCTGACAATGACATCTTAGACTTTGCAATGGATTAATAAAAGTGGAAATTCAGAATGAGGTTTCAAAACAGGACAGGCAAACATGTTGGGGTGATTAAATTAGGTATTTTCCAGAAGACATACATGAACTTAAGTATTTTTAAGGGTTTCTGTACATTGTGGAAGTACAGATATATAGATTGTCTTAGTTAGCTCTGGGCTTCCCTTGTAGCTCAGTTGGTAAAGAATCTGCCTGCAGTGCAGAAGACCCGGGTTCAATCCTGGGTTGGGAAGATCCCCTGGAGAAGGAAATGGTGACCCACAGGTGATCCTTGCCTGGAAAAGCTCATGGACAGAGGAGCCTGGTGGGCTATGGTCCATGGGGTCGCAAAGAGTCGGGCACTACTGAGCGACTAACACTTACTTACTTACTAGTTAGCTCTGAGCTAAGTGACATTTACAGTCCACTGAACTCTACCCTGGTATCTCAGAACAACATGATGAGTTTCTGTTAGGGTTTCATGCCACTGGAAAACAAAGTTTAAGGATTCACTGTGAGTGATTCGAGTAATTTACCTTCTTAAATTAAATTTAAGCTAGAATAATCTTATTACAAATTCTGCACCACAGAGGCACATGTTTAACTCCATCACTCCAAATATATACCTGCAATAATGATCATGGCAAAAGCTGCAAAGCCAGCGTCATCCTCTCCCTTCACGATCTGTGCTCCCCCTTGTGGGTCTGTAAGAAACACGTAGAAGAATTCCTGTCCCTCGGGTTCACCATCATCCAGAATTGGAACTGACACTTTACGTTCTCTTTCTCCATCTACAAACGCAAGGATGAGAGTCTGCGCTCCAAAATCTTCTTCTTCAGTTGCCCATGTTAGGTTGGAAATCCCATGGCTGTCAGGAAAGGGCAATGCGTTTGGTTCCTTCTTAGCAGATCTTTCACCAAAAGTTCTAACTGTTACGCTGACGTTGCCAGTAGACCCACCAGTTCTCCGGACAAGGACCTCTGCAGTGTTCAATGTGCCATTCTCCATTTCCTCTTCGACGTAAACAACAGGGGGCCCAAGACTAAATGTTCCATGAACGGAGGTATTTGTAGTTACAGTGGCCACATTAGGCTTCTCAGACATGGCAGAGGCCCCAGAAAGGGTGACAAGGTTCTCAAGAATGGGAGATACGCCAGCCACCTCTGTAACCACGGCAACCACTTTGGTGGGCTGTGGAACGGCAGTAATCTCGGTTGTGTCAGGGTGTGTGGTGGCGGAGTCGGTTTCTAGAGGAAGAGCTATGTCCACTGCTGTGGTCACAGCGGTCTCGGGGAAAGACGCATCTGTTCCTGCCAGGTCATCATTATCCAATATTGTGATCACCGCCATGCTGAAATCTCGATTCAGGCGTGGTCTCCAATTAGCATCAAATTTTGGGAACCCTTTAACTTCCACTGAAGTTAGATTAATGTAAAAAATTTCTTCTGTCTCAGGAAGTTCATCGTCAATAATAATGATTTCAAAATCAACCTCAGCTTGGAATCTTTGGAAAAGTAGCTCCCCGTTCTGAACAGGCTCAAAGTCTTCCCAGGGCTTTGCCCTCCCTGCAGTTGTCTGATAAGAAACTTTAATAAGATCCCCGTGGAACCCAAACAGTCTTTGTACATGTAATCTGATCATCTGTGTATCCTCCGACACGATGATATTTCTTGAACTGGGGGAAAATTGAAAGACTCCCATTGGTTCAATTTCAGCAACAGTGAAACCTGACCTGGAAAAGAAAAATTAAACCATGAGAGAACTGATAAAAAAAAAGCAGGGCTACCACTTGCAGAGAGTCATCTTTCACACGTGGAAGATGCTGCTCATGAGGGCATCTTAAAAATGACATGCCCTTTCAAATTCCGTAAACCCCTACTTATTGAAGAACATACCAGAGAACAAGAAATGAAACAACAGGAGCTGCAATGGCAGGCAACAGGACCTAACAAGCCTTAGCAAGGTAAGGCGCTCAGAGGTCTGGTTCTGTTTCTCCAATCACCCCACAGCAGCTCTTTGAAGGATCTGAAATGGCAGGTTCTCTCAGCACACAGGGGACCAAAATCAAAGTCTCACAGTCTGGGTGTCAGTCAGGTTTCCCATCTACCAGGCAGGAACAGTTGCGCCTCCTAGATGTAAAAATGCTTGCTGGTTTCAACTGGCCAGTAATGGGACTATTCTCTCGCACAAATGTTGCTAAAATCTTATACATGAACTGGAAGAGTCATCCATAATTGATACTGATCTGTTCCTAGTGCTTTCATGTGGAATTCTGTGGGCTTCCCTTGTGCCTCAGCTGGTAAAGAATCCACCTGCAATGTGGGAGATCCGGGTTTGATCCCTGGGCTGGGAAGACCCCCTGGAGAAGGGAAAGGCTACCCGCTCCAGTATTCTGGCCTGGAGAATTCCATGGACTGTATAGTCTATGGGGTCACAAAAAGTCAGACACGACTGAGTGACTTTCACTTCACTTCATGGAATTCTGTTGTGATTTAATCAGTTATATCAGAAGTAACACCGGTAGCCCATCAGCCTAATCCAGCCCACAGACATAATTTCTCTGGCTAACAGATTTTTTTTTTCCCATCTAAATTTAGATGCATTCAGGGAGGACAACTGAGAGCCATCACTTTCTACTGTCAGTCGTAGCTGTGAGTTCAGACAGAGGCCAGACAGCCTAGGTTCAAATCATGGCCCAACACTTACTATCTGTGTGACACTGGGCCCATTATACAATCTATCTGTGACTCGTTTTCTTTATCTATATAATGGGACTAACAATAGTATCTATGCCCTATGGTGATCATGAACAGTAAATGTAGGAGTAAACGAATATAAATACATATACATATAAGCACTATAAAACTGTTAGTCTGAATTACTTTGCTATACTGCAGAAATTAACACAACATTGTAAGTCAATTATACTTCAATAAAATAAAAAGTAAACTGCTAGCTATTACTGCTATCACTAAAGGCAACTGAATCTGTTAACCTAAAATACACTGTGTCCACTTTTTGATTGGCATATGTTAAATCAAAAGCCATACTGAATTACACCAACCAATATCTCCCATACATAAATGTGTACACAAATATACTCGAACACGTATTGGTTTTGCCCACACACTTTTCCCAGTTTCCAAATAAGCAAACTAAAGAGCAGGAAGATCATGTAACTTTCCCAAAGTCACACAGCAACTAAGTGACAGAGGCAGGATTAAACCCAGCAGTCTGGCTCTAAGATCTCTTCTCTGCTGTTCTGATCAAGCCCATCCCGGGATATGCATGAGAAAAGTCATCTGCTTTTGGCCAGGACATATTTACCTGCAAATATACTGGTATAAATTATCTCAAAAGTCACAGTATTATCCTACTATGATTTCTTATTCTTACTCTTTGTCTCTAAGGAAAATCAGATATTTTGGGCTAACTTTTCAGAAGACAGTTCCCTTTTAAAATAGATGGCTTTGCCATCATGGTTCTTACTGGAGATGGCACCCCAAGCCAACATTCTCAAGTTAGAGGTCATGATAAACTCTATTCATGCAAGCAGTGTGTGGTGGCATCTTTGGCATGAAGGCCGCATGTTGCTCTGAACTAAAACTGGTTTTGTCTCTGCTTCAAGGAGACAAATCCTTCTGTGTTTTTTGTTTGAACCAGTAAATTCCAGCTTATCCCTCAGGGACTTTCTTGGCTGAAAATCAAGGGGGTCTTACCGAAGCTGAGCCCCACCAGGGACACTGCTCTGCACTCCAGAGAGGTGAACGACAAAGGCCTCCAGCCGCCCGGGGCTTGGGTGTGTCCAAAGCAAGACTCTTTTACTTTCTTCTCCATGGGAAAAGGAAAGCCTCCCTGACAGGGAACATGAAAAGGGAAGCAGGGTTTCATTTCTTTGAGTTCTTAAATTGGGATTCAACTCTTAAAAATATAGTGAAATCTTTCCTTTTCCAAAATTCTATGACGGTCTACAAAAGGCAAAACATTTAAAAAGTCAGTGGTGGGGGTAGGGTATAAATAAACTTCGAGGAAGCTCCGGAGACCACATAAACCTTGCCTTCAATCCTGTCTACTCTACAAGAGAGGTCAAACCATCCAACACTGGCATGTCACTGACCCTCACAGAACTAATAGCATAACTAAAAACTAAAGTAGATGAAGTAACAGCTGCTTTACTATTAGAAATAGTCAGTTGAACACATACATGGATATAAGAGTGTGTCTTTTTGATTACTGTATTGGGACTTCTCTTAGCTCAGATTAAATTGAAGAAAGTAGGGAAAATCTCCAGACCATTGAGGTTGTGACCCAAATCAAATCCTTAACAATTATACAGTGGAAGTGAGAAATATATTTAAGGGACTAGATCTGATAGACAGAGTGCCTGATGAACTGTGGACGGAGGCTCATGACATTGTACAGGAGATAGGAATCAAAACCATCCCCAAGAAGAAATGCAAAAAAGCATAATGGCTGTCTGAGGAGGCCTTACAAATAACTAGGAAAAGAAGGGAAGCGAAAAGCAAAGGAGAAAAGGAAAGATATATCCATTTGAATGCAGAGTTCAAAAGAATAACAAGGAGAGATAAGAAAGCCTTCCTCAGGGATCAGTGCAAGGAAATAGAGGAAAACAACAGAATGGAAAGACTAGAGATCTCTTCAAGAAAACAGATATACCCAGGGAACATTTCATGCAAAGATGGGGTCAATAAAGGACAGAAATGGTACGGACCTAACAGAAGCAGAAGATGTTAAGAAGAGGTGGCAAGAATACACGGAAGAACTATACAAAAAAGATCCTCATGATCCAGGTAATCATGATGGTATGATCACTCACCTAGAGCCAGACATCCTGGAACGCAAGGTCAAGTGGACCTTAGGAAGCATCACTATGTACAAAGCTAGTGGAGGTGATGGAATTCCAGCTGAACTACTGTCAATCCTGAAAGATGATGCTGTGAAAGTGCTGCACTCAATATGCCAGCAAATTTGGAAAACTCAGCAGTGGCCACAGGACTGGAAAATGTCCGTTTTCATTTCAATCCCAAAGAAAGGCAATGCCAAAGAATGCTCAAACTACCACACAATTGCACTCATCTCACATGCTAGTAAAGTAATGCACAAAATTCTCCAAGCCAGGCTTCTGCAATATGTGAACCGTGAACTTCCAGATGTTCAAGCTGATTTTAGAAAAGGCAGAGGAACCAGAGATCAAATTGCGAACATCCACTGGATCATCAAAAAAGCAAGAGAGTTCCAGAAAAACATCTATTTCTGCTTTATTGACTATGCCAAAGCCTTTGACGGTGTGGATCACAATAAACTGTGGAAAATTCTGAAGGAGATGGGAACACCAGACCACCTGACCTGCCTCTTGAGAAATGTGTATGCAGGTCAGGAAGCAACAGTTAGAACTAGACACAGAACAACAGACTGGTTCTAATAGGAAAAGGAGTATGTCAAGACTGTATACTGTCACCTTGCTTATTTAACTTATATGCAGAGTACATCATGTGAAATGCTGGGCTGGATGAAGCACAAGCTGGAATCAAGACTGCTGGGAGAAATATCAATAACCTCAGATATGTAGATGACACCACCCTTATGGCAGAAAGTGAAGCAGAACTAAAGAGCCTCTTGATGAAAGTGAAAGAGGAGAGTGAAAAAGTTGGCTTAAAGCTCAACATTCAGAAAACTAAGATCACAGCATCTGGTCCCATCACTTCATGAGAAACAGATGGGAAACAGTGAAAACAGTGGCTGACTTTATTTTGGGGGGCTCCAAAATGACTGCAGAGGGTGAGTGCAGCCATGAAATTAAAAGATGCTTGCTTCTTGGAAGAAAAGTTAGGACCAACCTAGACAGAATATTAAAAAGCAGAGACATTACTGTGACAACAAAGGTCCCTCTAGTCAAGGTTATGGTTTTTCCACTAGTCATGTATGGATGAGAGTTGGACTATAAAGAAAGCTGAGTGCAGAAGAATTGATGCTTTTGAACTGTGGTGTTGGAGAAGACTCTTGAGAGTCCCTTGGACTGCAAGGAGATCCAACCAGTCCATCCTAAACGAAATCAGTCCTGAATATTCACTGGAAGGACTGATGTTGAAGCTGAAATGCCATTACTTTGGCCACCTGATGCAAAGAGCTGACTCATTTGAAAAGACCCTGATGCTGGGAAAGATTGAAGGCAGGAGGAGAAGGGGATGACAGAGGATGAGATGGTTGGATGGTATCACCAACTCAATGGACATGCGTTTGGGTAAACTCCGGGAGTTGGTGATGGACAGGGAGCCCTGGTGTGCTGCAGTCCATGGGGTCACAAAGAGCTGGACACGACTGATCGACTGAACTGAACTGAATTGATAGCTCAGATGGTAAAGAACCTGCCTGCAATGCAGGAGACCCAGGTTCGATCCCTGGGTCAGGAAGATCCCCTGGAGAAGGAAATGACAATGCACTCCAGTATTCTTGCCTGGAGAATCCCATGGACAGAGGGGCCTCACGGGCTACAGTCCAAGGGGTCGCAAAGAGTCGGATATGACTAAGCGAGTGACACACAGAACACACACACGGGCCACAGGGTTACTTTTAGCGAACTCCTCATGTATAAACCTGGGGTTTCCCAGGCAGCTCAGTGGTAAAGAATCTCCCTGCTGTGCAGGAGATGTGGGTTTATACGCTGGATCAAGAAGATTTTCTGGAGTAGGAAATAGCAACCCCTCCAGTACTCTTGCCTGGGAGATCCCACAGACAGAGGAGCCTGGCAAGCTACAGCCCATGGGGTAGCAAAGAGTCGGACATGACAGCAACTAAGCAACATGTTTAAAGAGAGCAGGCTCCTTATGACCGTTATTTTCAGGTGAGGTATGACGTTTTTAATTTCAGTGCAATTCTGATCACTTAAATATGAGAAGACTGTATTAGAAGGCAAAGAGCTAGCTCATTCATTGTCCAGAGTAAAGAGAATCAAAGAAAATTAGTGGCCAATGATACATTTCCATGTTCTACAGATAAAACCCTGGAAAAGACACAACTCACCTACTTTGGGGGTCATGTTGCCAACAGTCGTGAATTCAGGGATTTCTGACCCAGGGACGTATCCAGAGGCCCAGGAAACCTTGAGAGACCCATACGTGCCTCTCCTAGAAATCACAGCTTGGCTTGTTCCGGCAGTGATGTCCGTCAGTGGAAAAGCAGTAGATTCAAACCCAACCTGAGAGAAAACATGCTTAGAATATTTCCTCTTTCTCTAAAAGTTCCTGTTTTCTTAGGAGTGGGTTAAAAGTCAACTTTCTCTTAGTTTACACAGAATATGTCTCTGCTCTAAAATACTTTCGATTAAAGAGTAGTATTTAAGAAATGGCATCTGAAATTTGAAAATGTATCCTATTTATAATTTTGATTGTATTTTATAGCTTTGTTTTTTTATCAAAATGTAAACCTCTGAATTAACACTATCTAAAAATACAACTGTAACTATGGTTAAATGAAAAGATTAAAAATGGCATTTTAATGACTTTGTTATGGGTCTTTATGTGGGAGTATAAAGAAAGCTGAGTGCCGAGGCTATGGTTTTTCCAGTGGTCATGTATGGATGTGAGAGTTGGACTCTAAAGAAAGCTGAGTGCCAAAGAATTGATGCTTTTGAACTGTGGTGTTGGAGAAGATGCTTGAGAGTCCCTTGGACTGCAAGGAGATCCAACCAGTCCATCCTAAAGGATATCAGTCCTGAATATTCATTGGAAGGACTGATGCTGAAGCTGAAACTCCAATACTTTGGCCACCTGATGCGAAGAACTGATTCACTGGAAAAGACACTGATGATGGGAAAGACTGAAGGATGGAGAAGGTGACGACAGAGAATGAGTTGGTTGGATGGCATCACTGACTCAATGGACATGAGTTTGAGTAAACTCTGGGAGTTGGTGATGGACAGGGAGGCCTGGCATGCTGCAGTCCATGGGGTCGCAAAGAGTCAGATAAGACTGAGCGACTGAACTGATGGGTCTTTATAGAAAGACCCATAGTTTGGTATAAAACTAAACTTTGACTTTTTTCTGAGATATAACAATAAATTTATAAAGTGAGTACCATGAACTAGATTTTCTAGTAAGGATTTTTTCAACCTTTGATTCAATTTAATACCTTTTTTTGAGGATCAGAAACCTTCAAGATTTTTTAAAATGATGATCTTTTTCATCCACATAAAGTAAGATCTGATTTTCAGGGTCAACCTTCCCAGAGTACCCTGGGATTTATACATTAAAATACGTTCTGGTCAGAGAATAGAAATAAAACCAGATTTCTGACTTCTCACTGTTATTTGGACAACTTAGTTTACCTCTTTTGTTCCCAGTATCTATAAATTTGGGATACCATAGGCTCAACAGTTCTATATTAAGACTCATCCTCCCCATTTTAAATTGGACTGGAGAGGAGCAGAAAAGTGTGAAGACAGGGCCATAGGACAGCTTCTGAAGCCACAGAAAAGAAAAACAACAACTTCAATTTGACACCAGTCTAGATTCCCTATTTCAGCAAGCCTTCTGCTTAGCAACTGCCAAAATCTGTAGTGTATCTCAGCTCATGCTTGCCACATGGTTCAAGGCTGTTAGAAAGTATCCGAGCAACATCACAAGTGTGCACACACACACACACACACACACACATGCACACACACTCAAATACTGTTGAGGAGTACGGAAGGACACAGCAAGGACAGAAGAACACTATAACTGGCCGTGACCTGGCCCGTTGAGGTGGCACAATGTTGTGACCACAAGCAGAGACAAGGAGTAGAAAATAGTTCACTACACCAAATGAATGCTTCAGGCTGAAAGGAATCTTTGTTATAACGACCTACGAACAAAAGAAGATAAAACGTCAACGCATGATACTCTATACGCTCAGCCTCTCTTGAACAGAGGAGGTGCAGACAAAAACCAATCCTCTCAGTTATTTTTAACGCTGTGGGTTCCACTTTAGGGGCAACTCAAATTCATGCCCTGGGAAGCAGCAGCCCGGGAGGTAGTAACTTGAAGACCATCCTCTTTACGGCCACAGACCCTGTTAGTAAGCTGTGGGCCAGACCTCGCCACGCCTGCCATGCATGTCTATCTGGACAGACGCCACGTCCACTTCCTGGGCAAGCTGAAGGAACCCCCACCTGAGGGAACAGGACACAAGCTGGTATCTTCTCATGGTTTATAAAACCATGAGCCAGACGCAGCAGCCCTGTCTTGTTCCCACACTGACAGAATCGGCCTACACAGGAAGCGAAGTCCTCAAGGCATTCTCTGTTCTCATGTGAATTATGAAGTGACTTGGGAACAATCTTCCCTAACATGAACTTAGGCAGAAGATTCAAATACCTAAGTGTGCCACTAGCATTCATCTACGTTAGCACAAGCTTGCCACAGTAAAAAGAGCCCCACAGATTAAATATTCACAATGCTAGTAAATGAGAAAGTCTGAAATATTAACTGATGCTCCATTCTCATTTTAATTTTTTAGCATAAAATGCCTCAATATTAAACACTCATTATCAGGAAAAAAACAAGTTTTGATTCTAAGTGACCATTATTTTAAAAATTCTATACCTTACATTCAAATAAAAATTCTATACCTTACATTCTACAAGATACAGACTTTTTTAAACTGAAAAAAAGGAGATATGGTTTTCCACCTACTGACAAAAATTGCCAAGTTATTTTCAGATAGTGTATTCATAATGCTTAAACTTGATATTCACAGGATTACACAGATTTACGGAAGCAAACTCACAGAATCTTAGTCCTCTCTGTAAGAGCTGCCCTCTAGTGGTTCCGGGGGAGTACCACACCCAGTGCCAAGTACCTGAGAATTGGCAGCTTTCTCTGGAACTGGAAGGATGGCGGATTTTGCTTCCTGGCGAATTTGGGGCACGCCATAGAAATTTCCACCAACAAGCATCACAGTCACCAGCTGTAAGGTGAAATTCGAGCCCAGAGGTAGGAAGACCTATAAACAAACAGTGTAAGTTGCTTTTTATTAGCAAAAAATAATTTTCAAAGAAAAATACTGACATTTGAAGTGAGTCATTAGCACTCATTCTGCATCAATTTCATCAATATATGTCCTTTCCCCCACATTATAAAACAAAGGCCCATGATGAAGACTTTCAGGCTAAGAGTGAGAGTCATATATTAAAAAATACCAGAAATTTTCAAATTCACCGTGCCTGCCTGGGTGAGCTATGCTTAGTCACTCAGCCATGTCCAACTCTTTGCGACCCTATGGACTGTAGCCCACCAGGCTCCTCTGTCCATGGGGATTCTCCAGGCAAGAATACTGGAGTGGGTTGTCATGCCCTCCTACAGGGAATCTTTCCAACTCAGGGATCGAACCCGGGTCTCCCACATTACAGGCAGATTCCATCCGAGCCACCAAGGAAGCCCAAGAATACTGGAATGGGTAGCCTGTACCTTCTCCAGGGGATCTTCCCAAACCAGGAATTGAACCCAGGAGACCTGGGTTTGTGGGCCTGTATTGTGAGACCTGTATTGTGGGCAGACTCTTTACCAACTGAGCCACCAAGGAAACCCAAGAATACTGCGGTGGTAGCCTATCCCTTCTCCAGGGGATCTTCTAGACCCAGGAACTGAACCGGGGTCTCCTGCACTGCAGGAGGATTCTCTACCAGCTGAGTTACTGGGAAGCCAGTAACTTGAAGAATGAGGAGTATCAGTGATAGAATCACACGTTCCAGGAATGGAGGGAGCACAGTGGTGAAAAGTGTCAGCTCCTAAAAGTAGCAAAACTCACTTTCTCCTTCTTCACTGGGTTCAGTTTAGTTTAGTTGCTCAGTCGTGTCTGACTCTTTGTGACCCTATGAACAGCAGCACACCAGGCATCCCTGTCCATCACCAACTCCCGGAGTCCACCCAAACCCATGTTCATTGAGTCAATGATGCCATCCAACCATCTCATCCTCTGTTGTCCCCTTCTCCTCCTGCCCTCAATCTTTCCTAGCATCAGGGTCTTTTCCAATGAGCCAGCTCTTTGCATGAGGTGGCCAAAGTACTGGAGTTTCAGCTTCAGCATCAGTCCTTCCAATGAACACCCAGGACTGATCTCATTTAGGATGGACTAGTTGGATCTCCCTGCAGTCCAAGGGACTCTCAAGCGTCTTCTCCAACACCACAGTTCAAAAGCATCAATTCTTCAGCGCTCAGCTTTCTTTACAGTCCAACTCTCACATCCATACATGAGCATCGGAAAAACCATAGCCTTGACTAGACGAAACTTTGTTGGCAAAGTAGTGTCTCTGCTTTTAAATATGCTATCTAGGTTGGTCATAACTTTCCTTCCAAGGAGTGTCTTTTAATTTCATGGCTGCAGTCACCATCTGCAGTCATTTTGGAGCCCCCAAAAATAAAGTCTGACACTGTTTCCACTGGTTCCCCATCTATTTGCCATGAAGTGATGGGGCCGGATGCCATGAGCTTAGTTTTCTGAATGTTAAGCTTTAAGCCAACTTTTTCACTCTCCTCTTTCACTTTCATCAAGAGGCTCTTTAGTTCGTCTTCACTTTCTGCCATAAGGGTGGTGTCACCTGCATATCTGAGGTTATTGATATTTCTCCCAGCAATCTTGATTCCAGCTTGTGCTTCTTCCAGCCCAGTGTTTCTCATGATGTACTCTGCATATAAGTTAAATAAGCAGGGTGACAATATACAGTCTTGACATACTCCTTTTCCTATCTGGAACCAGTTTGTTGTTCCATGTCCAGTTCTAATTGTTGCTTCCTGACCTGCATACAGGTTTCTCAAGAAGCAGGTCAGGTGGTCTGGTATGCCCACCTCTTTCAGAATTTTCTACAGTTTATTGTGATCCACACAGTCAAAGGCTTTGGCATAGTCAATAAAGCAGAAATAGATGTTTTTCTGGAACTCTCTTGCTTTTTTGATGATCCAGCGGATGTTGGCAATTTGATCTCTGGTTCCTCTACCTTTCCTAAAATCAGCTTGAACATCTGGAAGTTCACGGTTCACGTACTGCTGAAGCCTGGCTTGGAGAATTTTAAGCATTACTTTACTAGTGTGTGAGATGAGTGCAATTGTGCAGCAGTTTGAGCAATCTTTGGCACTGCCTTTCTTTGGGTAGAAACTAATAACTCTAATGACATTTATTCAAAGCAGATATTGATTTAGATGCACTGATTATCCGAATATTTTGGACAAGTAAAAACTCCTAACACCATATATTAGACACCAATTTTCAAAGTTTTAGAATCCAACAAATTAGAGAAATCCTGAATTTAAAAACTTGTATTACTTTACAGTGGAGAAGGAGATGGCAACCCACTCGAGTATTCTTACCTGGAGAATCCCATGGACAGAGCAGCCTGGCAGGCTACGGTCCACAGGATCCCAAGAGTCGGACACGACTTAGCGACAAAACCACCACCACCAACACCATTACTTTACAGAGATTTTTTTTTAGCACTTACATTTGTCCATAGAAACCTTGCTAATGATAATGGATAAGATGCCATAACTGGGAATATTACTAACGACTCTCTATATCTTTACTGGATGTAAAAATAACCATTTCTGTGAAGTCTGTTCCTCTTTTAAGTGTAATGTACTTAAACACATATCAAAGCACCCAAATGTGTAAAATATGTACTATGCCGGTTTCAAACGTGCCGCATGAGGGGAACAGATGTTTTACGCATTCGATCAATCTTCATTTTTTCAAAATGACATTCGCTGAACATGAAGCACAGATCAAGGGCTGAGGGAACAAGACATAAATCAGTCTCCTGACTTCAATCATGCGCCTCCCGCGTCTCCTTGAAGGAGTGCCCGCTCCCCATGCAGTTCACTGGCTGGGCAGCTAGGCATTCTTTTGTCCTATTTCCTAAAACATGAAGGGCCAGATGTCAGCTCAAAGCCCCTAGGCATTCGTGCCCGGCCACCCAGCTCTGTTCATGGGCCATCCAGCACAAGGACTCATGTGTCAAGGCAGGACCCCAGAGTGCGGTAGTTAAACGTTAAAGTTGAACAGGAACATTTGTTCCTGTTGTAAAGTTGAACGGGGCATCTGGGAAAACGCTGGTTTGCCTACAGAAGAAAAGCAGGGTGACTAATCTGAAAAGGAACTTGAAGGTTCTTAGGAGTTGAGCATGTTGTGTTATCCCCTCCATGTCCCTTGACCCAGGACGGCATCACAGAACCATTCTACAGATTGGCCGTCATTCTTTATGGCTTTTGGCATGAATAGAATTTACTCCCCCATAATATCCTGTGTGCATCTTGAATGCTGCTACTCACTCACTTTTATAACTGGCTGTTAAAGGGTCTTCTCCCGCATAGACAGGGAGCAGTGTGATAACAGTGATTATACCCGATGATCATTGTGTCTGAGCTGCTTCTCACAAACACTGACCCATGGTTAAGTGCCCCGTAAATACTTGAATAAATGACAACAATGAATATAATCTTATCTTGCATTCAAAGTTCTCTTCAACATAGGTTTCTTTAATGTACCAGTGATTCTTACCATCACTTCATCTAAGAAGCCTGTCATTTACCTTGTTAGCCAGATGGTGAACTGTTCACTCTCTGACCCTCATGTTAAAGCAACATCAAGAGTCTTCTAGTTTTCAGAACCTAATGGAAACTCATTCTGTTCCAACACCCACTTGAAGGTCCTTCTCTGTGGCTGACCCAGCTGAAATCCTAACATGGATCAGGAGGGTGCAGCAGGGACAATTGTATGTAACTTGTAACTAACATCCCAAACTTCAAGAGCACCTGGGGTGTGAGGCAAGAAAGGGACCACTGGGAAAATCTTCCCCTCGCTTTAGCACATGTCACACTTGGCCCCAAAGGGTCACCTTGGAGACTAACGCATACAGCAACACCTAGTCATCTATGAGCAGCCTACACCACACATCCTGGAATGTAAGAGAGAGAACCCGTGAAAATTTAATTGTATTAATGAAAGATGTTAAAGCATGCCAATAAGAGGAAGCTTTCATGTATGTGCAAGCTAGTAAACTTTTGCTACTCTTTACTGAAAATAGAAATTGTAAAAATAATTAATATAGGTTCAGAACAGATATGAAGATATCCATAGATACCTCAAACAGGTATTAGAACAGCTAAGTATCTTTATAAACTGTACCATTAAGCGTTCAAAGTGAAAGGAAAAGAGGATGACCATCCTTCAAAATGTCTCAGGTACCACAAGAGATAATCTAAAAGCTAGGCAGATCAAGGATCTTACTCCCTGTGAGATATATATATATGATATATATATATTTTTATATGTATGAATATATGAATATATATATATATTTTTTTCAGCTTTCTTATATATAGTCAGAGAGTAACTTGTATTATCCACATTGTAAAAGAATAGCATAATCTTCACCGTGGCATGCCTTACTGCCAAATGAAATGTGTATAAAAATACACAGTTATTCCTAGAAAAGTTAAAGGAAGACCTCCTAGGGCTCATTAACAGAGATTTAAATTTGAGTGTGTTCAGAAGCTGATGTTATGTGGATCGGTATGGAAAAATGTTTCAAGTACATAATTAAAGCACACTGTATTTTTTTAAACTCTTATAATTTGTAAAGGAGACTTAATACAATAATATTCTGATTACCTTAATCCATCTCTCATTTCCCCAGCTTTGCACTGTTTATTCCAGTCTTGACAACTTGGGGATATAGGAAATGAATTCAAAAATTGATACAACAAAGCCATGTCATTGAGTCAATTTCTTAAACAACTTCAGGGATGTAGGAATAACCATGGATCCCAGGGCTCACTAAGAAGCCTCCATTTTCCCAGCTGCTTAAACAGCAAAAGTAAAAAACTCAAGTGCACAAAAGATCAAAAGGCTGGATAGTAGATACCAATTAGTATAATATGTCAAAAGGTAGTCTATTTTCTATGGATCATAGGCTTAAATGAAACTAAGGTCATCCATTACTGAGTGGGCTGAACTTCAGTTCAGTTCAGTCACTCAGTCATGTCTGACTCTTTGCGATCCCATGAATTGCAGCACGCCAGGCCTCCCTGTCCATCACCGACTCCCGGAGTTTACTCAAACTCATGTCCATCGAGTCAGTGATGCCATCCAGCCATCTCATCCTCTGTCGTCCCCTTCTCCTCCTGCCCCCAATGCCTCCCAGCATCAGGGTCTTTTCCAACGAGTCAACTCTTCTCATCAGGTGGCCAAAGTATTGGAGTTTCAGCTTCAGCATCAGTCCTTCCAATGAACACCCAGAACTGATCTCCTTCAGGATGGACTGGTTGGATCTCCTTGCAGTCCAAGGGACTCTCAAGAGTCTTCTCCAACACCACAGTTCAAAAAGCATCAATTTTTCGGCGCTCAGCTTTCTTTATAGTCCAACTCTCACATCCATACATGACCATCGGAAAAACCATAGCCTTGACTAGACGAAACTTTGTTGGCAAAGTAGTGTCTCTGCTTTTTAATATGCTATCTAGGTTGGTCATAACTTTCCTTCCAAGGAGTAAGCGTCTTTTAATTTCATGGCTGCAGTCACCATCTGCAGTGATTTTGGAGCCTAAAAAAATAAAGTCTGACACTGTTTCCACTGTCTCCCCATCTCTTTCCCATGAGGGCTGAACTTATTGGACCATAAACAGGAAACTGTTTCATTTCTCTCCTCTTACTGCTTTGTAGCGTCTCTTTGCACTTCCCTTTGACAATGTTGTGTGTAGATCTCAGAGCTTCCTGTCATTGTTTATGAAGGAAAAGGCCAGATCCATACCAGTAAAAACTTTCATCTCACACTCCATTAAAGCTCCTCTATTTATCCCAGCTCTTGCTCAATCCACAGCTGAAGATCTAAGGTGGGAATGGGACCATGGCATGACTTTTCAGTACTCCTCCAGCCCTTCTTGGACCTTCCCATCAATCTTCCGGCACCTCTGAGCAGATGGGGAGTTGCTTTGAGGAAGACTGACAAAGGTCTTGCCTCACTTCTGTGGTCCTTTCTAGAGTAACACTGGCAGGCACCCAAACATTTGACCTTTCATGGAATCCATTCGTATGTTCATCAAAGACTTCAGAATTCAGCTCATCGCCATTCCACCACAGGAATGTACAGTCTTCCAATGATCTTTTCTACTGTCTCCTAACTTCACAATCTCATACCATTCTCAAGACGACTCCAATCTGGCTACCCTCTGGCATGGACTTTCACGGCCATGAAATAGCAACCCCCACTGCTGCAATGCATCCCATGTGTGAAGTAAATGAACTTCACTCCCATGCATATGGAACGACACTAGGTACCTCTTGCAAGGATTCAGACAAACAGTCCCTCAAATCACTCTCTGCGGCTGAGTGAGAAAGATTGCTGGGTACCGACTTGGTTCCTGTCGCTCTCACCTGATATGTTGGCAGAACATCTGCTGTCCTCTCTCCTCATTAACAAAAAAAACCATAGCTGGCTTTGTGGGTGGCAGATTTTCAAGCGATACCCCATAGCCCCGTCAAACCCCAGGAGACACGTACCCGTCCCTCACTGCACTGCCCTTTGGTAAGAGCACAAGTGTCTGTCACTCAGTCGTGTTTGACTCTTTGTGACCTCATGGACTGTAGCCCACCAGGCTCCTCTGTCCATAGAATTCTCCAGGCAAGAATACTGGAGTGGGTTACCATTTCCTTCTCCAGGTAGGAGCACAAGGAAGCCTACAAAAATCTCCCCCTCAATAAGCATTCAGTGAGTACATGTGTGTGTAATGTGAGTGTGTGCAGCACTTGGAACAATTCCTGGAATTCTGAAGGACTAAATAACTGCCTTCTACTATCTAGACAAGAATATTTTATCTCCAGGATAAAATAACTTATTTACTTATAAGCTGCAAATACCTCAGTAAATGTATTATCCAAAAATTACAATGCGTTTTCTAAGGCATCTTCCACGGTTCCATTTAAAAGTCTAAATTAGATTTTAAACTGATCATGAGATTAACAAGGGTTTTCTTGAAGGAGTCTTTCGGAATTACTGGGAAAACGAAAAAGAGGCTACAAACCTGACTCTGGATTGGCACTGAGTCCACTTTATATCTGGTACCATCTCTGACCACCAGCTGCCTCTCTGCATTTTCTGTAACAACAGACTGCTCCTTAGAGTCAGATGAGATTCGATATCTGACAGCCACATCTCCAAATGTGCCTGCAAGTCGGGTTACATTAATTTGGATGAATCTACGAAGGTTCTGCCCAATAAGTATGGACTGGTAATCTGAATACAGGGCAAATATTCCATGTGGGTCGTCATTTGCAGAAACAGAGAACCGAATGATGCATTTTTCTGTGTCCAGCTTTGCTCCTCCCTTCACTGAAACAAGCTGGAGCACATACACTTCCTCTATCTCAGGAGTATCATCTGGCAGCAAATGAACATCAAAGCTGGCCTCACTTTCTCCATCGGCAATGGTGAAAATTCCTTTTGTAGAATGAAAGTCTCCGGTAATATCAAACTCACTAGTTAATTCCCAGTAAACCTAAAACAAAAGGAAGAAAATCAACAAAGTTATATAACACAGTGTATTTAATCAAAATCCTTTAAATTCATTTACCTCAATTATATATAAAAAGTTTGCATCAACAAGCGTGCATCAATATATTCAAATTTAAATTCTGCAAGTATCGCTATTTAAGTAATCTAGAAACTATCTTAACTCTTTGATGCTATTGTATGCCATTTGCAGGACAGGATAACAAAATGTCATTTCACCTGCTTCTAAAGTAGTATAAAATTTGACAAGATAAAGAGAAACAAATTAACTTTAAAATATATCAGTTCCACAAGTGCATTCAACAGTGAACCAAGACCATATTTGAGGGTAAAAAACAAGTAGATAATCTGATATTTACATTGGAATTTGTTTCTGTTTGTTTTTAATAAAAAGAGGATATCTAAGATTTTAAAAAATTAAGAATTTCTCCAAAGGAAAAAACCTCTAAAAAATTTATTTTCCAAACATTTTTTACCTCCATAAAGTTTCACCTGAAGAAAAGTAACAACTAATCTCCAATACAGTGGAAAAGCTAAGTTTATAGAGAGATTTCACAAAATAAATTTAGCTAGCAAACAAATAACCTTGATCTGTTCAATGAATATCTAGATAATTTAAAAGGGCATCTCAATGATATTGAGAATAAAGAATATATCAAGCAATTTGTAAAAATCATGGATAGTCCTGTTAAGCAGGAAAAAGCTTCACATTATATAGCAAATAAGAAATTACACATTATAGCAAACAAGAAAACAGTTCAGTCATATTATTTGATTAAATATGAGAAAGATCTTTTTAACATAACTGTAACTGAATATTTAAAGAGACAGCAGAGGTTGGTGCCGGTAGCCTAAAGAGGCCTCAGTGAACCTTCTCAGCCTGTGTGAAAATTCATGTCACTTCAGTTTATCAAAAACTTGAATTCTCCAGAACTCGCAGTTTCTCTGTTCTTCTCAACCACAACCGTCAGTCAAACGATTACTCTGCTAACAGACTTGTGGACTCTGTGGGAGAAGGCGAGGGTGGGATGTTTCAAGAGAACAGCATCGAAACATGTATATCTAGGGTGAAACAGATCACCAGCCCAGGTTGGATGCATCAGACAAGTGCTCGGGCCTGGTGCACTGGGAAGACCCAGAGGGATCGGGTGGAGAGGGAGGTGGGAGGGGGGACCGGGATGGGGAATACATGTAAATCCATGGCTAATTCATTTCAATGTATGACAAAAACCACTGCAATGTTGTAAAGTAATTAGCCTCCAACTAATAAAAATAAATGGAAAAAAAAAAAATCCAAAGGAAAACAGTACCATAATCTCTCCTGATACACCCTTGATTCTTTTGACAAAGAAGGTAATGATCAGGGGCCCTTCCAGAGCTGATGGCTCCAAATAGGTCTCCTCAGACAAAGACTCGGGCGCAAACTGAATCACTCCATTAGGATCACCAAACTTCTCTATCTAGAAACAGAGCAAAGTGAAGACGTATGTAACAACTGCTGATGAAATTACAGTCTGCAAAGTACCAGTACACTGATATGTTGTGTATGTACAAGATAAACTGAGGGAATGAAAGAAACACAATAACGAGACTTGGTTACATTATTACGAGAATAGTACGATTCTATCTGGCTGTGCCACTTTTAAAAACCTTCATTTCTCTGACTGTTACCTAAAGCAAGAAAGTTCTTATTCCCCAAGGATAATGGGAATAAGTGTTTAAAATATGACAATTTGTAGAACCTCAAAAGGATAGAACTTCAAAGCCTGAATTAGCTTTACTCACCTCATGTTTGCTTCATTTAACCAGCTAAGTTTAGCCAACCTCTTTCTACTGGTTCTGATGTATTTATATTGATAATATGGAGGGAGATGAGGGCCCTGTGAGGGTTAATTTTATGTGTCAGCCTGACTAGGCTAAAGTGCCCAACTGTTTGCTCAAATGCCTTGCAGATGTTGCTGTAATGACATTTTGTAGATGTGGTTAAAAGTGACAAGCAGCTGACGAAGGCAATAAAACTATTCTCAGTAATGGGATGGACCTCATCCAGTGAGATAAAAGCTTTAAAGAGCAAACACTGAGGCTTCCCGGAGAAAAAGGAATTCTGCCTCAAGACCACAATTTAGGAATGCTGCTTGCATTTCCAGCCTGCTGGCCTGCGTCACGAAATTCAAACTCAAGAAGGCAACTTCATTTCATCCCTGAGCTTCCTGCCTGCTTTATGGATTCTGCTTTATGGATTCCTTCCACCTGTTTTATGTATTCTGACTTGCCAGCCCCCACAGTCATGGGATATAATTCCTTACAAAATGTCTCTCTTTCTTCATATCTGTTTCCCAACATTAACAGTTCCAATTCTCTGGGGACATCTGACTGATACAGACCCCATATAAAAGAGGCTTTTCCAAACTTAGAAAAAGGTGCATCTCTCTACCTTTTTTTCCGTAACCTTGGTCTCCAGGACTTTCTGCCCCAATGGACTGGGTGATTCATACCAAATAAGTGTTATCTGGATCTGACTCACACCATCACTGTACTAACTGAAAAAGTACCATTCTTCCTTTCAACAGTCTGACTTGTGACTACCTGTGAACTCTGATGCCCTTTAACAGCAAAGATATCCAATGTTCATGATGCAACAAATGCCTCCTCTCGAAAAGTGCCAAATCTCCCCAAAGCATCAAATTTTCTCAAAAAGTGTAAAATAACTTTTTCTCAGTATCTTAAAGAATTACCAATAATCAGGCTATGTAATAAACTAACGTAACAATCACAACATCTGACCCACAGGAATTACTATGACTTCATTGGGTTTTATGACTTTTAATTCATCATAAGCCCGTAGAGTTTCAACAAATGTAGGCACGTTTTCCGAAAGATCCTTTAAAGCTGAAATTTTGTGGGAAAAATACAGTCAGACTTACTGTTAATGTAACATCTTTAGCTGTGGAGTCTAATTGAGCTTCTCCTCGCACAAGCTTAAGTTTAATAATGAAAGTCTTTTCAATTTCAATGTCATCATGTGGATAGATTACCAGAATGATGCTTCTCACTCCACCTTCCCCATCTCCAAAAGAGAAAGACCCGCTCACTGGGTCTGCAATGTCTCGGTTCTGTGGCGGTAAGGCTTCCTGAGAATTGGGTCCTACTATCTCCCAGTTCACCTGCAGGGTGTTTGTTTTTTAAAGAAAACAATCAGCTTCAAACAAAGAATTTCTTCGCAGGATAGGCAGTATTGAAAATATATACATACATGTGAAAGTTATTCTAGACTATCTCCCACAAAGCCCTATGTTATCAACTCATGTTGTTTAAAATAATCTTTACAAACATAAACTATGTAATCTAGAGAATATCCATTTTCATGAACAACAATATCTAACATGTAATGAAAACTCTGAATACCTGGTCATTTGTCATCATCACAGGATAACAAAAATACAAAAGTACATACTCTAAACAGAGTAATATAAACTTTTTAGGGCTTTCCAGGTGGCTCAGTAGTAAAGAATCTGCCTGCCAAAGCAGGAGATCCAGGTTCAATCCCTGGGTTGGGAAGACCCCTGGAGAAGGGAAAGGCAACCCACTCCAGTATTCTTGCCTGGAGAATCCCGTGGACAGAGGAGCCTGGTGGGCTACAGTCCATGGGGTCACAGAATCCGACATGACTGAGCAATTGAGCACACATGCAAACTTTGATAAATACAAGTACAAACTATCTTGCTAGTGCACAGGTTCTGTTCATCAAAACCTATCTGAATCATGTGAAAAGTCTGTTGGGTATGCAGCAACAAGTACACTTAAATAAATTCCTAGTATAAGAGGAACAGAAATGATCACAGTTATAAGGAACAGAATTTTTATGTTGAAACAAGGGAATCATTTAAAGTTTCTGTAATTTAAAATTATATACTTCTCACATCCATAAAGAAAGAAAACTGGGCACTTGTCTTTGCTTCTTTCATCTTTGATCGGCGTGAGACCCAGCTGACCACTTCTTTCTCTGGAAACACTGCATCCCATCTTCCTTGGCTTACGTGATACTTATATGGCACAAGTCATCCTAATTTTCCTTCTCTACATCTCAGTCTTCTTGGCTGGTTCTCCTTCCTCCAATCCATAAATGCTGGGAGCCCAGGACTTGGGTCTGTATCTTTTCCATCCCTGTCTACACTCCTCGGGCCTCAGGGTTTCAAATGCCTCCAAGTATGTCACCACCTTTCAGATCGGTGTTTTGACCCTTGCACTGGGCTGTCCTGCCGCTATCCCAAATCAACAAAACCAAAGCAGAACTCTGACTTTTCCCCAAGCTTCGACACCTTAATAAACAGCACTACGATGTAACCAGTTGCTCCTCTAAAATTTCTAGGTTATCTTTTATTCCTCTCTGTCCCTCAGGCTCCACCGGCCCTCGTGTATTTCTCCTCCAAAATATACTCAACCTCTATTCACGCCTGGCCATCTGTACCTCTCTCCCTGTCGGAGCCATTGTTAGCTCTGCTGTGGGCTCTAGAGGGCGACACCCTTCTAATTCCCCTCCCTGCTCCTACTCTGGCTTTTGGACAACCCATTTCCTTCACAGTTCTAAGTGAGCCGACGACCCGGTGACATTGATATCACTCCTTTGCCTAAAACTCTCTGATGGCGTCCTATTGGCACTTCGACTCATCTTCAATCTGATTTAGAAAGTTCTCTGTGGTCAAACACCTACAGGCCCCTGTGATCTAACCTGGGCTGTGAGCCCTTCATTTCCAAGCCCACCCTCCTCCCGGACCTCTTCACACCTCAAGCATACCAGGTCTGTAGGTCTGCACTATCTAACCCCTCTGCCCAAACGCTCAGCCCCTAATGATTACATGAGCACCTCTTTCAGCTTAAATATCACACCCTCACCATCTAATCAAGGGTAGCCAGCAGGAAACAATATGTTACTAGACAACCAATGGATCACTGAAGAAATCAAAGAGGAGATTAAAAAATACCGAGAAACAAACCACAGCAAAAACACAGTGATCCAAAATCTACGGGATGCAGCAAAAGCAGTTCTAAGATGGAAGTTTATAGCAATTTGTTTGCTTATTGTTTGAAAATTCTAAGAGAACAGGGACCAACTGTGTCCTGCTAACCTGTGCGTTCTCAGGGACTATGACAGGGTCTGGCACATGGAAAGCACTCAACAAATATACTTGCTGATGTAATGAGTTTTACCAGAACCCTTCATTTAATTGTTAACTTTCTCTCAAGAGTTCCCTGAAGGCAGCGGTATGCCTCATACATTTTTATGTATTTCATAGGATTTGGAAACTGCTTTACATCTACTTGGTAATTAATAAATTTTATTGACTGTGAATAAATGAACATATTTGAGAAATAAGAAAATCCAACACCATAACTATCAATCAAAATTATTTTAAAAATCATGGGGAAAAAATAACTCTACCTGAATCTCTCCCAAGAGTCCTCCAGTCCGCTCCAGCATCAAGGGTAAAGTCATTGTGGAATTGGGATTAGGAACAGAAACTCTGCTTTGATTGAGAAATCTTACTACACCAAAAGGAGAGTCACTCTTGGCAATCGTGATTCTGCACACTAGATGGCGCCCAAGGACCGCTCCGCCGGTAGCTCCAATGAGCATAATTTCAATGGGCTCCTCAAATTCACTGCATAGCAAGAAGGAGCAATTCTGTGAGTCTAAACATAATAAAATGCTTCTAAAACCCAAATAACTAGTCATTTGCCAAATTGGTCATACATATTCAAGGCGCAGTAGTCACACACCAAGCGCTAAGGAGAGGGTGCTCAGCTAGAAGCATGAAATGATCAACTTCAATATTACATAACCTGCAAATTATTAGACTTTCTTCCCCTCTTTTTAATTGCTTAATGAATTAAAGAAGTGATTTGCAGGATGTTTCCACATTCTGACTGTAGACTCTTCAATCTAGACGAACAAAAATCAGTATTTCTTCTTCTATTTGAGAAAAAGTGACACATAATCACTGTGGTCTCTCATTCCCTTTTTCCCTACCCCTGCACCCCACCCCCTAGAGTTCCTCACTCATTTCTCCATGGGCACAACTATAATCAAAAATTCTATTTTCAGGGCAAAACACAGGTAAGGACTGGAACACAATACTCATGATTTACATATGTGCATGTTACATACGAAACAGTATTACCTTTCATCGTCATCAATGATGGAAACATTTATAAAACTTAAGTTCTGCCCATGCTGAAAGGTGACTGAACTACCATGCAGAACATAATCGACACCACCAGGAACTGCAGAGGAGCTCTGAGAGATGAAATCAGCGGTCACACGGCCGTAAGTGCCATGAAGTCTCTGCACGGGAATCATGATCGTCCCTGTGTCTTCCTCCACTGGAACAGGAATGTGCACTGAATTAGTATGCCAACCAAAGAAACTGACTTTAATATGGCTCAGTTAAATCAAACATGACAATTAAATATAACAGGACGATGCAAGCACTCAATTTTTCTGCAGTTCGTTTCTCGCTTTGAAGAACCATTAGTGGACACGTCACAACTTACTTTTTATCAGCGAAGGCATTCTACCTCTGTGTGCCACATACAAGTTAATAACCCTTACTGCTAGACAAACTGGTAGATAATGGTAGACGAACACAAAAAACACTTAAAACATGTGTAATGTATTCAAAGGAAACCATTCTGGATTGTTTGTGCATATTTAATTGAAACACTGGTAACATTAAAAAATAAGGTATATTTTAGTTATATCATATGAGTGTTTTAAAAGTCCAGATATAAATGTGATTCTGTTACATTTTTCTGCTTCTACTTGTAAATCTGAACATATATCCTCGATGTTTGATTTCAACTTAAGAATTCTATTCAAAAGTTTATTTCTTCTTCAGCTATACTAATATCAGTATATTAAAATATCATTTAATAGAGTTCATAAAAGCCACGGCTAAGTAGTACTGAACTCACATTGTAATTATCACTATGCGTTGTGCAAATCTTCCCAAAGACAGTGAATCAAACAGAGAACAGAAAAAAGACCCCATTTTTTTCTTGGTATAAAAATGCAGCCTGACTTCTACTTGCTGTAGGTTGAAGTTTGCAAAATGATGATGTCTTCTATGATGCTACCCATGAAGCCAATAATAAATCACTCCTAAAGTGATTTCTGACGAACTTTAAAATGGCAGATAACAAAAGAATTTGACAGAGGTGATGAAGGTGATAAACTGATTGCAATAATAAGAAAAAAATGTTTATTTTGAAAGGTATATTCATATTCTGCCTTTGAACAAAAACAGAAAGGCAGCCAACTACTTCTACCCAGGAGGATGTACAGGATGTATAACCATATATTCCACATTCCGCTTCTACATGAGGGGAGGGAGAACTGGCCACAGAAGGCAAGCTGCTATTAGGAACTGTTTGAAGAAAGCATGATTGGGAGTCCAGATACTATCTGTGCCTGCAGTCCAGTAAAATGTTTCAAAGGTGATTATTCATTAGAAAATGAATATTCACTGATTTTTAATTGCAAAGGAAATTAAGCACTGCATAAATTAGAACTACACTCATAAAACTCTTCAAAATATAAACATTTCAAAAATCCTAAAATTAAACATAATTTCTCTAAATGCCTTATTCCTAACCATTCCATTTTGTCATACACAAGTGAGATTCAAGACTGTCTGAAGGTAACTCAAAATATGTTCTAAAAATGAATACAAATATAAACACATAAAGGCATAAATAAATACAAAGTATATATGTAAACACACACATGTACACACACATCCCAAACCAAGAAAATGCATGTAGGAATTCAAACTGATAATGTCATGCTCAGGTACTCTGATTCAGAATTGGTGCTAAACTTATAAGGAAGGTTACTGAACCTACCTTCAAAGGTGGTATACCTTGGGTCAAATTCAATGATTCCCTCTGCATTATCATTTTTCATTATGATAATTCGGACAATGGAGATGTTTCCTATTTCAGGAGGTTGGTCTATTTGAAGTCCATTTTCTTGGATGGTAAAATCATACCCTCTTGCAAAGTCATAAAAAATAAAATAAAATAAACTGAGTACATAATTGCTTAGCATAAATTGAAGAAGGGTCCTACTAGCTCCTGTAATTGAGTCATGAAGCTCAACACGAAAATACCTTTCTTTTCTGAAATGATGTTTGAAATAGATTTCTGCACTGCTCTCAGTTATTACTGCCTGGATAAAATCAAAACTAATACAATGTTACTAAACTTAGTCCATGGGAGGATAATAAAATTATAAGGAAATTGGGAAGAAGTTGGAAAATGAACTTCTGGGGCTGGGAAGGTACTGCTGAACATACACTAAACCACTTTAGTCCTTCAATTTCTAAATTCTATTTACCTAGTATTTTTAACCTACCTAGCTTTGAAAGCTCATCAACATGATTATATATAAGGTAAAATTAGAAAATTGGGCATTAAAATATTAAGATAAACTGTTATCAACAGTCTGAGAAGGATTATGGCTTAGCTGCTTACCATAACTTAATACCAAGGCAATAAGTTTTCTAGAAACTAGGAAAATTGGGTTTATACTAAACTTTCCTTTTCAGATCAAAGTAAGCCTGGAAACGTATCTGGAAGAAAACATTACTTCCTTAGAATTAAGATTAAGTAGGAACTGGGTTTTTTAAAGGATAACAATGAGGACAAATGCTTCAAGCCCTACTTAGTTAAAAACACAGATATAATATCACACATAATGTGCTATGCTTATCAAAGTTCACTCAATTAATTAAAACTGACCAGCTCATGTTTTAACACATTTAATACAAGGACAAATTCATTCCCATCATCAGACACAGACTCATTTCCGGCAATTGAAGATTTGAAGGGTTTGTGAGCTCACAGCTAATTTTTCTCAGGGGAATAATATACACTCTGCCTCCTTCAGTGAAATATTTTAGTTAGAAGAAAGCTTTAAAAAATGGCATTAATATCACCAATGCAAAAACATTTTCGTTGCATGCACAAGTAAACTTCCACTAAGAACTATCTAAATGCAAACAGGATTCCAGTAAAGGTTATGCGTGAGCCAGAGGTGCTCCTTCTGCCACGCAACCTCCGAGTATTTCATCCATTTCATCATGGAACACTTGTTCCCCACCCTGTTAATCAAGTTCACTCCCACTAAATCAGAAAACAAGAGAGTCTTAACAGGGTTAATTCTTGATCTTCAATGAATCCCAACTATCTCTGACTCAAAAATTCTTCCCCTGCTTTAAAAATGCCATTGGGCAAATATCTACCTCATTCATCCACAAAGAAGATAAAACAGTCTCCGGAGAGACCAAAGAAAGAAATCTCTCAGTCCAGCCCCCTCTGTGGTGTAGAGACAAGAGATGGGGGAACCAAAATCCGCTGCCAGCTGACCTTTGACCTAGAGAACAGCTACTCTCTTTTCTCACCAATTACTACCAGCGAACACCGTGTTCAATTCTCTTGCTGCTCAGAGTGACTTCACACAACGGAAACGCACACTTTCAACTTTCAGGGGGAAAAGTTATATTTTACAATGTAGTATAATTACCAGGCTTCGCCACCACGTCCCGTCCCAGTGTCACATGAATGTGAGAAAAAGCCGGGGCAGACCATCTTGGAGCTTAGAATTAACCCCTGCACAGCCCAGCGCTGACTCATCCTTTCCCTCTTTTTCCTAATTGTCTCTTTCACTTTACCTTCCCAGGAGTTCCACCTCTGTCATCACGAGGGAAAACTCCTCTGGACCTTCCGGAAGGCCGTCGTCAAGGATTTCAATGTGCACGCTCTTCGCCGTCTCTCCGGCTTCGAACAGGAGCTGCGCGGGAGGGGGCAGGAAGTCCATGCCCGCCGCGGCCGTCCCGCTCACGGCCTCCACGCGGAGCCTCACGCGGCCGAGAGACCCACCCGATCGGGTGACTGTGAGGTTCACCTGCGCGACAAGCAGCGTGTTTTCACTTGGTTTGGGTGAGTACTCGACCACGCCAGACTGAATTCTGAGCGTCTCTAACTTTACTTACCAGGATTACCTGGAAGTTCTATGCAAATTGATTAAAAATATATATATATAAAGTCGACATGAAAACGACAGCAGGAGCACATGAAATCAGCTTGAAAACTTGAGAGTGTGAACGTAGACACACCTTTTAAAGACCGCTCGTGACACGAAAGAGAAAGGGCATTTCGCGCACCTTTTGTACTTCCTCGGCCACTCGCAGCTGCTCTTGAGAAAAGGCGAACCGGCCGTAGGGAAAGTCACTGGCCGCCACGGTGATGTTGGCGGTGGTGCCAGCCTCGCGCAACACTCCGCCCTCGCTGACCGCAGTGAGCTGAAACTCATAGAAACGCTTTTCCTCGGGAAGGTCATCGCTCAGAACCTAGAGAGCACAGAAACAGCCATTCGCAGCAGAATCTGAACATTTAGCGAAAAATAAACATCACATCAGCAACAACAGGCTGTGATATGAAGCCTACCGCCCCCCCCGCCAACCACACACATGCACACTCACAGCAAAGGGCGTGAGAGCACCCGTGATACCTGGATCAGCACAGCGGCCGCAGACTGCCCGTCTCGCATCGTCAGCTTTCCCGATGTTACGGCAAATTCCTCCAAGGAGGGCGGGACTATCCGCCAGGACACGGTGACCTCCCCGGAAATCGCTGGGCCACGAATAAGGCTACAACAAGGTAAAATGTATATTTCAATACATTTTTATTGAAAGAGCTTTTCCTAGATATCTGCTTAGTCCTTCAACAATAAACAATTTTCATTTATTTCCAGAACATTATGCATTTCTTTAAAACCTGGTATTAGAGCACAGTTCATTTAACCACTGGATTAGTTCCAGGTGTACGGTAAACTGAATCAGTTATACACGTGCATATATTCACTCTTTTTTAGATTCTTTGCCCACACAGGTCATTACAGAGTAGGAGTAGAGTTCCGTGTGCAATACAGTAGGCTCTAGTTAGTTATTGTTTTACATATCAAAGTGTCAAAGTGTCAGCTGTTCAGTCCTGTCCTACTCTCTGCGACCCCATGGACTGTAGCCCACCAGGCTCCTCTGTCCATGGGATTCTCCAGGCAAGAATACTGGAGTGGGTTGCCATTCCCTTCTCCAGAGGATCTTCCAGACCCAAGGCTCAAGCCAAGATCTCTTGTATTGCAGGCAGACTCTTTACTATCTGAGCCACTGGGAAGCCCCATTTTACATATATAGTAGTGGGTATATATCAATTTCAATTTCCCAATTTATTCCTCCCCCACCCTACCCTCTGGTAATTATAAGTTTGTTTTATCCATCTGTGGGTCTATTTCTGTTCTGTAGATAAGTTCCTTTGTACCCTTTTTTAGATTCCACATATAAGCGGTATCATGATATTTGCATTTCTCTGTCTGACTTACTTCACTCAGTATGACAATCTAGGTCCATCCATGTTGTTGCAAATGGCATTATTTTAAGAACATTATTTGCATTTAAACAACCTTATCTATCAACTGTAAAGCAAATGAAAGTCGTATAATCCTAAGACAGTAACACCCAAAATACTGAACTTGTGTAAATTTACTTGACAACAATACAGGCAAAAGCTGAACATTAAAAGTATAAAGCTGAAAGGGAATTTTTTTTAAAAATGTATGTATAGATTCCTCACGTACTACACAAAATATAAAGCTCAAACAGACTAAAGAACAGGAAACACTTCATAAATGCAATGCTACTGCAAAAACAACCAAAAAGACAAAAGTTTTAACATAAATCCAGCTACTTTATTGATAGTTGCTATCCCACCCCTCATGAGAGAATTCATAATAAACAAAATTGCCTATGATCATAATGTTGTTGTTTTTGTTTAGTTGCTAATTTGTGTCCATATTTTTTGAGACCCCTTGGATATAGCCCACCAGGCTCCTCTATTCATGGGATTTTCCAGGCAAGAATACTAGAGTGGGTTGACATTTTCTTCTCCAGAGAATCTTCCCAACCCAGGGATCTAACCTGCCATCTCCCGTGTCTCTTGCGTTGGCAGGCAGGATTCTTTACCACTGCACCACCTGGGAACATCTTAGTTATATAACAGGTCCCAATTTTAGAACATCTTAAAATCTTTGATTCAGATGATTTTTTAAGGAATGATTTTGTAGCTCAGATACACAAGTAGCTCCTATTTTACAGCATAAGTGACAAAACAGTGCTGAGAGCATAGATCTCCTGTCGTTGCTCAATGTGCTTTCCTCGTCATGGGCTCTGCAAATCATCTAAAGACCACAAACCTCAGATTTGACATTAAGACAGGTCAAAACATACCTTCAGTGTTTATCAAAAATGTGTTCTCACCCCAGGATTGTACCAATTTATAAGAAGAATATGTCTGCACTGAGAACAATGTATTTAGGGCATAAAAATGCTAATTACATACAACTTCAAAATTCTCACCTGGGCAATAAAAATCATTAAGCCCTTACCTAATGATGGCAGTACCATTATATTTTGCTGAAGGTTCTCCAATGAGGACATGCCTAGATGATGGAGCTATCCCAACTTCTCCAGATGATCCCTTATCTCCTCGAATGATTATTGATGCACTACCTGAATTCAAGATGATACATAATACCACTCATGTAGAAAACACATGTATTCACTTAATACACACCTGGCAATGTCTAAGGGATTTACATATACGAATCCTGTGAGTTAATCCTCATGATAAGCATGTAAGTTAGGAATTAATATTATCCTCATTTTACCAACAAAGATGTGTAAGCGCACAGAGGCATTGAAGACAGTAAGGCATATGACTTGCCCATGATCACATTTTAATGAAAGGGATAAAGTGGGCAGTACTTCTAATACCACTCCCATGACAAGCAAGTATGGGATTGCATTCTACCCCATGCATTAATCCATTTCTGCAGTAACCATTCTGCAGTTCCCTGCAATTGGCTCTGTGGTTAGATGGCTATATCTGTTAGCTAGGTAGCAAAAGCAAGAATTCTTGGGGACCCATTTTTATTTTTAATTTTCTGACAACCATTTGCTTCTAAATATTTATAAAATGTGTCAAGTATTCCTACAAGGGTGGAAATAAAAATTGTATCAAGTAATTTGAGTATTCATATCATAATCTGGTAGTAACTTAAATGAACTTGTTTCCAGAAGCACACATTAGAGTTTCAAGAAACAAAGGACTGGATTATTACACTATCATTTTCTACGACAATGGATTAATAGCACCAACAGTGGTTTATCAAGTGTAAGTATGTCACAGTTAGGAATATATTATGATTTTTTTTATGTTAACAAATGATTTACCTTGATCCACTGGTATACTCTTGTCCTTGCATCTAGTTAGTCCATAGAAACATCAACTCTGCTGTTTAACACAATGTAAATAACTGAGCTAGCTGACTTAAGATTTACGTAAGAATATAACGCAAAGATATGATTGACTCAAATGCCCGAAGGAAAGTACTCTGGATAAAAATGCAAAAAGATTAACTACCCTAGGTAACATCCGGGGTGACAGTATATGATACTCTCTACAATTCTAAGAATTTCCTTGGCCACAGAATTCTGCTTCTTTGGCCACAAACCCTTGCATAGGATGTTCTTAATTTCAAAAAGGGACACGCAACAGGAACTAAGCTTTCATATCAACGTTGCTGTGCCATTTTTTATGGGAATTACATAATGAAACCATTTTAGCACCATTAATCCTCTTTCTCCAGATGTAAGAAACAAATTTTCACATGGACCATAGGCAAATGAGAATTATGATGCCTGTTTCTGAACGGTCGAAATATCTAAGCAGTTATTTTATGATGAAAAGAGGTATAGATAGGCTAAAAGAGACATAATAACAGGCTAAGTTTTAAAATAACATCTTATTACAAAAGTAACGGTGGTCATTTTAAGTATGTGTAGAAAATAGATACTAAAAAACCACTATCAACATTTCAAGTAAGTAATTCCTAATGTTTATGACATGCACATGACAAAAGTGGGATTACACTGAACACGTTGTTAGAAAGCCAGTTTTATGAACTCAAGAATTATCCATGTAATTAAATGTTCTTAATTTTGATGCAAGTAAGGCTTTTTCTGCCACATTTTTTGAATACCTACAGAGTATTCTGTTAAATTTAACCAGTCCCCTGCTGTTCGGTCATTTAGGAAGCTTTCATACTTTACTTTATGAACACTACTAAAATAAACATCTTTATTTATTTTTTTAAAATCACATAACTATGTAGTATGAAAACCTTGGCGTGTGACCCTAACAATACTGTGTATTATAATTTTAGCTTTAAAAAGTCCTTAGCTGTTATTCAAGTAGGAAATAACATCCTCATGTTTTAACAGACATTTTATGAATTGTAAAAACAAACACTACCCATCATTGTAATTACTGATTATTTGGTCACATTTTTCAAAAAAACTACTTTTTCATTTCCAAACACGTCACTATCTCTTACCTTTTATTGGAGATATTTCTACCTCATCAACTGAGAGCAGCTGAATGGTGAAATGCCTGTCCTCCTCCAACGTGGCGTCCTGAAGTGTGTGCAACACAATGGTCTTCTGGGACTCAGTCTACACCAAATGAGAGGACAACACGTGTTTTCAGAGTGGCCAAACTTAAGTTTTGAATATTCTCATCAGCAGAATGACATTTAAGTTCATAAGCACTTTTTAAAGGTGCCCTTTCTTTAAACCCTTTAGAATTACGGGTTTCTTCCAGAAATAATTATTACATAAAAATTAGCTCTGAGCAAAAATCCCATTAAGATTCTTAACAGGAAGAAGGGGGAAATTTTTAACACAACTTTCAAATTTACTGAAAATTTTCAACCACTGAAAGTTGACTCACTTGAGTTAAATGGTCACAGTATGACGTAAATAAATCACAGTGAGAGGTTTAATACTTGCAAGGGTTATCTACCTACTACCCCTTTCTGCTACTTGCTTTCTACCCACTCCTGCTTCCTTCCTATTCCTTTCGCAGGTGTTGATCTCAAGAGAGCTCATATTATTCCTTCCCTCTCTGGTCTTACACTTAGCTCAGTAATTTCTTGGAACATATGGTAAGTTTTCAGTACAGACTGGAAGAGAAAGAACAAGGAAAAGCAAATACACAGAAGACAATAAGCTTAATACTTTGCGATGTAACCATGACAGAAATCATTTTTATCTTTAAGGTCTCCTCCGATGCTGACTGAAAAAAGTCCAGTTTTTCCCACGCATCACTGAACAGTTTTCCACAGTTTGAATTCTGCTGTTCATTTCCTCTTATCTCAGTTTTACAGGCTTCCCTGGTGGCTCAGTGGTAAAGAAGTCGCCTGCCAGTGCAGGAGATGCAGATTCCATCCCTGGGTTGTAAAGATCCCCTGGAGAAGGGAATGGCAACCCACTCTGGTATTCTTGAGTGGAAAATCCCATGGACAGAGGAGCCGGGCGGGCTACAGTCCAAGGGGTCACAAAAGATTTGGACATGACTTTGAGACTAAACAATAAGAATCTTAGTTCTGCAATCATCTTTTGAGATTTTTATTTATTAAAAGTATTATTTTCATCTCTTCACTCTATATTCTCCTTCAGAGTTCCTTTTTTTCTATTTTATAGTATCTTCTTAAAAATTTTATATAAGAGCTGACAGGAAAATGTATACTTCCTGCCCCAGGCAGGAAGGCACTCATGGAAAATCTAAACTAAAACCTAAATCTAAACTTCCTGGAATACAGTAAACCACTCTCACCCCTTCTACTTTCCACACACTGTCAGCTAGCTGAACTATGTGCCTAGCTACACAGCCATTTGTCAGAGTGGAGACATAGGTATGTCAGAGCTGAATACCCAAGGACAACACAGCTGTTATGCAGAAGTAAATGAAATGCGCCAGGCTGCAAAGCAAGAAACAAGATGCAGAGAGTCAAATCCAGGGTCACCCACAAGCTTATCCCTCCTGGTGTTCAGTACGGATGGCCTTATTCCCTGGGGGACAGACCAGACTATTTGCCACTTTGGCATGGATATCATGCTAACATCAGATAACCTTTCTAATCATCTGGGAAGCAGATCCAGTGACTAGAATCTGGTAACTGAAAACTGACTGCTCATTATTACTATGTGAAATCTTCAAAGAAGTTTCAAAGTAATCTCTAAATTCTTCTCATGCCAAGTGAGGATTTTACAGAGGGCTAGGGCATGCAGCTGAGAGGTCTCCTGAGCCATCGCTCATCAGAATCTAAGCCGTGAGTGGATGAAACATCTGTGACATCTGACATGGCATCACTAATTCCATTAGAGAAACCAATGCCTCAAAAAAGGCGGCAGAATGTCCCAAGTGGCAAATGATCGCCAGAGGGCATCACTGAATTCTCCAGGCCAGAATATTGGAGTGGGTAGCCATTCCCTTCTCTCTTCCCAACCCAGGGATTAAACCCAGGTCTCCCACATTGCAGATGGATTCTTTACTAGCTGAGCCAGTAAAGAATTTTAGCTAGCTGGATTCTTTACTAGGGAAGCCCAATCACCAATTAGAAAATTGAAAGAAAAAAAACAGTATTTGCTTCTGTGTTGCTTGGTATTGAAAGCTCTCATAATAAAAAAAAAAGAAAGAAAGCTCTCATAAAAGGCCACTAGACTAAAAAAAAAAATTAGACTATGTTTCATTGGAATTATCTTTAAATGTTTGGTCAATTTTCGTTTAGAAAACCACCATGAGGACCTTCTACTCTCTTATTTTTTATTTTGTTTACAGATCATCTGCTTAGACTTTCTACATATACTATATATCTATTAGAATCAATTTCATATAGGTGTTTACATTTATTTGTCTAGAGCTATACAAAGTAATCTCTTAAAATTTTATGCTTTCTCTTTTTAACAGTTCTTTCTTACTTGGTCTTATCCTGTGAGATTATTTTTTGTTGCTTTTTAAATAACTTATCCACCAATTCTACGGTTTTTCTTGTTTTTAACTAACTCCCTTTTGTTTTCATTTTTATGAATTTAGGAATGATTTTTGCGAACATGAAGCAAAAACCATGAAAGACTGATAAACCCAGACTCCCCAGTTTCTTCTCTTTAGCCTACTTGTCCATCTCAAAGCCAATCATACTATCGTATTTACCTTTGATACATACTATCTTAAATTGAGTTGGGGAAGGCCACCCTCCATCCTTCTTTGTGAGTTTCTTGCTATTCTTGGTCTTTTACATCTCCATAAAGGTTTAAGAATCAGCCTGTCAATGCTCTTTCACTTAGCCATCCCTCCTTCTAGGACAAAAGAGTTCAGAGTCTGACTGATGACTACTAGTTGGGTCTGGTTAGATTGGATTCACTGAAACCCTCTGCTCAGATTAACTGGGAGAAAGGGACAGCCAGGATTCCTTCCAAGAGGCTCTGTGTTCCATGTTTTAGAGCCCAAAGTTCTATGGGTAAGAAGACAGCATGGATCATGTTAAGCAAGAGATGGCAAAACAACCTCTTCCTTTCAGAAAGGCAGGAGGAGAAAGGGGTGAGAAAGGACGAGATGGTTGGGTGGCATCACCAACTCAAGAGACGTGAGTTTAAGCAAGCTCCGGGAGATGTGAAAGACAGGGAAACCTGGTGTGCTGCAGTCCATGGGGTCACACAAAGTCGGACATGACTGAGCGACTGAACAAAAAAAAGAAGTCAGAGGCATAGATAACAGACAGAAAAAAGATTTAGGGTGGGACCATAAGTTAAAAGATTGCCCAAGGAGAGATGATGGAGGCATGGACTCTCACAACCATGACAGAGTAGAGGGGACAGAAAGGGTATTGAAAAGGGAAAACTAACCAATCTTGGTTGTCAAATATATGCAAAAGTTACAGAGATGGAGATGGGGATGACAGCTGGATGTCCGGCTTGCTTGACTGGCTTTGCCCTCAATCAGGGGAGGCAATGTGGACAGCAGAGTAGTTTTAATGCTTGATGTAGGCAGTGTCAAAACTAAATTTGATTTAGACATTTAGGGAGGGGTGTGTGTGTGTGCGCGCATGTGTGATTTCCCCACAGTGCACGTGATTTCAAAAAATTACAGACATAGTGAATACTGTTAACATCAAATGAATTTATAAGCAATACTATGGAAAAGAACATCAAAGACAAATTAGAGAAAAACTGCAGGCATCCTGATGATGACCATACCTCATCAAAATGAAGCGTCCCACTTAAAGGACTGAGGTCGTCCTTAGCCATCTCATCTATGGTCCACTCAAGCCGGACAGCTCCTTTACCTCCTGGGGACCGGACAACTGTCAATGTCACGTACGAATCAGGGTCATCAGACAAAAGGGATTCATCTACCATTACCTGAAAAAAAGAAAATCAACCACAATTTCTAAATCTAGAATTCTATTCACAATCATGTGGCAGAAAACAAAAAAAAGCTTCACCAAATCCCAATCTCTTTTTGTCCCAGACACTCAGCTACTTGGCATTTCCTAACCTCTTCTGCAATTAGATGGAGATTGTTACTGAATATCTGGCCCAAAAAGCATAGGCAGAGCCTGCTAATCATAGTCTGGCCATCAGTTTCCCACACCATCTCCATATCCCATCTGTCTCCATTTGCCAGGGGACCAGAGGAGGCAGAGTCACAGATGGAGAGTCTAGTGCCTGAGACGCCAGTTGGAGAAGAGGTATTCATAAGACCCCAACTAGGAACAGCAATGTAGGACTTTGGCGTAAAGAAGAAATAAACTATTAAAACTGAGATTTGGGGATTCCTTTTATGGCAGTAAGACTCCCCACACAATACAGACCTAATATGAATTACATATATTGACTCTGTGAAGCAAGGACCAAACTGAGCCTATTCCATGCATTTGCTATATAAACACAAAAATATGGCACAACACCTTCCATTTTCAAGAAACACACCTATTTGGGTTTTTTTTTTTTTAATGACATTTTGCATTGGTGCCAAGAGTAGAGATTTGGAGCCAATTGATATGTATTGGGTTTCTACTATGCGTCACGTCTTACACCAGGGCTTCCATGTGGCTCAGACAGTAAAGAATCTGCCTGCAACGCAGGAGACCCAGGTTCAATCCCTGGATCGGGACGATCCCCTGGAGAAGGGAATGGCTACCCACTTCAGTATTCTTTCTTGGAGAATTCCATGGAGAGAAGAGCCTGGTGGGTCCCAAAGAGTCAGACATGACTGAGCGACTAACATTTTCACCTTACCTTACTTAAGCCTCACAAAAACTAAGAAATCTGAGGGCCAAAGATATACACATATTTGGAGAAAAGGAATCTGGGATTTAGTTCTGATAATTTGATTCCACACCAACTGTTGTTCATACCATTCCTCAGAGAACAAAAATAGCAAATGAGAGAGAGAGAAGTAAGAAAGAAAAAATCCATTATTAACAAACTGCATATCTAAGTCCTTTTTGTTTCTATAAATAGTAACATTCTTGTTTCAGCTTCACAAGTGTATTTCTATAAGTCTTTGCTGTACCCAGGGCTCTGGTATATTTAGCACATTGTCCCGGGAGCAGCTTATTAATTTTGACAGATTAATACCAATAATCTTGTCTCAGGGTTTTTCAGTTCTTAATCTAATCAGTGTCACCAAATAATGCTACCAGAATGTTCACTATGTGCACAAAATACTGTATCTTATGGATACATATTAAAATATAAATTCCATGTTATCAAGAGCTTCTGGCTGAAAGAAAGATAAGATATAAGGAAAGTAGCCACAAAGGATGAGCAACAAGCTGCTATTATTAGTATCAACAAGTAAAATAGCAATTGACACCTATTGAGGGTAAAGTCCAATTATATATGCTTTACATATAACAACTCACTGCTCACAACAAGAGTTTGGGTGACTTAAATCTTACTTTTAGATGATAAGACAAGTTGGAAATGTGAGACTATTACAGTAAGACAGTAGTTCCCAGATCAAGGGTACACTAAGGTTTTTGCAGTAAACTTTACAACTGCAGCTAAAATAAAATTAATAAATAGAAATTATTTATGAATAATAGCGGATCTCTTCATTTTCTCAAAAAGTGAGAGAAACTCGTAAATACACTCCCCAACAGCTAAGTCCAAAAGTGTAACAAAGTGAAAAGTAAAAACATTATTATAAGGTTTCATCAACTGGAGGCTGGATTACTTAAACCCTGAACATTCATAATCTAACCTCAGAAGCTAATAGAGAATACATTTTTAGCACATTTCATTTCATACATTTTATAAAAATAAATTGCATATTCATATATATTATTACTCTGCAAATATGCAAAGAAGGCCTGGATGGAAATAACCAAATACTAATGATATCTACTAATGATATCTGAGAGCAGTAATATTATGGCTATTTTTTTCTTAATACCTTTTGTATTTCCCAGACTTCTTAGGTTGCCTGCAAAACACTCACAGATACTCTCATGTGAATCTTTCACCCTTTACAAAACACTTACTTCCACTCATTCCTTTCTCAAGGGAGAGTCTCATGAGACTACAGCAGCAGATGTACTCTGTTCTTTTATAGTTTTCATTTTCTTATGAAGTTAAAATGTCAATGGTCAATAATTAGGCAGTTATTAGTGTCTATCTAAACTATAGGGCAAGCCATAGTTCTAGCCTTGTATTCAAAGAACAGTAAAGATAATAAACATTAGAAAAATTTGCTATTATTTAAAATGATCTAAGGTGAATCACTGATTCCCTATAAGTGACTAAATAAAGGGAACGATAACACAGGAGCCAGAAAAGTTGTTGTGCATCAAAACTATCGAAAGATTCGTGTGGCTGTTTCGGCTTGAGACTTCCTTTGAAAGATAAAGTCATAGTAGTTATGATGTCATCATTATGTCAATAATTACGATACACTTTATTTTATATTTAAGGTGTAGAGATAATTTAGTACTAGTCAAAGCTTTTCTCTCTCAGGGGCTGAACCAATAATAATTGGGCTCACTCTTGTAGGTCTTGAAAGCAGGCAGCCAAGGGGAAGAAAGAGGGGAGGGAGAGAGAAGAAACACAGGGAAACACATGAGTCAGGGGTGACTGTAGTGTTTTGTTCAATGTAAATCAAGATAGAAGACCCAAGAGGTGAGGAATATAAATCTCTCCCCAGCCAAACCATCCTAGGGTCAGAAAATGACAGAATCTTTCTTTCTAACGAGGATGGCAGTCTGGTAGGAGACCAGGTAGAGAACAGAATGTCTAGACAAAAGTACCTCGTGGTCTGTCACACCCAATCATGGAAATGTGTTCTCCTTTTTAACTGCCTGATACTAAGAGCTCTCACTACTGTGAAACTGCCTAAGTTAGAGGACTGGCCCCTAATTCAACAATCAACTCAAAAGAGCCTTGAGAAAAGAATCTTTAAGTAAAGAGTAATGAAATCTAGAAAAAAAAGAAAATTACCTTTCTACTATAAATGAAATGAAAAACGAGTCTAGAGGAAAGCACCCCCCCAACCCCCTGATATATTTCACTTACAGTCTTTTCTTCAAAGCCAAATACTCCAAATGGAGAATCATTCTGTGGGATAACAACAGTTACCACAACATCATCGTCAAGCCTGCCACCTCCAGCCACCTTGATTAAGGAAATATTGAACATCTCCATGAACTCAAATTCATCATCATCAATTATGGTGATTTCTATCACTGCCGTAACCTGTAAAAGTAAAGAAGGAAGGAAGGAAAGAGGGAGGAAGAGAAAGAAGGAGGAGGGGGAGAGGCAGGGAGGGTAGAATGTGTTACTAATTTTCGATGGCAAACATTTTTAGTTGGAGTTTAGAAACACAGTACCAAAGAAAAAAGCAGGCATTTTCACCTGCTGTGTCATAATACTATTTTAAAGTCATATATTTACAGCATTTCAAAGTCAAAACGTTTCAGTTCACTGTTTCCAAAATAAAGGAAATTATATATGTAATAAAATATAGTTACTGATTCAAAAAAACAATGAAGTCTTATTCTTGAACAAAAATATTTTAAATGTCATGCAGGTTCTAATAACCATTGCACAAACATAAATTGTAGCATATTTAGTATTAATATGACCTGATATAAAACTGTACCTCATAAATTATTACTATCTTCTGCAACTAAAGTAAATCCCTTTGGTTTCAAATTACTGTTCTTGTAATATAGGGGAAAAGACAAGAAGGAAGAAAATCCAAATTCGCTATTATTAGAAATTTGTGATCAGGGATTTATTCATGTCTGGCTCTATGTTAAAAGTTTTTATAACTTATAATTTGGTCCAGCTTGTAATATAACTATTGGTCACAAAAATATCCCAGCTGTCGTCCATATTTAAAATCCTTTTTTGTATCCCAGAGGGAAATGACATAGACATTTATCAAGAAATGGTTCTCCTACCTAAAACCACCTTTATATAATAACAGAGAAAATGAAAAATCTGGATGTCATACTCAGGGAAACAGAAACCTGAACAAAATAAAAGCTTATCAAAATGCCTGCACCTCGTCAATACTGTGGAACACAGAATACTTGCCCTACAGGATGTTAGATTTAAGAATAATGATGATCCGAAGGGTGCTAAGTGATGGGACTTTAACTTTTTGAAAAGGATAAAGTACTGATAATACAAAGTTAGAAGGCCACCTCAATGAAAGTCAATTTGTTTCTCCTTTTAATGTAAAATCTACATTTCCTTTCCTCTTAGTAGAAAATGTTTTATAGCCCAAAATTTGCTAAAATCTCATGATTTCAAATATGAACAACAGACCTTTATGTGTAGGAAACTCTATATCTGCAAGCTTATCTTTTAGCAGTACTTACTATCCCCCAAGGGCAACTAATAAGTTGATGTACACTACGCATATCTGTGCAGGCAAAATCAGACTGCGTGTAAATCGATACTGCTGTTTGAAGTTACTAACATTTTCATGATTGTTCACATGCTTTTTCCACTTACTGATTTAAAAATTTATGAACACATCTTATGCTTACATATTGCAAAATGCCCAGTTCACAAGCTTACAAATCTTAAGGAATATTGTGTAATTTTTAGCACTGATTGGCCCAAATCTAGAATACTGGTTTTTAGTTTTTTCCAGTTTTAACTACTGTGCTCCTTTTCTATCATTTTAGTCTTTTTTAATTGTAAAAAAAAAAAAATGGTTTTGGATAATAATAAATGTACATAATAAATATCTTTAGTTATAAATGTATACACTTTTGGTGCAAATCCTAAATAAATATTTATATTTATAAACATTAAGAAATAAACAGAATAAAAAACCTAAAATTCATAGGAATAATCTAGTTCATCAGGCAATATTTTATACATTCTTAGGCACCTCTAAGCCAATTATTATCCTTTTATAACTTTATTTAAAATAGAATACAAGGTGGGAAAGCTCAGAAAGGGTGAGATTCTTGCTTATTTATATCTTCTCTCCATGTCCATTAATAAATTATACATCAGCTAACAATATCTCTGTTAGCCTGATATGGGAATTTAGAATATTATACATTTAGCCATCACCACTGCACGTTCATTTGGTAGATGCCTATAAAATGTCTGAGGTACAACCAAAAAATGCTAATATGTCTGTGACTAGCATACTTGTCTATCTGCAAATTCAAGAATCCCATGAGACGGCTTAAAGTCTTCCAGGCCAGCACTGTCCACTGTTGCTTTCCAATAAACATTTACTTCCCCAAAGCTTCCAGCCAGCCGAACTACAGGAACTTGAAGAACGTTCAGGGGTGGAGGCACCTCGTAGGCAGTAATGACTCCAGCAACCTTTAAGTAAAGAATATGTAAATTAAAATGCAAGACAAAAGTAACTCTTACAATTCATCATGATCTAAATTTATTATCTCTACTACTAGTTCTTATACTTTACCCTTCAAATTAATAGCTGAATAAAAGTATGCATATTCAGTCTTCAGAACTCTTACATTTAAATGTAATGCAAATAAACTTGCTTAATCCTTTGGTCTAAGAGAGCTTAAGAATTAGTCTATAAGAAAAACTTTGAGAGGTATTTATTAATATCTACAATAAAAGTCAATTATTTTTCAGAAAATACAGGACACTGGCCCAATCAGCAGGTACAAGCTTTTGTATTACTATAAATATGTGAAAGTTCATCTCACTCTGGTAACGTGGAACTTAAACATTCCTCTGGGATCATCATTTTCTTCGATCATTATCTCAACCATTTCCAGCCCCGGCCTTCGTACACCGGGCTGTCCTGCAGAGACGTCAGAGTTCACCAGGCGCACGTCAGTGATGCTGACAGTAAACCCTTCCTCCAGCTCGGGAACATCATCCTAGGTGCCAAGAACCAAGGGAGGAGAGAGGGAGATGGTGTTTTATTTTTTAAAATACATTCAATTTGCACTGGAAGTGCAATATTTTTCAGTAAAAAATGACATCCACAGGAATGGGCTGCTCTACCACACACACAAAAAAATATTCCTTTTTTATATTTTAATACATTCCTATTGACAGGCAATGGCAACCCACTCCAGTACTCTTGCCTGGAAAATCCTATGGACAGAGGAGCCTGGTAGGCTGCAGTCCATGGGGTCGCTAGGAGTCGGACACGACTGAGCGACTTCACTTTCACTACTGACAATCTCAGAATCTCAGGGGATATTCAAGCATACGGGTGATGTTACCCAATGGAAGCCACTTACTCATAAGCAAGTAAAATAAATTAAAAAAAAGAAACTCTATCCTACAATTTTGACCACACCCTATTGAATATGTTCTATATATATGACATTCCCTCAATTTAGGAGAAGGTGGTAAATGCTACATACATCTTAAAAATGAAAGTTCTACACTTTAAAAAATCTAATTATAATCATATTTTAATTAACTTTTAAAAAATTGTTATCTTATTTTTCAGTTGGTAATAAAAAATTTCAAAAGATAGAATACCTAGTGAAAATGAAAGGAAATCTCTGTTTCATCACTCATGTCTTTCCAGAATGTCCTCTCCAGAAGCCACTATTATCTAATACCATGAATACCACTATTAATAACACTATATTATTACACAATATTATATTCACTCAATAATATTATATTATATAGTACACAATATATAAAGATAACATTTAATTATATATTAGTGATAACACTATTAACAAATTTCAGTTTCCCTTGCTTCATTACCGATGTATATATGAAGTGTATACACATTCTCCTTAGACAAAGGAGAGAAAAAGAACGATATAATCCATCTGAAGACTAATCTTAATTCAAGTAATCGTATCAAATCAATAATCAAAATAACCAGATGAACTTGGGCATTTTATTCATTCCGTCATTAGTTGAAAACAACTAACAAACCAACAGAATAGAGGATCCAACCAGACATATAATCAATCCAAATTCAGTGCTTCAAAGGTCATTCCAACAATATTCCAGTTCAAAAATAAATATAAAAAATGAATACACCTGTTATTTTTATCTTTCAATTACAAAATATTCATCTATTATTAAATATTAGGGGCTTCCCTGGTGGCTCAGTGGTAAAGAATCCACCTGCAAAACAGGAGATGCTGGAGACACAGCTTCAATCCCTAGATCGGGACGATCCTCTGGAGAAGGAAATAACAACCAACTCCAGTATTCTTGCCTGGAAAATTCCACAGACAGAGGAGCCTGGTGGACTATAGTGTTGCAAAGACCCAGACACGCCTGAGTGACTGAGCACACACATTAAATATTAGGGGGAGTGGGAGCATGAGAGTACTTACGTCTTAATATTTTAAAAGTATATTTTTTAAAGATTTTACCTTTAAGAGCATCGCATTTTCATCTTTTACCTTCATTTTCCTTTATTATTATATCATACTCATTGAAGCCTAGCTGCTGCGGCTGCCGCTAAGTCACTTCAGTCGTGTCCGACTCTGTGCGACCCCATAGACGGCAGCCCACCAGGCTCCCCCGTCCCTGGGATTCTCCAGGCAAGAACACTGGAGTGGGTTGCCATTTAGACTCACCGGCAAAATGGCAACTTTGACATAAGTTTCTTTCATGTTTTCTTTCATTATTATCATTGTTTCTTGTAGCACATAATCTTCATTCTCAGTGGCTTGATTATTGATGTGCAGTAAGAAATTGGGTTTAGCTACCAACTGAATGGCTACGTCTCCAAGTAATCCTTTATCTCGAACGATTTGTAACTGAAGAGCGGTGATGTTCTCTACGAGACAGACATGCCTCAAGTAAGTAAACGTTTCCAATAGCTGTTGGTGCTATTCTAAGCACTGAGGCTGCAGTGTTCTGACTATCTCTTCCAGACAGGGAAAGCAAGACAGACAAAACAAAGGCAATGTATACTCCCAAGAAACAGTTCGTGCTTTTCCCAACCAGTGACCAGAGTTGTGCTAAGGATCGCCATACACCGCCGGCAGTAATTCCCAGTTTTAAACCCTCACTTCTGGGTCTCTCTCTCCCCTATGGTGCACATGGCATGCCTATTAACAGAAATTGCTGAAAATACCAAGAAAACGCATACCTGGAGGATGAGCAGAGGGGCTAATGACAAATGCTAAGAAGATTCTTCAAAAATGAAAAATTAAACACACCAAGTCATTTAATGACTCATTATTAAAAGAGTAAGTTTGTTCTTAAAGGTGTCTATCACAGAGCTCAAAGTATCTCACAGAACCTATTCCACTTCTTAGATTTTTAAAATTTAATTTGCTAAAAATGAAAAAAAAACCAGGCATGTCAATCTTCCCTACCAGTCTGTGAGTTTCTAACAACTGAATACCACGTCTTTGCTTCCAAAACACGTAGCATGATTTCTGGTACTTACTAGGTGCTATGGTTGCTGAATGGATAAATGAACAGATCATTTTACTTTAAGGCTACTATTTCTGTTCCCATATATACAGACATATAAAGACCTACATGAATAATTACATGTCATTTTTCTCCATCAGCTATTTAAATGAAAGGTCCTGGAGCGATGTCTGTTTCTATTTGAAAATTTTAGAACCTTCACATAGCCTAGTCTTAATACTGGGATGGCCAAAAGGTTCGTTCAGGTTCTTCTGTACTGTCTTATGAAAAAACCCAAACAAACATTCTGACCAACCCAATACATACATATTATACTTAACCTTTTATTTAAATAGGTCAAATGACCTCTATCTATAAAAAACTATTTATTCTACAATTTATACAAAGAGTCAGGCAAAGATGTCAACATGAAACTCAAAGGAAACAGGGAAATAGAAACTTATCATTCACACTTCACAGAAAAATATTATTCTAATTATTGCCTTGGATTTAATAATTACCATCTCAAGTACCATAACTATTGAAAATCTATACAGGAGAAACTGAGCAAGAAAAGAGAACAGATAGATTAAAAATGAAAAAGAGAAAGTAAAATAAAAACCAAACACTCTACTACAATGATTTACTAAAATATTAATATTTCTATTATGACAGTAATATCTCAAAAGTAGAAGTTTCTCATACAGCCATATCACTGACTGATGACATGATCAGACAATTTAATAAAGACAAATAAAAAGTAAAAAGGATTATGACCTGTCGAACTGAAAAACATCATACAAAAAGCAATTTATATCCCCAGTAAATATTAGAATTAAACTATTCAATAAAACTTATGAGAACCTGAAAATATCTAACAAGATTTACCTTTAGGCTCTGCTACTCTAATGAAGAGAGACTCAGCATGCCAGCCAACCAAGCCATAAGGTGAGTCATTGGGCAGAGTGGTTATCACAGACTTGTTTCTTTTCTGATCAATAGTAGCACCTTTTGATGGGTCCTCAACCCCTTCTGTGATAATACGGATGAGTGTTACAATGACAATCTCTGACAATTCTGGTAGATCATCAGCAAGAACAGTCAGAGTAATTGTAGACAGTGCCTGGCCTTCAGAAAATGAAATCTAAAATTTTAAAGAAAGAGGATTTTATTTATATTTTAGTTATCACTGTGCAGTAAGAATATCAAAAGTTAGATTATCTTTTAATATTGGCCATATCTTAAATAAGCAACAACATATGATCCTATAAATCAATCAAATGCCTTTCACATGAGAAAGATAAGATTTTTAGGAAAAAGAAAAAGTAAATCACTACTAAAACTTTAAGCTAATAAATCATGTAGCTAAACTGTCCTGCCCTGGAACCTACATTCTTAATGAAACACTGATTACCTACTCTCTCTGAAAATTTAAATCCTAGGTACCATATATAAAATCTATAAACATTAAATATTTTCCTCTACAAATTTTTGCTAGGAATGCTACTTCCCTTGCTTAAACTCTGAATGTATTATTTAACAATGATTCAGTCAAAATAGAAGTAGAAAGACAGACATACAAATCAGGGCAGCTCTCTCCTCTGTGTCTGCATTATCTGAAGATTCAAAACGGAATTTGCTAAAAGGCACCTGAAGTCCTTTCTGAAAGGGCTTCTGTCTGCTTCTTGAATGCCATTTCCCTTTGTTCCCCACCTCAGACTTGATCCTCTAGTAATAGGGACACAGGACTTCCCTGGTGGCTCAGATGATAAAGAATCCACCTGCAAGGCAGGAGACTCAGGTTCAGTCCTCAAGTCGCTAAGTTCCCCTGGAGAAGGAAGTAGCAACCCACTTCTGTATTCTTGCCTGGGAAATTCTATGGACAGAGGAGCCTGGTGGGCTATAGTCCATAGGGTCACAAAGAGTCAGACACGACTGAGCAACTAACACTTACTTACTTACTTATTAACAGGGATACAAACTATTTACAACTATTTAAACTAGCATTACAAGCCTATTTTGCTGGCACTTATCTCTCCACCTGGAGAAGGCACTTCAGGATATAAACTTAAGAGCTTTATTAATAAAATCAGGAGTAAAAAAACTACTGCCCTTTGGTAAATCCATTTTTTAGAAATCAAGTTTTACTGGAAAACAGAAAAACTCATTTGATCACATATTGTCTATTGCTACCGTTGTGCTACAAAGGCAAAGCTGACAGCTGGGGAAAAGACCATACAGCCCCTAATGTCTAAAGTATTTACTATCTGACCTTTTACAGAATTTACTCACCTTTGGATAAAATACTTCTCATCCAAACTATAGTCCATATTTAAAGACACTTTTGGCATTTAAATTAGAAATAATTTTAATTATGCTTACACGAGAAATACTAATTGGGGAAATACAATTCAGAACCTGAGAAACACAACTTAAAGTTTTTAGTAGCCTGAATACATATTCACTGCAATAAAATTTGCCATAATATCCTTAAGACACTTTGCTCCAATCATCTTTCCAATGATACAGAAATCTAGAAATGATGAACCATAATAAGCACCTACCCTGTTTAGAGAAAATTCCACAAGAGGTCTTTTAAAAGCACTCTTCAGAGAAACACTCAGGCAAAATACACAAGAGTAATCTATGAGACCCAAGACAAGTCACGGAAACAAGTCATCCTCCAATTAGGAACCAAAAGCCCCTGAACCCTCTCTTTGTGAGTCAGCTAACTTCTTTGACTCATTCTGAGTCCATCCTCAAACTTGTGTCTTGAATGTCTACTACCCTCCAACAGTACATTATGTGATACTCTCCCAGACCCCTTCCTGTGACTTATGCACCCAGCCCATGGCTATTGGGAATAACAGCTTCTGTATTTCTCACGGGAACTGTCCTCAGCTGCAGCATACTATTGCACCCAAGATTATGACCCACAGGGCTTCCCAGGTGGCTCAGCGGTAAAGAATTCACCCGCTAATGTAGGAGATGCAGGAGACACGGGTTTGATCCCTGGGGTGGGAAGATCCCCTGGAGAAGGGAGTGGCAACCCACCTCAGTATTATTGCCTGGGAAATGCAATGGACAGAGGAGCCTCGCAAGCTACAGTCCAGGTGGCTGCAGATAGTTAGATGCAACTGAACACACATGCATGCCCCAAAACAGAAGGTGACCTGAGATCAAGGATTGCTAAATCGGGGATGCAATATCACATCCCCTCCCTGGAGCTGGAAAACAGGAAACTCAACAACTACTGAGCACACAACTCTGGTCTATTTCCCCATACACCTGGCTATTTCACATATACTTGTTCTCTATTTATAGCTTCTATTCTACCCAAATCTCAAAACCACATTTCCAGCCCCAGATGCATTGGTTTTATCTTTCTGACAGTGTAATACACCCATAATTTGGCTGACTAGTGTACTGAATTTCAAAAGGGATACTGTTTTACAGATAATTTTGATATTACAGGGGCAAGAAGGAAGAGTCACAGCAATAAAACTAACCTTAATGTGTATCCCTCTCTATGGTGATTAGGCGGAATCAGTGGTGACATGGTCAAACTCAAATACTTCACCCACAGGGCAGTGTTTGGTCCCATGTATCAATAGCAACCACAATTTAAAAGTGACTTTCCTATAATTTTCTAAATTACATACCACTCCTGAGGTAGGAAATATATCACTAATACTTCCGTCGGCTTCCCACCGTACGGTTATACGACCATATGTTCCTTTTAAGCGTTCCACATTCAAGGTTATCAGGCTATCTTGATCCATTTCTTCCACTTGCTTATATAATGAATTCTGTAAAATACACAGGAAGTTGCAGAGAGCTATTTGAAGTTATCTAAGCAGACTTTTATTTCATGATATCATGCATTTGCAAAATTCACAGTACTAAGCAACATAACACATTAAGTAAAAAACAATAATTTTAAAAATGGTAATAGAGAATGACCATGACTGTACTTTAAAACATGGAAGTTTGAATAAGTAAAAGACTGAGTTAAAGTAAATGAAAATGTTAATTTTATAGCTTTTTTTCCCCAGCTCTGTATTTTTCAAATTTTCTTCAATATACATATATCATTTTTATACTCAGAAAGTATGCTCATTTTTTTAAACAGTATACACAGCATGTAAGCAGCTTGTAGAACAGCAATGTCATAGGGAAGTCAGCACAAAAGCCTTCTTCCTCCACTACATTAAGGTCCAGCAATCCTTCCAAGTCTTTGCTTCCTGATTGCAAAATAAGTGTTTGGTCTACATGGTCCGTGAGGTCCCATCCAAATGTAATGACATCATGAGAACCCAGGAGCTCCTTTCTGACCATTGACAAATGTTTCCTATCCTTACATTCATATCCTCTGAAACATTTCCACAGTCTGTGATGTTCCCACGGATGATGTTACATTCTTAGCCCATGCTCTTTACAGCTCTTTTTCCTGCCAGAACGATAGCTCTCCTTCCTGCTAGAATCCCTTACTCCTCCGCTCACCTATACTTCTGAGACTCTGCCCTTTGTTCCAAACTGATTTCTGCATCTCTCTGACTGGAACTTTCTTTGCCCAAAGCCCACAACTTCTATTGAGACCTTTTAACGAACTTTTCCTCAAAATTAATACTCCAAAGAGTCTCTTCTTACAATAACCCTGCTTCCTCCATAGGCAATACAGAGAGAATACAAAGACTTTTAAAAATCCTTCCAGAAAGGTTTTTCTTGTTTCTTTACTAAATCTGAAAAAAAAAAACTCCCCCACTAATTCCTCAAATGAAATTAAGAAACTTCATTTAAGCTTATGAAAGCTTCTAGTTAGAATGCTAATTTGAGAAGATATCCAACTCGATAGCAATATTTTACACAGCATCTCAACACACTGTTACAGATGTTACACAGTAATAAAATCCTGCTCAAGGCAATCAAACACCCCTGCAGAAAGTGCTTTGATTTTAAAATATGCGTATAATTTCTTCACAAAAGACAATGCTTTAAAAAAAAAAAAAGACTTCAAAAGAGAAGCCTCTCTCTGGCTTCATGCCATCTATTAACAAGGATTTATAAAATGAGGATTTAATATAGCCAGAAAATATTCAAGAAATTTTTCTTAAGTCCCAGCTTGGAATGACGCTGTCCAGACGCAAGAGGCCTGTACTGAGGAGCTTGACTGGGTGGATTGGAGAAACCTAGGATTTTGTCTATTGGAAAGGAGCACACCACAGTGATTTGATAGTTCTGAAACAATTATGAAACAGGTTTCACAAACAGAGGTCTATGCTTAGGCAGCTGAGGAACACAATAGACTCCCCAAATACAGCATGACTTAGCGGGAGAGGATGAAGCTGAGCGGCAGAGCATGTGGGTTCCTGCCCCAGGAGCTGCAGCTCCACCCTCCAAACTTGTATGAGGCCCCGAGAAGCCCACGGGAGCCTTCTGTTTCCTCTCCTGCATAATGACAGGTTCACAGGAAGCACCGACTGGGTGCCAGGCACTTCTCTGATTCAGAGAAAGCGGTATGAGAGCTCTCACACTCTTGCATGTATGCATGCTAAGCAGCTTCAGTTGTGTCCAACACTTTGCAACCCTACAGACTGTAGCCTGCCAGGCTCCTCTGTCCGTGGGATTCTCCAGGCAAGAATACTGGAGTGGGTTGCCATGCCCTCCTCCAGGGAATCTTCCCGGCCCAGGGACTGAACCTGCGTCTCTTATGTCTCCTGCATTGGCAGGTGGGTTCTTTACCTCTAGCGCCTCTTGGGAAGTCCCTCATGCTCTTAAATACTAGCGAAAAGAAACAGACAAACTAGGCTGCTGTAAGGAAGATTAAGGTGAAATAAAAAGTGATAGACTGCTGGTGGGAGTCACATTTTTCAGTCGTAAAAGGTCTTTCTGTTAAGATGGCATTTCAGCAGAGAGGAAATAAAGTGAGGGAACAAGTCATGCGAACGCCTGGTGGGGAAGGAGGGTGTCTTCTTTCTTTCGAACCCTCCCACAGCTCATGTCTTAGGGTTACTTTGTCCCACCCAGCAGCCACTTGCCACGTGTGGCTCCTAAGCACCTGAAATAGGACTAGTCTCTAAGAGTAAAAACGCCCACTGGATTTGAAGACAAAATATGAAAAAAGGGGTGTCAAATATTTCCTAAGTAATTCTATGTTGACTACATGTTGAAACAACAGTATTTCAAATATATTGGGTTAAATAAAACATGAAAACTGACTTCACATGTTTCTTTTTGCTTTTCTAATGGGGCTTCTGGAAAACTCAGAGTTACCCAGGGGCTCATATTATAATTCTGCTGGGCAGAGCTGCCTCACAGGAAGCTGACCTGCCTTTGGCTTCAGAAATGGATGGGCTGGGTAACAGAGTGATCCCACAACCTGTGGAAGCATTAGTAAGCCCCAAACTCCGCATTTTATCCCCCCAAACTGCTCCTTCTGCAGAGGTTGTGTCTTGGTGAAAGGCACATTCGTGCTCCCCATGGCTCTATCATTTCCTGCTGAATTGCTCTATGTCTATTTTCTGCTGAATTTTTCATTTCTGCTCTAGTCTCCTATCTGGTCTACTTCAGTCCTTGCCCACATACAACCTAGGCTCAATTCTACAAACATAATGTCCTTTCAAGTGTGAGTTAGATCGCGCTGCTACTTGAATGAATAAATGACCAAGTAAGTGAGCCTGTCACCCCAGTTCTGGGCAATGAGACATACAAAGAGGCATTTGGGAAACTTCTTTCTTACCCCAAGAGCCACACAAAGCATCTCTCTTCTCACAACCGGCCATGAACAAACATGGACAAGAAAGCAGTAGCCTTAACAGCAGCAGCAGTTTTCGAACAACAAAATGAAAGATAAGCTTTGTGTTGGCAAAGTAGAGAAGAGGAAAGAATCTGAGCCACAGTGACAGAGCAGAACAACCAGGCAACTCCAAGCCCACCTCCTCGGTAGACATATCCTAGGTGTTTAAGTCAGGTTCTGTCCTTACTTGCAGAGTATTTAAAAAAAAACATACAAGATAGCTGCAGCTGTGACTCTAATTAAGAAATCAGGATACATTTTGCAAATAGGACCAAATGATGCAAAATAGGGAGTGACCTTTTCCTCACTGGCAAAGGAAGGTGAAGGGCCTCCCAGGTGGTTCATTGGTCAAGAATCTGCCTGCCAATGAAGAAGATGTAAGAGATTCAGTTTCGATCCCTGGTTTGGAAAGATTCCCCTGGAGAAGGAAATGACAACCCAGCCCAAGATTCTTGCCTGGGAAATCCCATGGACAGAGGAGCCTGGTGGGCTACAGTCCATGGGGTCGCAAAGAGTCGGACATGACTTAGTAACTTAGCAACAACAAAAGGATGTGAAGTCTGGGCGTGGAAGTGGACCTGGGAAGAACTGCACAGGTCTCTTTCCTCAGGAAAGAGCATGTCCATGCGTACAGCACACATGTAATTGTAAACATCTCTCTCTCTTTCTCTCATAAGGAAGCAACAAAGGCATAAATGGACAGTAATATATTTGCAGGCGATGTGTGTGACAAGACAGTGTATAGTATACTTGGAATCTGCTTCACTGTTACCCTCTGGAAACAAGGGTAACAGCAGAGCCGAACTCCTGGACTAAGGCCAGCTAGTACCATTTCAAATTCAATCTAATAAAGGGGATCAGTACCAAAACAAGGTCAAGTCAAGGTGACTCAAGGGTCCACTGTGCAAGTCTATAAACTTTAATCATCAGTAGAATTCACCTTATAATGTAGAGTAGGAGGTGAAGCAGGAAAGGGAGAAAAAGTGGGGCTTAAGACACTCAAAATATGAATCACTGAGGGCTGATAGCAGCTAAAAAGTAACACCATGAATAAACCATTTGCCTTCTAAGTGTGGGATCTTTACCTGAGCAAATCCAACAACTCCATAGGCATCATCATTAGACAGAATAGTTATTTGTACATAACCATTAATACCAATCTCTGCTCCTCCTTTGGGATTTTTAAGTTGAACTCTGAAGGATTCGTCTTCCTCCGGAACTGTATCATCAAGGACATTTACCGCTATTATAGCTTCTTTGTCTCCAGGCTCAAATATCAATTCACCTGAACTAGCATAAGAAGTATATATAAAATAAGTCCACTACAACAAATTAAAGACATATTAATGGTAGAGTAATCATAAAATTCTCATAGCATTGATTACTACTAAAAGTGTGCATAAATCACATTTCATAAGTAAAATTTTAATCCAAAACATAATTAATACTAATCAACCTGGAAGAATATATATTAGAAATATGGATAATAACCAAACTTCTGGTTTATAAATAGCTTGTATATTTAGTATATTTTTTCCATCACTACCTAAAGACTTAAAAATGAGTGCCATATAAAATTATGGTGAGGTAAAGACATTCAACATAAAATGTTGGACCTACCTAGGAATAAAGTCAGACTGGCTTGAGACGTAGGTTAGCTCATATATATGTGAGTGGATGGCTCCTGCAAGAGCAATTAAATTCTTGCTTGAATTAAGGGACTTCACTGTAACAAAGGCTGCATCATAAGCAGATGGTGCTTCAAGAATAAAAGAGAAGTGATTCAGCTCTGAATTCCAGCAGTAAAGCGCAGACACAGCTTGGCCAACAAGAAGTATGTGGGCTGTAGGAAGGAAAGAAAAAGGAACCAGAATGAAAAGTGAATGTCAACTCACAGGCTCCCAACACCAGTATAGCAACAAAACCCTCCCACCTCACAAAGCTACATTTAGACTGCGGAAGTAACTAAATATGGTACAATTTCTGAAACAGCTGGATATAAACAATAATTTTAAAATCCTGTAAAACAACCAAGTCAGTCTGACAATGTATCCACAATCCACTTGTCTAAAAAAATCAAAAGCTAATAAAACTCAAATGGATTTTAAACTCTTGCATTCACCCTAATATGTATTTATTGAATAGCACTGAAAGACACTTTCTAAAACGAACAAGACCAGTAATTCTACCACTGAAAGTTTCATTTTTGCATTTTCCTTTCCAGTGAACCCATATGAATTTACAATTGACAAATTATAAATAGTCTAAATGTGAGAAATCTTAATTAAAAAGCTTAATGCTGTATTTATAATATACATTATATACAGTTTTACATTTTGCTGTGTAGCATCCAGATTTATAATTTTATACACAGATACTAGTCTACTAATATTAAAATATATTTAATTATTCCCCTCCCTTGGATGCTTATTTTTGTTTTCTATTTGTCAATATTAACTAGAGACAGGGGTAATCATTTTATTCTCATCTGATAAATTCTTAAAGGTGTCCTAAGGATATTAGCAAATTTATGATCTTTGAGTATATTCTGTATTCAATAAATGCCAATATATTCAGTATATTCTGCCAATGCTTTTTGAAATGCTGGTAGGAAAGCATGCTCTTAATAGTTCAAAGAAACGGCATATACTTATATCTACAAAAGTGAGGAGCAGAAGGGGGCTCACTACATTGTATATACCATTCAGCAATCTTCAGACTTAAAACTGGGAAGAAAAGTCAGAAACATGCACAAATTCCAATACTTGGAAAAACACACTGGAATAACAAGATATCATATAAGATTGACTATGCATTAAAATAGCGCACAGAACCAAAAACATGGGTCTTTCTACAGTTGTAGCCAATAGATTAAAATGGAAAATCCCATATCCTTATTATTAAATATCAAGAACTATTGATCATGTTTATCTGTGGTAATTAAATTAAGTACTATTTCAGTTTAGTAAATGTTACATAGTAAAGATCAAGAAAGGTTATTAATAAACTTGCATTTTAAACTCATCAAATATTTTTCATATAGCTTTGTAAAATGGTATACAGTCAGTAAACAGCAAACTCCTCAGATGAATCACAACTCTCAGGTTTAACTGATTTTATAGTCTAACCAGAATCATAAACTGAAGTGTTCTGAATATCACTGATTATGTAGCTTAACCCTTAGAGATACACCCTATTCAAATCCTTGCAATCTCATTAGAATGACAAGGCAGCAAATAGATAATCAGGCATTCAGAGCAGGAAACATACAGGCTCAAATCTACATATATGTATGCAGAGAGTACTTTCTCAAAAAACAGACATGCATACTTGTTCAAGATTATGATATTGGACAGAGAATTTATAAAGGAAAAAATATTCCTAAATCTCTACCTACTCCAGGGAACAGAATTTTAACTAGTACTGATTACAGAATTTTCTTCCATATATCAAAACTATTTTTAAAAAAAGAAAGAAAAAGTATCCCAAAGGAAGGCAACTGTATAGGATTATTTAAAAAGAACATGTGGACAAAGAAAGTTGCATGACTAAAGCCAACAGGAACTAAAGAGCCTCCTGATGAAAGTGAAAGAGGATAGAGGAAAAGCTTAAAACTCAACATTCAGAAAACTAAGATCATGGCATCCGGTCTCATCATTTCACGGCAAATAGATGGGCAAACAATGGAAACAGTGACAGACTATTTTCTTGGGTTCCAAAATCACTGCACATGGTGACTGCAGCCATGAAATTAAAAAATGCTTGCTCCTTGGAAGAAAAGTATGACCAACCTAAACAGCATATTAAAAAGCAGAGACATTACTTTACTGGCAAAGGTTCATAGAATCAAAGCTATGGTTTTTCCATTAGTCATGTATGGATGTGAGAGCTGGACCATAAAGAAGGCTGAGCACCAAAGAATTGATGCTTTTGAGCTATGGTGCTGGAGAAGACTCTAGAGAGTCCCTTGGACTGCAAGGAAATCAAACCAGTCAATCCTAAAGGAAATCAGTCCTGAATATTCACTGGAGGGACTGATGCTGAAACTGAAACTTCAATACTTTGGCCACCTGATGTGAAGAACTGACTCATTTGAAAAGACCCTGATGCTGGGAGGGATTGAAGGCAGGAGGCGAAGGGAACGACAGAGGATGAGATGGCTGGATGGCATCACCGACTCGATGGACATGAGTTTGAGCGACCTCCGGGAGTTGGTGATGGACAGGGAGGCCTGGGGTGCTACAGCCATTTGGGTCGCCAAGAGTCGGACACGACTGAGCAAATGAACTGAGGGCTCATTCTTGGCATTCACACCCTTATCTACCCCCGTATCTAATCTACCGTCAGCTCCCACAACCTGTGAGATAGCTTCTGAATGAATCTACTTCTCTGACCTTGTACTTTGTCACCTACCACTTTCCAAGCTCCACCAATTCAAGATCTTTAGTCTGAATTGTGATGAGAGCCTCCAGCTTGTCTACAGACATCTTCTCTTACCAGCCTCTAAGCTTTCTCCCATTGGCAATCCACACTCCATTTTGAAAACACACACACACTCACTCATTCACTCTCACACACACAATCTCTGTCTCATTGTCTGTCTTCCTCTTTCTCTCTCTCTGCACCTTTCTCTTTTTCATCTCCTCACCACAGTCTCACAAAAGGCACCCTAATACTTACAGGATAAAAACAATAGCTCTTTAAGTCCCTCTGGCCTATCTGATTACATCCTCAGTTACACTCTGGACCACTCTGCCCTCACTGCCAGACTGCCCTCTTCCTGGTCCTTTCCCAGACACTTACCTTTTTACCCAGGCTGCTCCTGCTACTGAGAGCCTGCCTCATGCTCAAATCTTTGCCTCATCAACCCCTACTCATCCTATAGTTCACAAGTAAATGTTTCTTCCTTAAGAAAGCATTCTGGGCATCCCTTAGACTACGTCATTCATCTTTGTATTATGCAAGTTCTTTATTTTTTCATGGTAGTTATTTACTTGTAGCCAAAAACTTAACTTGTGTGATTACATATAATGGCCCTTCTTTCCTATCATATGTTAAAACTTCTTCAGGGCAAGAACTATACCTGATTTTGCTTACCCCTGTCTTCTCAGGGTTTACCACTATGCTGGGCACATAACTTGCACTAAGAAATACCTATTAAATAACGAAGGTAAAAAGGGAGAAGGGGAAGTCAGGTTTATATGTCTTGGCAGTCTTTGCTATATTCATTCTTCCTCTTTCTTTTTTTTTTAATTCAACAAGTATTTATTGAGTGCCTGTTACACGTAAGATTTTGTTTCAGATACTTGGGACACATCAGAGGATAAAACAACGGTCCCTGCCCTCATGGAGCTCACAGTCTAGCATTTACGACCACTTCACCTGGATGCAGTGACCCTGGGCAAGTCAGTGCCTCTGTCCTCGGCCACCCGATGCAGGAGTGAGGAGGCCCAGCTCAGACACGGGGAACGGGCTGGCTGTGCTGGAGACGCCAAACAGGGCCCCTGCCCTCAGCCCACCGCCCAGTCGAGAGGGCTAGACGCTGGCTTCTAATGATAAAGTACAGGAGGCGGGGGCACGGACCGGCGCCGGTAGTCTGTAGGCGGCTGCCTCGGGGCCTGGGCCGGCTACACCAACTGCTGCTGCTGCTGCTGCTGCTTCGCGGCTGCCTTGCTGGCGAGGTCCTTGGCCTTCCCCGTAGCTGCCAGTGCCGTCTCCTTGGCCTTCTCCTTGGCTTCCTTGGCTGTTTCAACAAGGGTTTTGGGAGGGGCCTCACCTTGCAGCTTGGCCAAGATGTATTCAAAACCCTTCATAGTCGCGGTCACGTTGCTTTTGAACCGCGCGAGACCAAATTCCTGGACAGCTCTGGAGACCCCAAATAAGCTGGAGGAGACCCAGGCTTCCCGGCGGATTTCGGTCCAGCCGCTGTTATCAGAGTTCACACGGTAAACACATCGTTCCTCCACCACCATCAGCCGGGCGTGGTTGATGTTCCAGGGGAAGGTGGTCATGGTCTGGTTTTGTGGGTCCACAATAGAATCCTCCAGGATGTACACTGAGTGAGCAACCTTGGCAGGAAACAGTCGCTCAGCCCAGCGGGGCATCCTGTTCGTCTGGGTCAGGAGTCGTCGGGACAGGAGCTTCTGGTTAGAGGTCACCTCTCGGTGCACTATGTCTTCCGTCAAGACATGTTTGCTATAGGGATTCGGGTACCGCTGCCAGAAGGCAGCGAACACTTGGTCCCAGGAACTCCGGAGCACGCTCTGGCCCAGGAAATACTTCACCATCGTGCCGGCCGGGGCGGGCTCAGCGCCCGAGCAGCATCAGGGGTGCGGAGCCCGGGGGGCACGCGGCAGCCGGGCTGGAGCTCGACGCTCGGCCGCCAGGCTAGCAGCAGATCAGTCGCTGCAGCGCCGCACCCAACCAGCCGCCGTCACCCCCGCTGCCGTGAGGAATTATCGGGCCCATTCTTCCTCTTTCATTTAAAGAATTCAGTCACTAATCTCTGTCAAGTCATTAACCAGAATAAATATGTAATCCTCCAAGTCATGGCTCCAATCTAATACTTTTAATAAAATATTTGACATGTTCAAAATAAGAAAGTCCTTGCATATTATTTAATGCATAATTTCAGCTTTCAGGAGATCTATAATAAGCCATTCTAAATAATTACCTATAATCATTTCATACTTCTGCATCCTCAAGTCACAGAAACAAAAGAAATAAAGAGACCTCACAATGGTCCCTTAACAAGCCTCTGGCAGAATTTTTCACAAATTCTTTTAGAAAGTGTGCCTATTCTATCTTTTTAAAGTCTTTAAAGGGAATTCTATAACTTCAATTAAAGGCCCATTCAGGCAGCACTCTTCATCCTTAAACACATTCATTAGGCAACTATTTTGAATCATAATAAGTAGCTCAAGTAGATGCAGTTAGTCCACTTGAAAACCTGAAGTCTAAAAAAAATATGATAAAGGCACAAAATTAAAGGACAAGTGGACAAAACTAAACAAACACATGATGGAAGACACGGAATCTATTCAGTAAGTCGATTGCTGAGTGAGTGAGAAGAAAGTCAGAGGTGGCTGTCACAGAACAGCTTCGTAGACCGACAGGCTGTCAGAGGCTGACAATATAAAGGGAAGGTATTTAAGAAAAGCCTGAGCAGAGCGGGGACGGACGGACAGGGGCTGGCAGCAGACTCAGGACTGGTGCGGAGGCAGGAGAACGACAGAGCGCCCAGAGCGAGGGGAGCACACCGCGAGGACACCTGCGGGGACGCAGGGCCAGGAGCGGGAGCAGGACCCGTGGAAGCACAGTACAGCAGGATAAGCCATCTACCATGAGAACGAGGGAAGTAAGCTCCGAGTCCTGGGCTGGGGCTGAGGTGGCTGAAGGCTCTAACCCCTGACTGAGAAAGCAGCGGGCGGGCAGCTAAGAGGAAGACCCACAGAGAGATTCCTGCATTGGTGCAAAATTCCCTCCTCTTCTCAACAGCATTTTCTCTGTAGATTTTTAACTCCTGTGAACTCAACGACCCCCTGGGTCAACAGGTCCTCTTACCGATGTCCTCCTGACTCAGCCCCTCACCTCTAACGCCCCACTGAGGAGTCTCCATTCCTGCTGCCTCGGTGGCTGCATACAGCACAGCATGTCCCATGCAGTGAGGACAGATGGGGGTCATAAAACACACCTTGGGTCGTCATCTGCCTTTGAAACGTGTGTGAGGATTTCTCTACCTCGGTAACACTCAGAGTGAGTCCAGGGACCCCTAAGCGTCCTTGAGACCCTCTAAGAGGTTGTATGATGGCAAAACGACTTCCCTAATAATACCAAGATGCTGTCTGTCTACTTCACTCACATTCTCTCACGAGGGTCCAGTGGGATCTCCCATAGGCAAGATGACTGATATTATTGCAAAAGGCTGAATTACAGATACAGACATTGAGAATCCAGCTACTAAACCAGATAGTAAAGAGATCTACAAAAACAAAAAAGCCAGTGCCACTCTTCTTATAAAGGCTTTGTTTTTAAAATTAAAAGGTATATTATTTATGCTGACAGGTAATGAGTTTTCCTGCTGCCATTTTTCAAGGAATATGGAGAAGGGAACAGTTACCCACTCTGGTTTCCTGGCCTGGAGAATTCTACCGACTGTACGGTCAGTCCATGGGGTCACTAAGTCGGACACGACTGAGCGACTTTCACTTTTCACTTTTAAATGAATTCGTATCTTCTAAATTTCTCAGATTTAATTTCTAATATAATAAATATCAATAAATATAACCCACACAAACCAAAACTCTTCAAGGTCCTCAAATTTTTTAGGAGGGTGAAAAGTTTCTAAGAACAAAATGTTTAGGAAGTGCTGGACCACCCCTGGGCACAGTTCAACCCCCAGGCCTTACACTCCAGACCTTCTTGCACAGACTCCAGCCTGTCTGTCCTCAACCCTACCACCACCGACTCTGAGTCCAAGCCGCTGTCCTCTGCACTCCAGTCTCTTCACTGTGCCCTCAGTGTCACAGACTTTCTGCCTTGCTCTTTCATTCACAACTCGGCCCCTGCCTACAGTATTTCCTACCAGTGCACCCAGGCATAGCTCAAGCTCCCCTCTTGGACCTTTTAACCACTCCAATGCTATATCATTCACACAGCAAACAGGATCAGTACTCTACATTGAATATTTCTCTTCATATTTTTCTTGCTTCTCCAATCAGACATTAAGCCTTTGAAGGTGAGGAATTCTTCACAACTTTAACACTGACTTGCATATATCTATTTAACAAATGATGCTATTTAATTCATACTGAACTGCTGTGTCTCAGTTCGCAAGTGGGACCCAGATTTATTCAGATTCACCTGCTGAGTCGCTCGTGGTTGGCCTCCAAGTTCCGCAGGGCACCTCACAAGGGACACAGCATCTTATGCTCTCGCCTTCTGAGCTGTTCACACCTGCTCTGGGAGGCAGCCTCCAACCTCACCAGGTCAACTGTCCTTGACTTCACCTCATGGCCACTAGGTGCCTCTCACCTCAAGTGATTTCTTACCAAATCTGAAAATAATCCTACAGCCTCCAGATAGCATTAACCCCTTGGGTTTTATGTCACTAACAGACTTTGTGAAACCATTGAGATTAAAAGACTGCTTATATTTCTGATGTGGATTTACGGTACAGAGGACCAAGAAGGGATTTTGACTGAAGGAGACAGTTCACAGAGTGAAGAAGGAAAGCAGAATTCTCATAATCATTATCTGACTTTAAACAAACTCTTAAATGTGGATATTTGCTATCCCACTTATAAATATTTTCATATTTTAAGAAGCTTACTTAAATGTGGAATGTTACTCTGCATTTTCTTTAGACAAAAGAAATACATTATCTTTATTTATCCTTCATTAATAGTTTCCTCCCTTAAAATTGATGCTTTTGAACTGTGTTGTTGAAGAAGATTCTTGAGAGTCCCTTGGACTGCAAGGAGATCCAACCAGTCCATCCTAAAGGAAATCAGTCCTGAATATTCACTGGAAGGACTGATGCTGAACCTGAAACTCCAATACTCTGGCTACCTGATGTGAAGAAATGACTCCTTCAAAAAGACCCTGATGCTGGGAAAGACTGAAGGCAGGAGGAGAAGGGGACAACAGAGGATGAGATGGTTGGATGGCATCACCGACTTGATGGACTTGAGTTTGAGCAAGCTCCGGGAGTTGGTGGTGGACAGGGAAGCCTGGCATGCTGCAGTCCGTGGGGTCGCAGAGTCAGACATGACTGAGCGACTGAACTATTTTAGTCATTCTGATTCTTCTCAAACACAGGGTCCTTTCCTTTTGAAATTCTAAGAATTCTGGAAATATTATTGAATAGACTTTAATTTTACATCCGTATTAAAGTACCTAGAGTGATACTACCTCTAATTCAATGAGACTGAAACCATTCCAGGTTTCCACACTTCCTTTAAGATCAGTTAACAGTTGAAATGCTTTACCTATTCCTGAAGCTGGTGTGAAGGAGTGGATCTTATTAACAGCTGCAAAATCCAGGGATTGAAAATATCTGAAAGATGACTGTCCTGCCTCCCAGACGAAAATGTTAACTGAATTCTGATCTCCTACAATAACAGAATAAAAGGCCAATCTGAAGGTAAAAGTTACAGAAAAAAAAAAAAATTACACAATAAAACTATAATAAAAATGTTAGATTTAATTAAAGAAACAAACCATACGACATTTCTTCAGAATTCATTCAATGAAACAAAAATACAACTTGGAAACACTTCAAAAGCCTTTTTGCATTCACCACAAGAAGTATAAGCATGATTTAGCCACTAATTATGATTTGATATCAAAAAAAGAACATTGAAGTTTTACTTCTTAGGAATATTGAAACTTTACCTATGAAACTACTGCTAAGCAGAAAAAAAGCATATTTGTATTCAGAGAGTATTTTTAAATGGTCTCATCAAAAGTCACTTGGCACTATTTATTACCACTGCAGATTATCCATAGCATCCTAAGTACAGTCATATAAAAAGTTATCTGTTTGCACACGCAGTGTAAAATTTTCATAATTCTTTCTACTTTACCCACCCAACTCCAGTTTTATTTTAGTGTCTTTAATACAGAGGTTCAGACAACCTACAGGTTATGGACGTAACACTTAAAACGTTTTTCTTTGTTCCCCAAATCCACTTTTACCTGACAGTCAATAGATCCAACAAGAAATATTGTACGGATTAGCTAAAAAAAATTACAAGAGTGTTTTCATATGAACATAATATGAATGCAAGATACTTTTGATAACAACTTGCAAACACTATGCCTTGCAAACAGTCTATCATCTTACCTAGAAAGAGAGTTTTGGCAAAAATTAAGTAAATATCATCGCCTGAAGTCAAGGCTTCCACTTGTGTTGTTCCACTGATGGGAACTTCCTGGAAGTTAATAAACTCATTGCTGGACCACCGGAATAAAAGGGAGTTTGACCTGGCATTAGCCTGGGAAATGGCTAAAAACACAGCGCCGCCTCTGGTGAACAAGGCCATGCTCAGCACACCCCGGACAGAGAGGGTCTGATGCCACACAAAGCTTCCTCCATTCCATCTGAAGACCTGCAGGGAATGATCAAATGAAAACGCTGATGACTAGGAACTCAGCACTTGGAAGAACAGAGCCAATATCATATGTTTACTCTCTAGGACTCTTTAGTTAGGAAGGTACTTGCATAAATGAGAAAATATCAAACTGATGCTTTCTCATTGCTCTCTCCCTCTTTTTATCTCTGTGTGTGTCTCTGCAGACACAGAGATTTGAAGAGAAGTTATTTGAAAATAAATAAATTTCAAATCTACATCTGGGCAGGGGTGGGTGACAGCAAGAGAAGAGAAATTCAAAAACAGAAAAAAAAATATTTGTTTAAATACAAAAACTTTAGAACTGGAAAAGAATACTTGCAATGCTGTATGATCATTACTCCCTGCTTAAGCAACAGAAATAAACATCTAAGCTTTTTACTCCTGAAGGTGGCAATGCATACAAGGTCTCAGGTGAGTGTTCATGTATTTAAAAGAAAACCCCGAAACCACCTGATTTCTTATGCCATCTGGTCACTTTCACAAGGAACTACATACAAGCCAAACATTATGCAAGAAGTTATAGACAGAGTTGCTTCTTCCTTTATGGATCTTACTAACTAGTAGGAAAAGGCAAACTATAAACACATAAATAAATGCATGATTATTAACCTGAGACAAGTGCTGAACATAACAATTAGGAAGGTATGATAGAGAATTAGGAACTGCCCCAGGAAATAAAATGAGAAAGCATGGCATGACAGATTTTCTAAGGCAGAAAAAGTTCGTCACAACCTGAACGAAGACAGGCCCCACTGGAATGGAGTCGACAACACAGGGGAAAGGAAAATAAGTCAGACAGGTGAGATCATGAGGCTCTGCTTGTTGGGTGACCATACAATTTATCACAGGGATGCTTTAGAGGGTGGAAGACAATCATTGTAGGAAGGGTGAACAAGACTATCTTAATCACTGCAGGGCAACAGACGTAACCCAGCACTGTGCTGGGCAGAGAAGATGATACACTTATACTATTAACTATCTGTATTAAATAATCTAGAATCTATTCCAAACATAGTTGGAAATCACTGAATAATTTTAAAATGAGGAGCAACATGAATTAATATTTTTTAAAGATTACTCCAGCTACTTGGCACAAGGATCTGAGGTCAGAGAAGTGTGGAGAACCAGCTAGGAGGCTACCACTACTAGTGTGCTGAGAAGTTACAAGGACCTGGTTAGGGGAGGAAGCAGCAGACATGAAAAGAACTGCCCATACTCAAAAAAAGTATGGGGAGATATAATAAAAAACACTTAATAATAAATTAGATGGAATGAGTAACTAGGAAAAAATCAAGAAAGTTATAACCCAGCATTCTATCTTGAGCAATCGCATTTATGAAGGTACTATCTCCCAAGACGAAAGCACACACTTGAAACAAGTTTCATAGAGAAGATCTACAGTTTAGTTTGTGATATGTTAAATCTTAGATACATAAAATAAATCTAAGGGGACATGCCAACATGCAGTTAGACAGGAAGTCTAGAATACAGAGAAAAGGCTACTGGTAAATTTGGAAGATAGCCTACAGTTGATATTCAGAGTAGTAGGACTGATAAAAACACTCAGAGTGAGTGGAGAGGGGAAAAAGAAAAAGAATTGTGAACCAAAACTTAATCTGATATCTGCAGGGCAGCAATGGAAACACAGACGTAGAGAAGAGACTTGTGGACACGGTGCGGGAAGGAGAGGGTGGGATGAACCGAGAGAGTAGCACTGAAACTCACACTTTACCATGTGGAAGATAGCCAGCCGGCGGGAATTTGCTGAATGATGCAGGGACCCAGTGCTCTCTAACAACCTAGAGGGGCGGGGTGGGGTGGGAGGTGGGAAGGGAAGGTCAAGATGGTGGGGACATACCTATGGCTGATTCGTGTTGATGTATGGCAGAAACCAACACAATACTGTAAAGCAATTGTCCTCCAATTCAAAATAAATTTAAAAAAATTTTTTTAAATAACTGAGCAAAAAAACTGAACCTGGAAAACTCCAAGATATCCATGTTCAGAAAAGGGAGAAGGAAGGAGCACTGCAGACCAAGAAAGATAACACAGACAAACAGAACAAAAATCTGTGTGGTATCCCAAAAATCAAGAGAAGAGATGCTTTAAGTTTGAGAATGAGACGACTGTCAAATGCTAATGGGAAGTAATGCAAAATAATGATAGACAAAAACATCCACTGTATTTCCAAGCCAGGTGTCATCAGTAATCATGAAGAAGTTTACAAAGCAGGTAGATGATTCTTTCAAGGTATCTTACTACAGAGGGGAGAAAAGAAATGAAACAAGTAAAAGGGGATGAGATCAGGAGAGAAATCACTTTTTAAATATGAAGATTATTACACAGATTGGAAAAAGTTGGCTTAAGGCTCAACATTCAGAAAACTAAGATCATGGCATCCGGTCCCATCACTTCATGGCAAATAGATGGGGAAACAGTGGAAACAGTGGATGACTTTATTTTTCTGGGCTCCAAACTCACTGCAGATGGTGATTGCACCAATGAAATTAAAAGACGCTTGCTCCTTGGAAGGAAAGTTATGACCAACCTAGACAACATATTAAAAAGCAGAAACACTACTTAGTCAAGACTATGGTTTTTCCACTAGTCATGTATGGATGTGAGAGTTGGACTATAAAGAAAGCTGAGCACTGAAGAATTGATGCTTTTGAACTGTAGTGTTGGAGAAGACTCTTGAGAGTCCTTGGACTGCAAGGAGATCCAACCAGTCCTGGGTGTTCATTGGAGGGAATGATGTTGAAGCTGAAACTCCAATACTTTGGCCACCTGATGCGAAGAGCTGACTCATTGCAAAAGACCCTGATGCTGGGAAAGATTGAAGGCAGGAGGAGAAGGGGACAACAGAGGATGAGATGGTTGGATGGCATCACCAACACAATGGACATGGGTTTGGATGGACTCCAAGAGTTGGTGATGGACAAGGAGGCCTGGCGTGCTGCGGTTCATGGGGTCGCAAAGAGTTGGACATGACTGGGCAACTAAACTGAACTGAACTTATAATAATCTGAGAAAGATGCTAGTGACACAGTAGAGGGAATAACTAACCCTGATGAAGCAAATAGGGACACCCTATATGAGGAGCCTGGTTTTTATAAAAGAAGCACTTCTGCCATTGCAACAGGAGGAAGAATAAGACTTGGGGGCTTTCTGAATTTGGGGCTGGGAAGATGAGTAATCTCTACCTTGTAGCTCTCATTTCAACAAAGTCATAAACTGAAAGTGAAGAGATGAGAAGCAGGTATAGAAGTTGGGGGAATGACAAAAATTATCAAGTACATATTTTTAAGACACTGTGATACAGTTTATTAGACACATATGGGATTTCTGCAGTGATGTTATGTGCCCCTTTGGCAATGTTAAGATGAAGCTCTGTGAAACCAGTTGTGTGATTTTTCTCCATGTTTTCCAATGCAATTAAATTCTAATTAAATGTTCATGCCTATTTTTACACTTGGCTCTTGAAGACTATATCATTTAAAAATTAATCAATATCTATATTCTTCTTTACTACTTTACCACAATCAAATTATGTTTTTCTTTTATACCAAACCTACAGACTACACCTTTTATGTGTTTCAATGATTATATTAAAAAATTCAGTTTAAAAGAATCAAACCTGAGTTAATTGAGAATCATCACTTTGACTTGCAACAATCAAATAATCTTCACTGTCTGAAGTAAAATATCTTACTTGAGAAGTTTCTGAAATATTGATTGTTTGTACCTGCAAAGAACGCAGAATAGTGATGATAAAAATTTAAAGGAAACTTTAAGAAGAAAAGCCCTGAATACAGTAAAGCTGAGTAAATATTTGAAGCTCAAAACTGGAAAAATCATTCTGATCCCTAGGTAAGCATATCCAGGTATCATTTCAAGAAAGGCAAAAATATCCCTAGATTAAGACAACTTGCTAAATGTGTGTCAACTTACAAAAGCCCCTTATCATGTTAACATAGAACATATATTATCTTCTATTTAGCTCAATCTCACAAATCTGATTTTTCTTTTAAATAAAGCAATCTACAAATAAAGTGAAGATTTTTTACCAGGAATAATTTGAATCCAGATGTGAATGTATACACACTATTAACGGAAGACTTTTCTTCATTTCTTTCTTCATGAGTAATCACAAAGTAGGGGGAAAGACCAATATTAAAAGCTTCACATGTTTTAGGATTTTCTACACTTAAATCCTGAGAAACGAGGAATAATAGGAATTCAGGAAGCATCCAAAATCTACATGTACATTTTAGTCTGTGTACCGTAATGTAAATGATGCTTACCTTAAATGGAACAAAAATCCCTTGCCATCGGTAAAGAGTAGAAGACAATTTTCTTAACATTAAACCATGTACTGAGTCTTCCAAAGTAAAGAAACACCAGCCAGAAGCTGATGCATCCAGAAAGCTTTGAAACATAGAAAACATAACATCCATTCCCCCTGAAAAACATAAATCATGATTTCCTTGTGTAAAATCCTCTCCAGACTTCACCTAGTCAAAGTTTATTTAAACAGTGAAACTAATGAGTTTGTTACTAGAAATGAAAATGTTTCCATGGTAAGCAAGTGTGCGTGCGTGCGCGCGTGTGTGTGTGTGTATATATAAAAGAAAAGAGACAAACTAGAGAATTTGAAACCAGTAACTAACAGTATCAACTTACAAAAACAAGAAAAATGTTTACTATCTAAACCCACAAAGACTTTTCTGGAGTAAATTTATAAATAAATATTAAATGTATATTTTTAAGGGAAATATATCAGTATGATTTTTATCAGCTTCCATAAAGATGATGAAAATACAACTGAGAAATTTAAAAGTAATAAACACCTTTTATGGAAACGTGCTAAATGTTGGGTTTTAAAAACTTAACACTATTAATTTGAAACTACCCCCCAACCAAAAATTTCTAACTTCACGTGTTACATATTTTAAGAATGTTAAAGCAGACTCCCTACCAGAGGCTATCAAATTTGATCAGCCTGCGTCTCCTAAAATTCTGCACTATAATTACACTACATACATGTGCTAAAATTCTGTGCTACAATTAAACAAAGACAAAAACAAAAAAACTCCACCTAATGAAGAATACCTTTTAAAAATCCTTCTATGTTCTATTATCATGACAGTTTCCCATATATGAAGGTCAGTTCTATTTAAACTTTAGTTAATGGTGCAAATGTAACATACCAAGAACAAATGTCAGGGTTGAAACCTGGGCTCTCTGTAAATCAGTGATCACTTTTTAGATAACTAGTTCAAGAAGTCATAACGCCAATGCCTTTTATGTACTATCCACTGGTGATTTCCTCTCCTAGAAATCCAATATTTTAGACTCTTGCCTTGCCACTTTCTAAATACCACAGCTTTGGCATTCAGAGCGTGAATATTTTGCATTGGAATCTTAACCATATGGTTAAATCCTTCCCTACCATAATTCAGGAAGAGGGTGGATGAAGAATAAAAAATGCTTGTTGAGAGTTAAGAATTTCCAACATATATTCTCAAAAGTACATCCACAAAACACATGCAAAGCCCAAACCATAATGAGGTTTAACTCTGAATTAGAAACCATAATCTTTCTTTTTTTGGATCTCATCTCTTCATGGCTTCCAGGCAACTATGAAAGTAAAAGTCGCTTAGTTGTGTCCAACTCTTTGAGACCCCATGGACTGTAGCCTGCCAGGCTCCTGTGTCCACAGAATTCTCCAGGTCAGAATACTGGGATGGGTAGCCTTTCCCTTCTCCAAGGGATCTTCCCAACCCAGGGATCGAACCCAGGCCTCCCGCATACAGGCAGATTCTTTACTGTCTGAGTCACCAGAGAAACCCAAGGCAATTGTACCACTACTAATTACCCCCTTTCTCTTCTAAATATCAACCCTTTTCTACTTATTAGGTCTTTTGCATCAGCATTTACACATGCTTAGGTCTGTTCAAACTAAAGAAATAAACAAAAACCCTGAATCCTACCCACCCCCCACCACTAGTCTTGCTAGGTTCTACCTTCTCAGCCAAACTTGTTGAGCTAGCTACATATATTGGAGGTCTGCATTCTCTCACTTCCATTCAAAATGTTATTTGGGTTGCATCCCTCTAAACAAATATCTCTTGCTAATGACAATGAGTATTTTTTTCAGCTCTCATCTTACTTTACTTCTCATGAGCAGTTGGCACAATTTACCATTCCTCTCTTTTTAAGAAGCTCTTTTGCCGCTGTCTGCAATCCTGCATTCCCCTGGGTTTCTCACCAGGTCTTCTAAGTCTCCTCATCCCTGCTCCTTCCATTTGACTCAGTCTGGATCTTCTTCCCTTCTCTGTCTCCATGCTCACTGTCCAGTGCTGGATGTCAATTCCCATGACTTTTAGCAACAGGTACACTGAACGTTCCCAAATTTCTTTCTCCAGCAGAGATCTTTTATTGAGCCTAAAGAAATGTCTTCTAAAACTTGACTCAAATTCAAATATTTCACTCCCCTCACCAAAGTAACACTTTGTTTCCATTTAGTACTCCCCTTCTAACTGAAGGCATGACTCTCCAACCAACTGCACAGGCTAGAAACCTAGGAGTCATAGCTAGAACCTTCTCCACATCCAGTCTATCACCTAGTCCAAGCTACCACCATCTGTTGCCCTTATGTTGTGCCTTTCTCTCTCATTTCTCCTGTGCCAATCCATTCTTTACATAGTACAAAGAATGATGCCTTCAAAATGTAAATGTGATCATACCATCCCACCTGTTATACATGGGAGTCCTCCCTCATGCCTAGACCACGAGACTTTCCACAACCCTAAAATAAAGACTAATGTATGTGATAATATCCTTCAAGTTCTTGAACGATCTGGTCTTACCGAGCTCTCCAAACTCGACACTTCCCCTTGTTTTTAAACCCAGTGCCCACTCCAGTTTTTCACTTGTATCCTCTATACTTCTGCCTCGGTTCCCTGCTTTCTCTCATATGTTCCTCTAACTCAGGTTTTGCATAATCCCTACTCATCATCAAGTCTTAGTTCAAACCCTGGTATCCCCTGGGAAGCACTGCCTTATGTTCTCACACTTAGAACTTCACCTTTAAAAAAGATTTATTATAGTTCAAACTACATACTGATTTTTACTTATTTCTTCCTCTCCCTAAACTCTGAGCTCCACAAGTTCAGTATCATGCCTGGCAACAAGACACGCTCAATAAACACTTGTGAATGCAATCAAAGAATTAAATATTTGTAATCCATTTTCAATAGAGCCATAAGATACAACTCATAATGGAAAATGTAAATCTTATACATGCAATCTTTCTTGGTTATAGAATTTTGTTCTTAACGAGAAACTAAACGTACTCATGCCAAAGGCTGTTTCAGAAACTGTCTCCCACTCCACACTCACGGCTAAATCAAGGCCATTGGTACGTGACACGCTTAAATATACAGTCCTGGTGGCTTCTTCAGTGTTTACAGAGGCGGCTCTAAAAGAAACAAACAGTACAGAAAGGAGAAAAAGTGCATCATTTCTACATATTAAATATCTGTATCACATTGCTAATATATATTTAATACACTTTTAAATTTACACAAATCAAGATGAGATCCATCCACAAATTTTACACAGCAGGGACGCTAGAATCTACAGCTCAAAACATTCATTTATGAGGATTTTAAAAAGCACAATGATCTCATACTATGAAAGTAAGAAACTGCTAAGAGTAACTTCACACTACATATTCTACAATAAAGCTCTGTCATTCCTAAGTTTCTTTTCACATAAATCAAAACCACTTAAGAGAAAAAAAAAATCAGAAAATTCTTAACTTGTTAATAAAATGAGATCTACTGGAATATTTGTTAAGATATTAAAAAATATATATTTGTTAGCTACTAGATGGAATTTTTAAAGCCCAATCATGTTAATATATGATTGAAGAGTCACACAAAATAAGTCATTCATTTAATTTGAGCATCTAAACATAATTTATATTGTTCCTCATTTTTTATTATTATTGAAAACACAAAATAGTGCTCTTGCCTGAGAGTGTGGATTCTGAGCAAACAAGAATACTAACAACACCATTAAATAAGGCTCATTACGTTTTTGATGCTTCCTGTTAGGAGGGCATGTGGCCTCTCTGGACCTATCGGCTAGAGCTCATTTTAAATGTTCCCATTATAACAGAGATCAGTTTTTCTCGGCATTTTCTTTATATCACATTTCCAACTTAGCTTCAGAAATGACAGTTTTCTTACGAATAAACTATACCTATTTGCAACTGCAGAGATACTGAATAGCCCTAAAGGGGCCTGGTTCTGCAAAACAGTTATCAGGGTTTGAACATGTGCCCCTAGTCTAGCACCTCCAGTCGGATTAAACAAGGTGCAAACAAAATGCTCATCCATCTCTGGTTCTGTGTCCAGTATGGCAGATATGTGTAGGGCCTGAAAAGATAAGCAAAAAGTTATTACTAGAATTCAGTATTTTTGCCACATACATATAGAATAATTTGACATTTTTTGACAACAAAATAATACTTTTGGAAAATATCACCTCTTTTTTAATACCGATCCTCAAAATGTAATAGTAACAACTCTCTCAAGTTACAGCTTTCAAGGTTATCAACACTGTGACTTAGTCCACTGAAAAATCTAAAAATAAATATATATAGTATTTGAAAATATCACTGAGATTTAAAAACTAAATTTAGGTCTTCATTTTTTGCTACTTCTTTATCCTGCCCTAGCTATATAACTACATTAGTCTCATTCCAGCCTAGGACTCACACTTAAAAAGCACAAATTAGAAACAACCCCGTATGTTTATCAACAGGAGAATGGATAAACAAACAGCCATCGATTCAATGAAATGCTACCAGGCAATTAAAAAAAGCATCAACTACTCATGTGTGCAATCAAAAACTGTGTTGACCAAAAGAAGCTAGACACAAAAGGGATTCATACTGTATGACTCTATTTATAAGAAGTTCAAGCATCAGCAACATGAGTCTTTCATGATAGAAACCAGAAAGCATTTTCGTCCAGGGAGGGCAAGAGACAAGAAGGAAATTTCTGTCTGATGGTAATGTTTAACACATTAATCCGAGTGGCTGTTACATTGATGTATACAGATTTTTAAAGTCACCGACCCATGCACCTAAGATTTTTGTATTTTACTGTTTATACCTCAGAGAATAAAAATATGTGGGGAAAAAGGTAGTTATAGAGGTAAGAGAAAAACCTAAAAAAAGCATGTGAATGTAAAGCAACAGAAAATTCATAAAATAATTCAAATTTGAATTTTTTTAAATCTGTATCAAGATGTAAGTGTCCTTGAAGAAATCCATTAAATGCTCTAAATTTCCAAAAACACACAAAAAACTGGACACAAATAAATATGAATTCAAAGTGTGTTGAGGTTTACATAAATTGATCATAAATAAAACTATTTAATTATTAGATGGATTGTTTTCCAGGGAAATATTTTAAAATATATTATTTTAGGTATTATACTTTATATACTTGGCTTAAAAATATCAAGCTAATACAATTAGTTGTTTTAAACCTCAACTGTGTTTTAAAAATAAAGTTTAGTAGCAGGAGCAAAAAATTATTACTATACAGAAAAAGAAGTTTCAGAAAGTGAACTTCTGCAAGTATAGTTCAATTTATGATTAATCCCAAATCCAGCATTCTTCCTCCAACAAGCTATTCTTGTTTTCATAAGATACTTCTCAAACAAGCTGTCTGAAGGAAGCAGCTGTATTTTGTTTAATGACAATGCGGCAAAAAGAATAACCACCTATGGCTTAACGACTGCAGTGAAGGGCCTCGAGTTTCTTGTAGTTTATGAGTTAAAGGTAATATAACGTGAAGGATGCCATTTAAATATACTTAACATTCAAAGCACCAATATGCCTATTTTCTTTGTTATTTGCACATTCCACAACTCTGTTAATGGAGCAAATTTCTCCAGCTGCATTCTATACAGACAATACTGTAGTAATCTAGTCATTATCTTTACCTATCCCCTAACCTGGATTTTTTTTTTTTCTTTCTAGGATCAAGGGGGCTCCTCAAAGAGAAAATTGTTTTGTAACTATTAATCATTCATTCTCATTAAAGGTTCATCTTGTACCTTGAAACGAACACCTTGTTCTAAAACAACATAGCCTTTGGAAGGAGTCAGGTCTTCCGACTCCACTGAAGAATTCACTTCCGTCACAATGAACTGAACGGTCACAGTTCCAAACAGCCCTTGGGCAGGTTCCCGAACAACATACAACACTGCCATACTCTCCTGGATATAGACAGCTGTCGGTTCTCGTAGGAGAAAGTGCTCACTGTTGTTAAAGGACAGAACTCCAGGGCCATCGTCATTAGCAAGGATGGTAATGAAGGCTGTCAGAATAAAAATGTTAAAACAACAAATTAAAACAGAATGGGTTATAAGTAGTGGGAAGTATGCGGATACTTCATTGTAAGCCAGGCCAAGGCTTTTCTAGATCATCTTAAAAATAAATGTTAAAAGGCACTTAATGAAATTCTACACTCACTCATGATATAAATAAAAAGACTCAGAAGTCTTGAAACAAAAGGCAGCTTCTTCAACATGATAAAGTAATCTCTCTCAGAAGCCAACAGAAAGTACTAAAATTTAATGTTGAAACATTAGAAGACATTGATGCCTCTCATCACTGCTACAGTTCAGTATTGCCCTGGAGCTACAAGCAACAGGTATAAAAGCAATGGAAAGGAAGCATCAGCATGCCACTATTTTCTAGAGATCGTGACTATCTTCTCAGAAAAGGCAAGAGAAAAAAATATTAGAATTATTACAAGAGTTCAAAATATAAGCTAAGTAACCTACAGAAATTAAGAGTTTTCTATCTTCTACTACCACCACTAATAATGGCAATAATAATAGCTGAAACAACAACTACTACTACTGAGAACTTACAAATTGCTTAACCTGCATTATTAACTCTTTTAATTCTCACAGTATCCCCATGGGGTGAATTCTATTATTATTCTCATTTTACAGAATTGATGATTGAAGCACAGACAGGCAATGTGTGGACATTCACAAGCCTGGATGTGGCAGGAATGGCTGTCAAAGCTAGGAAGTCTGCTTTAGAGCATGCATTCTAAAAGATTATTGTAATACCTCTATGTATCAGACATGTGCTGCGCTGCGCTGGGCTTACTTGCTCAGCCATGTCTAACTCTTTGTGACCCCGTGGACTGCAGCCTGCCAGGCTCCTCTGTCCATGGGGATTGTCCAGGCAAGAGTACTGGAGTGGGTTGTCATGCCCTCCTCCAGGGGATCTTCCCAACCCAGGGATCGAACCCAGGCCTCCCACATTGCAGGCGAATTCTCTAGCCTCTGAGCCACCAGGGAAGCCCAAGAATACTGATGTAGGTAGCCTATCTCTTCTCCAGGGGATTTTCCCCACCCAGGAATTGAACCAGGATCTCCTGCACTGCAGGTGGATTTATAGTCATTTAAAAATATAATTACAAGGGACATAGTTTATAGTAACAACAATACCTAGGAATCAAAAAGTAAAAAAAAGTAAGACTTACATGAAAAAATTGCAAAATGTTAGTGTGTAACTGTGGCAGATGCTGTCAATGCCTCATCATACCACAGGGCTCACTCAGGAGTAAAGAGAGGTGAGAGGGAGCTGTGTATAAATCATCAGTTACCTATTATATTCTCCCCCAGCTCCAGTCCAGGAGAAGGATTTGTCAAAATCAGCTGAAATGCTTCATCTCCTTCTGGAATGTCATCATCAAGAATCATGATGTCAATGTTTTTATACCTTTCTCCATTAGCGAAATGAAGGATCTGGTCCAAGAGGTAGAAGTGGGCAGTATTATATTTAAATACACTGATTTTTTTAAATGTTTGGAGATAAATACGACATACTGCTAAATGTGAAATAACCTATTTACAGGATTTTTTCCTTACTTTTTTATGACCTCTTTTTTTTTTTCAACTGACAATTTTAAGTTTAAAAAGCAGTAGGAAGAAAGGAAACATTTGACTAAGCAGTAAAAGGCAACAAGAGACAAGACAAAAAATATTTTCAAACACTAAAGGTGTTTCAGTAAAGTAAAACAAAGCAATAAAAGCGTTAATATTTTCAAGAAGCATAAGAGACATTCTGGTAAGGTCATCTAATGATACAAATTCTTTAACACAATAATGTGTGTCCTCCAGTAGCAAATATTGCAATTAGATAGCAAATGAATTTTTAAAAGTGAGTATCAAATATTACAATAAAATAATGAATGAAGTGAAATACAAAATAACCTTTAAAACAATACTGAAAATTCAATCTATATAATTTACCAAAACAGTGAAGCTATTCCACCAGGTGGAACTCTTCAGCTCTAAGTGACTGTGGAATACAGAGCAGTTTATTATTTCAAGGTTAACTGATGTACAGGCCCTAAATCACTGTAACTGTCAATGAATTCACCATTGGGGTAAAGGCGTAATCCAGTCCCAGCTGCGCTTCCAAATTCTGGGCATACACAAACAGGGAAACATGGCCAAGAGCCCCTGTCCTCCTCTGGGCTACGAACGTTAGACTTCCTTGGGTTTCATTTACTTCAAACCTATGATAAAGAGAAAACATTCACTCTCCCTTATAAGCTTTAATTCACTAGGTAGTAAAGAATCTGAAACTCCGTGAAGAGCTCTCACACGGCCTCGGCTTTACCTGCGCTGCTGCCACTCAATCACGCCTCGGGCACCATCACTCGCATCAATGATGATTTGTGCAGTCAAGCCCTCTGAATCTGAAAAAGCACAAAAGCATATCTTTAAATAAGCAATTAAAAAGAGAACTATTTGATATAGAATTTAAAGACCATACCTTTGGTATACAGAGGTATTGTCAACACGAATCAAAAGATGCTAAGATACAAATACTTCTAGGAGTAAGCAACCTTTTGCTAACAAGACCCACTAACTTACAGAAATCTCATCAACTGAGAACAGGATAAAATAAGCAATTGGAGTTGTTTTTATTACTATTTTATTAATCTATTTCAAGAGGAAAGGAAAATGGGGAGAGCTGCAAGAAGTAGAATGAAGAAGGAAAAACTAGGAAAGAGAAAGTGCTACAGAGAAATATACAAGCATCAGAGAGAGAGAGACAGGGGTACAAAGAGAAGCTGAGATGCGTGGGAAAGAAGGGGAAAGGTTAGGTGGAATAAAGACTAAGCTTAATGTAAATTTTCTAATCCCTTTTTATTCTGTATTCCGTTCACCAAGCTCAGTGTGTTACCGATATCTGTTATTCAGTCTTGAAATAGTAACTAACCCGTTACTGTTTTGCTCTGTTTTTTCATGTTTGATTTTTATCTTTTAAATTTCAGAAGCTCCACCTTACTCTCGGATCCTTATGACAGCTGTCTAGGTGAAGCAGGGTAAGGAAAGTGGCATTTTCTATGAGTCAGGAGATCAATAACGTGGAGGAAGAATACAAAATCGGCATCTGACTGGAGGCTACAGGCAGAGGCCCAGTCCCGCATTTCCTAGCTGCGTGACGCAACAGGAATCCTAGTTTCTCTCAGCCTCGCCTCCCTCATCTGTAAAACGGGCAAATATAACAGATGGTAAAGAACCTGCCTGTGATGCAGGAGACCTGTGTTCGATCCCTGGGCCAGGAAGATCCCTGGAGAAGGAAATGGTAACCCACTCCAGTGTTCTTGCCTGAAGAATCCCCTGGACGGAGGAGCCTGGCAGGCTACAGTCCACGGGGTTGCAAAGTCAGACGTGACTAGGTGACTAACAGTACTACAACTATTACTACTAAGGAATGATAGTCCTAATATACAAAACATTTGGAAATAAGAGCATTAGAAAGCACTAACCCAAAGCTAAATTGTTCAAATTATCTCTGAGTACAAGGAAGATGATGTACTCTGTTAGTTTTCTTAGTGTGAACAATAATAACCTTGCAGTAACTGCTTGATATAAACACCCTAGTCATTGGAATCATGTGCTTCTTTTGCATAAAAATGGAAACTTTCCAAATAATAAGTTAAAAAACTGATTATTCCCTTCTGCTACTTCCAAAGTTGTCACATTGAGCCTCAGAAGTGAGTGAGGAAGTCCCATACCTCAGGCCACAGTGCAGAGCCAGGCTTCTCCCCCTTTAACCCAGACTCACCTCCCCTCTGCCCAGAACACCTTCTAACCCAGGGACAGGGAACAGGCTACCTCAGTGCTGCTCACCACCAACCCCCACCAGCCCATCACATCTGAGAGCTTCTGAAAAACCTTCCAATATCGAATATCCAAATCGTGAACAGGAGTTTGTGTTTTAATAGAAAGAATTTATCTTTTTAAAGTAATCTACATAAATTTGTACTGAGGTTCAAGTTTTACCTTTCAGTCTGTAACGAATTAACTGAGTCTTTTCTAAAGCATGAAAGGAAAGAGATAAAAAGTCAAAACAGAAGCAGAGAATACGACAAACAAACAAATGCTGTTCTTAATCTATGAAAAAATAAAAACATCTGATCACCTGGAGATCTAATGAAAACAGCAAATTAAATTTTAAAAGGAGAATGACTTCATAAGAACTAATTCTATTTTGAAGATTATAAATTTGTTTATAAAATAACTGCAATGTTTAAAGAAACATCACACAATAATTCTTAAATGTCTTTATGCTGTGCAATGCACACAACTACAATATAGGAGGGTCTTTAAATCTAAAAGCTCACCATATTTTCACATATAGCTGAGATTAACGAACTTCACAATGATCATTTCTGATTAAAAACTGATGAAATTTTATTTCATTTGCAGTGAGTAAACAGAAACAAACAAACAAACAAGGCCACCATACCTAATCTAGGAGGAAATGAAGTGAAAGGAGCCATGATAAGTTCCACATGAGTTAAATTCACGAGGAAATATTCTTCTAGTTCTGGTGTATCATCCTGCAAAAATTCACCCATTAAATTCTCTACAATTATGCTCTCAAGGTAATTACCTCTCACAAGCTGCTTTTTGAAATTATCTTTTAAATATATATATTTAAATGGTATACAGAAAATATAAAAATCCAAACACAGAGTAGAAAACATTAAAGTCAGAAAAAAATAAACACATCTTAGCAATGATTTTTTTGTGATTTAACACCAAAAACAAAAACAATAAAAGCAAAAATAAAAAGTGGAACTACATCAAACTGAAAAACTTCGGCATAGCAGAAGAAAACATCAAAAAAAGAAAAGGCAACCTACTGAATGGGAGAAAATATTTGCAAATCAATCCAAAATATACTTTGACAGTCATAGAAGTCAACAGCAAAACAATAATCTGATTTAAAATGCAGAGGAATGGAATAGAAATTTTTCCAAGGAGGATATTCAAATGGCCGACCTGTACATGAAAATGCACTCAATGTCACTAACCATCATAGAAATGCAAGTCAGAACCACAATGAGACATCACCTCACACCTATTAGAATGGCTATTATCAAAAAGATATCAGTGCTGGTGAGAATATGGAGAAAGGGGACCCCTTTACCCTGTTGGTGGGAATGTAAACCGGTGCAGTCACTGTGCAAAACAATATGAAGGTTCCTGAGAAACTTAAAAATAGAACCACCAGCAATCCCACACCTGGGTATTTATTCAAAGGAAATGAAAAAAGAATAATGAAGAGGTATATGCACTCCCATATTCATTACAGCATTATTCACAACAGCCAAGTTATAGAAACAACCAAAGTGTCCATCAACAGATGAAGGGGTAAGACGTGGTATATAAGATGGAACATTATTCAGCCACAAGGAAGAAGGAAATCCTTCATTTTGACAACAAAGATGGATCTTGAAGGAATTACGCTAAGTGAAATAAGCCAGACAAAGGAATACATACTGTATGGTAGAACTTATATGTGGAATCTAAAAAAAAAAGTCATACTCATAAAACAGAGAATAGAAAACTGGTTGTCAGGGGCTAGGTGGGGAAGTTGGGGGTGGGGATAGGGAAGGAATTGGTAAAAGAGTACAAACTCAGCTATAGATGACTAAGATCTGAGGCTCTAAAGTCAAACACGGTGATTCCAGCTGGCAACACCTTACTGTGTAACTGAAATTTGCTGGTAGAGTAGAACATGTATGTTCACACACACACACAAAGATAAACACATTAGGTGATGGAGGTGTTAACTAGATATGCAGAATCCTTTCACAGAGTCAACATAAATCAACACCATATATGCTTTAACTATCTTCCAATTTTATATACTTTTTAAGATTTTACATAAGTTTACCATGCAGTATGGGTTAACTGTACTTCAATAAAGCTGAAATTTTTTTTAAAAAGCATAAAACTATTAAACTTTTATATCTGATTATATGTTGTTATGTTGAACCACATGAAATCATTTTATGTTGATTTCAGTTTTTACCCGGACTAATATGTACACCAATTATATAAATATACAAGCTTAATATTATCTTAAATATAATAAAAGATTTTAAATTGCCCTAATATCCAATTGGAGTGAAGAATAGAATAACATGGTGGGAAAAACACAGGCTTTGTAGTAAAGGAGACCTAGTACAACACTTCTGTAATTTTAGGTGAGTTGTTAAAACTTTCAGCCCTCAATTCTGCCATCTTTTTTTTTTTTTGGCCATGCTGGGTGTTCGTTGCTGCAAGTGGGCTTTCTCCAGCTGCGGTGAGCAGCGGCCACCCTCCGGGTGCTGTGCACAGGCTTCTCTTGCCGCAGAGCACCGGGTAGGGCTGGCGGGCTTCAGCAGTAGTGGCGCCGGGGCTCCAGAGCACAGACTCAGCCACTGCAGCGCACAGGTTCAGTTGTCTGGCAGCACGTGGGATCTTCCTGGAGCAGGGATCGAACCCGTGTCCCCTGCATCAGCAGGCAGATGCTTAACCACTGGCACACCAGCGAAATCCAATTCCAATTTACAATGAGGGAAATAACAGCTGTTTGGGGGATACTGATTAAAAATATGTAAACCTGCTTAAACATATTGCATAGCAGATGCTTAACCACTGCACCATCAGGGAAGTCCAACTGCAATTTATAATGAGGGAAATAACAGCTACTTTGGGGATATTGATTAAAAATATGTAAAACTGGTTAAACATAATACATGCGGAGTACCTGGCCTAGAGTGAGTCCCTACAGAGTGACAGATACTTGTGATGGTTAATTTTAATACAGTACTATGATTAACAACTAATAAAGCAGGTGCTCAAAACAGGAGGACTAGCAAAACCACATTATCAGTAACTAGACAGACAGCAATATCTACACAGAAATCCAATATATATATATAAATACATAATATCAGTATATATACCTCTCTCTTCATTTTATTTAATGGAGATATGTTGCCACGTGAAAAACTAAGAAAATACAAGTCACTGGCTCTGTCTTCTATAATACACGGACCAATGGATTACAGAATCAGTGATGTACGGGGCCTGTCTCCCATCTACCCCCACCGTACCCCGTCCCCACGGAACGACTCTCCCCAGTCTGTATACACTGTATATATATCCCCCCAGCCTGGCTGATTTCTGCACATACAGACTTGTGGTCTTTTAATCTTGTGCTAATCTGAGAATAGAAAGGGCTACAAAGACCTAGGGAGAAACACAGGAAATTTTGAAGTTCTGTGTTCATGGAACAAGACTCTGTAAACTAGACCTCTGAAAGGTGACTTTCTGCTTTAAAAACTAACATATCTGAGGAATAATTTGTTTATTTTTATTGTTACGTTAACAGATACTATCTTGGAAAGAAGATCACCTTAAAGTTTCATCAAATCTTGTGTCGTATGTCACAGGCTGAAACAACCTTTCATCTTACAGCTTTAGAATTCTCAAATTATTGTATTAGATCACAGTGTCATGGTAATCAACAAAACAAGAATTACTGACTTCAGATGGTAGATGGTTTAGTACTTATAATTTTGTAAATGTAAAAAGCTTCTGAGAAAATAAGAATTTTTAAGAAACAGAACCCCCAAAATATGCAGTAGTTGAAATTTCATTTTCTAAGGCAATATTCACTCTCTCCCTTCCTTCACCCTCTGCCTCACACAGTCATCTCCTACCCTCTCCATAGGTATTATTTTCATAAACCTCTTGGAAGTGAATTTAGGTGGTTGAAACACCAGGTCCCAAAACAGCACAAGATTCTGCAATGTGAAAAATCATTTAAAACACAATTTCAGTCACCAGTGATTACTTGAAGTTTGACCATAATCACATCTTATACCATCAGCCTCTAGTGAGTTTCCTGCTATCTCTAATTTAACCAGTCTTAACAACTAAGACTCTGACCTACATGGCTTCACTGCTCCAATGAATCCTTCGGAGTAATCAAAATGCTCCTCCGGAATCTCTCAGGCCAATGCGATCTTAAAGGGGACTGCTCTAAAGAAATTTTCTTTATCAAAAGTTGTTTCTATAATAAAATACACCACAACAGATGACTCTATCTAGACAAGAACAGAATCCCTGTGTGGTTAAAAAAAAAAAGAAGTCACAAAAAGAGATAAGCTGATTTAAAGGCACCAGAGCATTTAATCAATTTCTACTTGTTACCTGGGTATTCACATTTAGTGGAGCAACAGCAAAATAAGTGTTTTACCTCAAGGATAGTAATGTCGATGGCGCCTGCTGTTGCCCCTTCTTCTAAAATCAGAAAGCCAACGACCGGGACAAAGTCCACATCTGGCTCAGCGAGGTTTCCTTCTGTTTGGTTCTTTTGACTCAACATTCCAGGAACTGTGGCATACGTGACATTAATTGCTCCTAAGTGAATTGGATGTGAAAAGATTTTATAATTACATTTTTTTTTTAAATAGGAGGTTCAAGAGGGAGGGGACAAAGGTATACCTATGGCCAGTTCATGTTGATGTATGACAGAAACCAACACAATATTGTAAAGCAAGTATCTTTCAATTCAAAATAAACAAATTTTAAAAAATAACATTACAAACTTTTTGACTTTTGTAAAAGCACCTCAGTAGCTGCACTATTGGCCCCCAATTTTTCACCCCTTCCTATGTTTCTGACCTTTACCACGTAATGGCTCAGGGATGCTGCACTGTGGGCAAGGCAGACCGCCCCGCCTCTAGACTTTGAGCTGACTGTATGACTTATTTCTGTTGCCAGCGCAAAGACAAAGTAGGTGCTAGTTCCGAGCCCAGACCTGATGGAATCTGCATGTTTTTGCTCACCCTCAGTGCTCCTAACGGCAGCAGGAGAAGAATGAGAGGCACATTGGAAGAGTCACCCTGGGCCAAGCTGAGCCTCAGTTAGTGGACCCACAGCCCACCCGCGATCATATGCTGCTGAGACTGTATCACTATTTATTGCACAGCACTTTGTGACACTAGATAGTACAATATTCATTTTTTTCCTGTTCCTGATTTATTTTAGCAATGGCTTTCATCCACCCTAGTAGAATATTTAAAAAGCACCTGCCTGAAAATTCCAGTCATTCAAGAGTAACACAAACCTAGAGATCCAAATTCTCTGTTGATGAAAAGCTTAACTGTCGTGTTAGCCTCCTGCAGCAAAACAAATCTTGATGAAAGAGCAAAATTTAACACTCCGTGTGGTTCATCACTAGCTTCTACGGTCAGAACAGCTGCGTATCCTTGAGCGTCAAGCAGAGCGGCACCTGCTGGTGAAACTCCTGAGAAAGTCAGGGACCACAAGAAATCAAACAGTGACTTGGCATTAACTTCTAAATACTTAAACATAATCTGAATTACAGAAAGTGATCAGAAACTGAGGAAAATACCCAGATAACTTACACAAATTACTAAATCTAATTTATCCCATATAACTGATCCAGAATCCAAATTGGGAGTTGGTGATGGACAGGGAAGCCTGGCGTGCTGCGGTTCATGGGGTCGCAAAGAGTTGGACATGACTGAGCAACTGAACTGAACTGAGTATAAAATTAATTTCATCAAATTCTACCTTTGGAGATGTATTTTATTCCATAGGACACACTTAGCAAAAATCCTAGAGTTTCAACTGAATCTATAAAGATAAGTATTTTCATGCTGAGCTGATTTGTTTGGATCTAAATTGTTACAGGGCAGATGATATTTAAAGTAACATTTTTTAAATTGGTATCCACCTAATCATTAAATATAGATAGCAACTATTATTTTTTTTTAAATAACATACCAGAAAAATAACAATTAAATTCTGCATTACCTTGTGTCCTGACATCAGACAGAATGACCTGGTATATTTCTTTCTCCTCAGGAATATTGTCATCCAACAAATGCACAGATATTGTTTTATTCAATGACCCCTGTATCAAACACAAAGAAATTCATCCCTGTACTGTCACTGAGCACAAACTATCTTTTACTTTTATTGTCTTTATAAACCATGCACCTAAACATATTTTCACTTAAAGTGTTCTGTGGCTTAAAAAATAAATTATGTAAGAAAAAAAAAACCACCATTGACTCGTAGGAAAATAGGCTTAGAGCAGATAGGGAACAACTGGAAGATTTTGAGTGCCGAGTTAATGTATGTAGATCTTATCTAATAAGCAATGTAGCACTACTAAAAATTCCAGACAATGCAATAAGTTGGAGAGATTTCTACGACAGTGGTGAATGAGAAAAACTGGAGTATGGAAAAGAAGACCAGTGTTGTAGGGAAACCAGTTAATAGAAGTCAAATGTAGTAATGAGAGCAGAAGGTTATAGAAATTTATATTAATATTTAGGCAGTGGAAAAAAAGAGAAAAAGACTCAAACATGTCATCAGATTAGAATTCCTATCAAGTGAGTCTGGAAAAGAGAAGATGAAGAGTAACAATAAAGTAGTACTAACTTAGTACCCAAGAACTGTTTTTACATAGTTAATCTTTCACCAATCATCTTTCAAAATATCAGAAAGAACACCTAAATGCAAGCTCAAAAGCACTGTGTGAACAAGAGATAAAAAGACATTTGTTTCTAGGGCTATATCAGCTGTTTCATAGCAATGAAATATTTAAGTTCCAGGGGCAATTAAAGTTCCAAGAGCATGGGGAATAAGCAAAGAGGGACGATAAGCAAAGAGTCTTCATCATCTGCAGAATGACACAGCTGACGCCAACAGTGGGAGGACAGGAGAGCAAGAAGGCTTGCCCCAGACACAAAGTCAACGTTTTCTGTTTGCTTAAAGGAGACCTATTCATACAAGGACATATACAAAATCAAGCCCCCTGCTAAGTCTTAGAAATCCTTTGAGTTCCTAAGGAAGTAGCTCCCTCATCAATCTCTGTTAATCCTTGTACTACTTCATCAGAATTTCCCATGTTCCTCACAAAACACAGTTTCCTCCAAGTAGTTCAGTACAGTTTTTCTTGGTGCTATTACCTCAGGAAAGAAGAGTTGACCAGTAGAGTTAGCAAAATTGAGTTCTAGGTTTTGCCCAATAATTTTCCAGCTAACAGTAACATTTCCTCGACCAGGGGGTGTTCTTATCACATGGAACTGTAAAATTTCTCCTGCAAGTCAAATGTACAGATTGATGAATGCTTTAATGTAAAATGAACTATTCACATTTGAAATCAACAAAACCCAAATCCCAAACATGCAGCTGCTACAATGCCTTTTCTAAGAACATTACAAACCTGTTCTGTTTGCAATTTTCTAGAAGCTTTATACATGCTTATGCTTCTTAACACATTACTGCTGATTCCACTTCTAAATACTTCCATTTAGTAGAACTTCAGGAAGTTTAATGAGTAAAAGTTAAAAAGCACATGCTAAAATGGAAAACACAAACTTTTTATACACTCCAAAACATGCACCAGAACAGAAATGTTCTGTAAATTTAATAAATAAGTCCTCATGGTCAAAACTAGCAATAATACAAGTAAATTCTTTCTTCACTTCTCAAAAGGACACAAATTCCTTACACTGGTATGCAATGTGATTTTACACAATGCATGCATAAAAATGCTTGCAAATACCTGAAAATCACATTTCTTTAAATTGTAACTTACATATACCATCAATGATTTTGTTTTATAAAAAGAAACACAAAGGAAAGGTGTCAAATCTGTATATCAACCTCTGTAACTTCACCAAAGTTACAGTTATCTTTCCTGGGTTATTGAAGCATTTTAGATACTTTCCATTCCTGGCTTTTATCCTCATGTAGTACTTTATAAAACTGAAGAAAATCAAATCAGACATCTCTTCTAAACGACTTAAAGTGAAAAGTAAGCTCCTAAGGAAACTGGTGATGGCTTGCTGAAAATATGCTGCATTCAAAGGTTTGATGATGATGAACACAAGTTATATTAATGAAGCATATTACTAAAATGTAATAATAATTATAAAAAGATAAGTGAATTGATGTTTAAAAAGCTTTAAAAAACACATCCTTATTCAAATTTTACAGCATAGACATATAGTTAAAATCCATGCATATTCATTTAAAAATCACTTTTTAGTTATCTAAACACGTTAAATACTTCCGACCTTTTTTAAAGGAGAATAGCAATAAAACAAAATATGAACAGCCTTTCCAAATATATTTTAACTACCACAGTTTTTTTTACTTCTAATAGGTTTCTTAAAGTATCATAAATTAATTAATTTAGAGATTATCTTAATTTCAATTTGTTGTTGTTCAGTTGCTAAGTCATGTCTGACTCTGCGACCCCATGAACTGCAGCACGCCAGGCTTCTCTGTCCATCACTATCTCCCTGAGTTTCCTCAAACTCATGTCCATTGAGTCAGTGATGCCATCCAACCATCTCATCCTCTGTCACTCCTTTCTCCTCTTGCCCTCAACTTTTTAATTACTAATAAACAAAGAATTTTCATACTAAATTTGAGCACACATAACTTTAATACAATAAATTATTTGGGGATAGCAGAAAATATAAGAAAGCAAAAACATCAGAAAGACTTCTAAATAAAATTTCCCAAAACAATTCAATAGTTAATGTATACATTTAAAAATGTTTCAATATGAAAAAAAACTTGTAATTGTATCATGTTAGCAGGCCATGACTTGGATTTTTTTTGAAACAGAAAGGAAGCGCTATTAGAATGTCCAAAGGTTAGGGTATAACTGAAAGAATGGGTACAATCAGCCATAATTGCCATACCATCCAAAACATTTATACTTGTATAACTCAGAGGAATAAAACAGAGACACTATCATGAAACCACAAAGTAGCTCTCTTGTATACCATGCAGAATTCCACAAGGGTTTATTACTGAAAGACATGGAGAGACCTTTGGCGTTAGTAAGCTGTTTCACCTAGAGTGTTGTCTGGCGACACAAATAAAAAGCTATATAGAGTCATGGATTTCAAGAAAACATAGCAATATTTAAAAATGAAAATTATGTAAGTTTGAAAAACTACTGAAGATGTCATAAAAATATAAATGGCAAAAAAAAATGTAGATCAATGGAAACCCATGTTGAAGGGGAACCTGTAAATTTCATAAAAAAAATCACAGTTGTAAGATGGTCCATAGAGATTTGGGAATAAATGCACCATTAAAGGTGAAACTAAAAATGAAATGCTAAGGAGAAAGATATAAAATCTTCCTATGAATTTATTACATGTAAAAATACTGAGTCTAATACCACTTTTAAGACCACTTTTGAAAATTTAATGATACCATGCAAGTAACTTGTAAGAAAATATGACAAGAAACACAATTTGAAGCACAACACACACTCATAAAAGGTAAATCAAGCACTCCTTAAACACATAATTGTCTAAACCTACTGAAAATCATATCAGTAGTATAAATGATGTGAAGATTTTCTATTAATCAAGAAACTCTGCCTCTTTAAGGCAGACTGCTAAGAATCAGGCCCATTTGAAATGCTCCCTAGGAAAAATTACCAGAAAGCTACCTTCTACCTAGAGAAGGAGTCAAAGAATATAGGAAAAGGAAAAAATTAGAAATAGATGCTCAGTCTTCTAAATATAAGGGAGGAACAGAAGATAAGGCCTAGAGAGAGAAAGTTAAATTTTCAGATAACAAATGTCTCAACATACTGCTTCTAGTTTTTTCCCAGGATGAAGCCCTAGGGAGGGCCCTCCCCTACAGAAAAGTCTAGCTCTTGGAAGATCATCTTGATATGATATCGAAAGTCCAGTAAGAGTCAGTGATACATTTCAACTCTAAGCAGAAGATCTATTATATGTGCTCTTGGCCTAGCCTAACACAAATAAGAACTAGGAATAAAATTCATTTTAATAACCCAGAGTGTTTCATCTACTTGTTGCAAAACAAATCAGGACTCTTTTCACAAAGATAAATATCAACTACAATATGTATAACAAAAAGGGAAAACTAAATATGGGAAACATATTTTAATAGATACATGTATAATGGTATACAGGTACCATCCAAATTGACTGTGCTCTACAATAGAAAATGATTTAAAACTATTACAGAAATACAAAAAGTACGAAACACATACTGTCAATAAGAACAGTTAAGACAGAAAGTTGAATGCTTCTAATATAGCAGTTTGATAAATATTTTTTTAAAGAATCACATCTCTTGTTCAAATATTTGCCCACAAAAGATATATGCTGTCTCTAAGAAAAGGAAAAATTTTAAATCTATTGAACATGACATAATGATTCTGATGCTGCAAAGCTGTGTGAAGTGAGCCATCTAACACAGATTTATAAAAAGTCCATTTATACACAGCATGCGATAAAAACCTACTCTCCCATATTTCTCAGTTCTGCCTATTACATTTGAAAGAAAGTAATATTTACCACTGGGCATCTATCCAATTGCCTTAGGACAAAAATGCAGAAGCAGGACTTTACAGAATTCAATATATTGTTAAACACGAGGGCCATCCCTCCCCATGAACTGAAAATGTATCCTAAAGCCAGTTCAGCACAGTCCACATTTTAAAACTAATCACATAAATGAAACTCCAACACTAGGTCAAAAGCAATGTTAACACTGTCAAAAGTACATATGGCATTTTTATAATTTCATTTCCTTAGCAGTTATCTTTGAAGAATCACCGTGAAGTTTTCATTTTTGTAAACTTCTACGTGATATATATGTCTCTATGCAATCTTGCAGTAACATAAAGAATTATAACACGAAATGCTGAATTCTTGAGGATGAACATAATGCTTTTGAAAAAAGAAAATTAACTTAGACTCTAAGAAAAGGTTCAGGAGGAAAGGGAAAGAAAAGTAAACTAAAAAAAATAGAAATTTCTTTTACTTTTTATTTAGAAAATGTAAGAAGTCTAGGGAGTACTAATAAATGAAAGCAATTCATCTTTCTGCTTTCTGTAGCAAACTCATGCTCATAAGTTGATATGATAAAGCGGCTATCTAACCAACAACACACGTGGACCATGTGTTTTAAGGATCAATCATTTTTCCTGCTTGCATCCCCTGCAGATATTTAGCTGCTGGAAACTGCAGAGGCCACAGTCTGGCTTTCAGGTTAAGTTCGGTCAGGTGAAAGAGAACACAGGTGTCAGAATGTGCAGTTTCTCGAAGATGACTTGGAGCTCAGCACGAGAGTCTAAGTTTCTTCAGAGCCCCCGGCCCACCTCTATTGCCACCATCCAGATTTCCTTAAGATGAACGGCATGACACTAGCTCCTTTATAGTTCTAATCCCCCTAAAGTGATCCAGGACATCCAAATACTTTTGTACTCTTAGGAAAAAAACCCCATCATATTGCTGAAAATCATATACCTAGAGCAGCTCTGAAGTCCTCTAATAAATCTAATCCTTTCTGGTTACTGAATTTATCCCCTCCATGAAACTAACACTTTTATTCTCTTCTTCTACATTACCTTCTTCTCTGTGTTTCTTCAACAAAATAAAAAGTGAAGTGAAATCGCTCAGTCGTGTCCGACTCTTTGCCACCCCATGGACTGTAGCCTACCAGGATCCTCAGTCCATGGAATTTTCCAGGCAAGTATACTGGAGTGGGTTGACATTTCCTTCTCCAGGGGATCTTCCCAACCCAGGGATTGAACCCAGGTCTCCCGTATTGTAGGCAGACTCTTTACCGTCTGAGCTACCAGGGAAGCCAAAATAAAAACAAGTCCAAAATACTCTATGCTTTATTATCTACAATGTAAAAAGTCTAGGGAGTACTAACTAATGAATGCAGTTCATCGTCCTATTTCCTGTACCAAACTCATGCTCACAGGTTGATATGATAAAGCAGATTTATTATATCTATTTTATCATATCAGATATGATACGATAATCATATCAGCTTTCTCCAGTTTTTCTCTTCTCCTTGCTCTTAGAGCCAATAAGCTGAATATCCCCTAAGGCAGTGCTTCTCAGCCCTAAAGCGGTGAAAGACAAGGGGGCTTTGTTTTGTTTTTCTTGATCTATCATAGACTGACAGTTTTGTAAAACAAACAAACAAAAATGAGTAGGTAAGTTAAATGTCAAAAGGACACACATACAAAATATAAGCCCAAAGATATCACTTTCGGATTTCACAGCAAAGTGAGATTATAAAAGTCTCTAGCAAAGATTATTTCCATTTTTGAATTTATCTTGTCACAAACCAGAAGCAAAAAACACTTTATGTGAAGACATCAACTTGAGGACCAGACTTTGAGGGGCTAGCTGCCCCCAGGGCGTCTACATCCGGTCTTTTATCCTCAGTAATTTGCTATCCATCCCTAGTTGTCTAAAATTCCTCTGCAGTTACTACTGTTTCCTATAGCCCATTTGCGAATCTAATCTCACTGGTTGTGCAGGTTAGGACGGCGCAGACATAAGGCTTACTTCCTTCTGATAACTAATGACAACACACTCTTAGTCTCTTCCCACTCCTCTGGCAGAGCGTTCTCTCCCCTCTCTCCTTTGTCTTTTGCCTTTCTGGGACCCTAGCCTGGTATTTCACATAGCTCCATCCTTGACAATTTGCCTTTCTTCCTCCAACCACCAAAATCTTAATAGTTTTCCTGATTCCAACTATTATCTCTAAAAATCCAATTCCTCTAACTCGAGATGGAGTCAGCTTCTCTCATCCATTTCCTCCTCTCACATGGACACTGTTACTCAAATTCATTATTCTTTCAACTCAAATATTTACCCGACATTCCTGCATTGCCAAGTTCTACAGTAGATGTAAGTGCAAGCAAAACAAAGCTTCTCACAAGGTGCCCTAGAGCATATGCTTTGGATTCAGACAGCACCTGATTTAAGCTCCCGCATGAATAACTGTGCCAGGTAGTCCCTCTAACATCCAGTCTCCTTGTCTGAAAACCTGGTGTATATCATCATACCCACTTCATAGCCCTGTTGTTAAAATTAAGCGAAATAATAGATGTAAAATGTCTGGCAGGCAGAAAACACTCAATAAATGTTATTGTTCTTGTCATTATTATGAAGATTGACTTCTCCTGTGGTGACTTTTCACTCGTATTATACTGCAAATAATTTTTTGAGAGTTGATGATCTGTCTTTAGACTGGATTTATGCTCAATTCGTTAGTCACTTTTACTCACTGTTGCTATGACAATATGAGATTCTAAACCATTAATAAGAGGGAAGAGTGTTGGAAAATGTCTCAGATATTTGCATTAAGTTGAATAAACTTGCAGGTTGGGAATATAGTAAGGTAAAAGATGATGTACACTAAAATGCACTCAGCTTCCAGCAGAGACACAACACTCGCTATAGGATTCTGTCCATCACTTAATCCGTGCATCAGTTTTCTCATCATAAAAATCAAAGTCCAAATGCATGACCTATATCCTTTTCATTTCTTAAATCTTTGAGATACAATTATTTTTAAACACAAATTATAGTGAAACCCAATCTATAAATACCAGTTTTATCTCAAACAGACTTATTCAAAGACAAAAACATTGTCATGATGCTTTAAAAAGCAGCCTATAAATGTAAACCCTATAAATGATGTAAAATATGAAGTTTCAAAGAAATTACTGTTTTTCACAGGAAAAGGGGATACTTTATAAATTTTCTAATTTGGCACTTAGTTCATAAATATACTTCCATACAAATATAAAATGCAGGCTAAAACAGTCACTGATTAGAAACTACTATTTGTTTGGAACAGTCAATATTTCACTGTTTAATATCAATAGTTAACCCTTAGCACACATATGCTATGTGCCTAAAACTAGGCTAAGCACTTAGTATTTAGAGCTAACTTAATCCTCACACAGAAACCTATGAAGGAAATAGCATTTCTGGTAATTTAACAGATGAGAAAGCTGAGCATCCCAGGTTTGATCCGTTTCCTTAAAATCACACTAGTGGGGAGTGGCAAGCTAGAACACAATACCAATCTGTGAGTCTCCTGATTCGAGTTAAACAATTAAACAGCCCTCTCCCAAATAAGTGCCATGTATATTAACAGACCCAGCTGTACAAAATAATGAAAGAATTTATAAAAATGGGAAACTTTAAAAGACAAGACAAAAAATTACCTCCATGGAAAAGAGAGTGAATGTGCTCAACAATAAAAAGGACCCACCTTCATGACCTATGACAGATCTGGAAGCAGTCTGAAAGCTAACAATGCCCGCCACATTGTCATTGGCCAAAATGTTCACTCTGATGGTGTCGGAACTGGGCAAAATTCTACTTCCACCTTCTGTGTACACCAAACTAACTACAATGATTTCATCATCCTCTGGCTCAGAGTCATCCAAAATGGTCAAAATGGCAACCTTTTTGGTTTCACCTGTAAAGAATTAATGGGATAAAACCTAAGTAAGAAAATCATCAACAGAGAATTCACAAAGGTCCAAAATAACTTCCTTGAAAAAGTGTTAAGTTAAAATGTGTGGGTGCTCAGTCGCTCAGTCATGTCCAACTTTCTGCAACCTCACAGACCGTAGCCCGCCAGACTCTTTCCTCTGTTCATGGCATTTCCCAGGCAAGAATACTGGAGTGGGTTGCCAATTTCTCCTCCAAGGACTCTTCCCCACCCAGGGATAGAACCCGTGTCTCCTGCATCTCCTGCATTGGCAGGTAGATTCTTTACCACTGTGCCACCTGGGAAGTCCTTTAAGTAAAAATACATGAGTTGAATTATAACAGTTCAATATCATGAGCAATATTAGTGTCACTCACTATAAGCAAATGTTATATGTTAGTCTGTATACCCTTTCACATATAAATTACTGTAAAATTTCATCAACACGGACAGACTGTGGAAAGGACATTTTGAATTCGGAAACTTAAAGGGTAGAATTATTTCAAGGAATCATGATTTTATTACTGGTCTCTAGCCTAGAACCATGACCTAGCAAGGGAAAGAGACTCTGAAGCAACTACTGTTTAGAAATAGCTCCTTCTATAAGGGTGGATCTCATTCTCATCCTGGTGCTCCTGTGAATGATTTTCAGATAATCAAGCCAAAACTTCCCTGAAAGACCAAGGACACTTAGGGAATACTGGAATGGGTTGCCATTTCCTATTCCAGGGGGTCATCCCAACCCAGGGACTGAACCTGCATCTCTTCTGTCTTCTGCATTGGCAGGCGGATTCCTTACCACTAGCATCACCTGGGAATCCCCATGACCCTGGTACGTTTTATCAATTCAGTGTTAAGACTGCTTCAAGAAAATATATATTACCTGAGAATACAGGTCAACTACAAAATATAGTCCATTTTGCATGATGCTAAAGTTACAACTCAAGGTAATACTAACTGTTGTAATGGTACTACATTACATAATAAATTCTTTATAGTTACCAAAGCCACTAAAACATTTAATCTTAAATTTTCATCTCCACTCCCTCCTCAAATTTTCATTACTTTCCTTGAAATAGGGGAAAATGTTACCAATTGCTAACCTATGCACATACATACCTCCCACATCAAGTGTATCCATGTTCCAAGTATTCCATGTTCCCAAAACCAATTACTAGGAAATAACCATTATAGAGGGCTTCCCTGATGGGTCAGCAGGTAACGAATCCATCTACAAGATAGGAGACCCCGGTTCGATTCCTGGGTCGGGAAGATATCCCCTGGAGAAGGAAATGGCAGCCCGCTCCAGTATCCCTGCCTGGAAAACTCCATAGACAGAGGAGCCTGGCAGGCTGCAGGCTACAGCCCACAGGGTTGCAAAGAGTCAGACACGACTGCGTGACTAAGCACAAGCCCAACCATTATAGACAAGTTTTAAACTATCTTAAAAAGTTACTCTAAAATGTAATGCTTCTTAGATGTTTCAAAAGTATAATCTATATGCATCATAACCCCTAATTACTATTTCCAAAAAAGTATATGTATTAAAGGATAAAATATGCAAGGAACTGCTCTAAGAAACTGCTAATAACATTTACTTCCTTCATTTTATTGTATAACCTGAAGCTTTTATGAGTATAATTTTTCAATCAGAAAAAAAAACTATGTTAAAAAGCCATATAGGATTTTAAGTGCCCAAATCATGAGTTAAAAAATGATTTCAGTAAAGATATCTTTCTTTAACCCAAAGAAAACTATTTTAAATATATGAACATTCAAAATTTTCAGACACTTGGTGATTCAATCAACCCTGGAAAAGAACTGGTTAATCTGCACTAATCCTAATTATTATCCAAGTTCTCTATAATTTCACTGTTCATGAAAATTTAAAATAGTGATCCCATTCAAGTCTAAGACAAGTATTACAAGCTCATCTATCACTAGGTTACTATGCTTAATATAACATTAATAAAATCACCCAATGAAGTGAAAGTCGCTCAGTCATGTCGGACTCTGCAATCCCATGGAGCCTGCCAGGCTCCTCTGTCCATGGAATGCTCCAGGCCAGAGTACCGGAGTGGAGTGGGATCAAACTCAGGTCTCCTGCTTGCAGGCAGATTCTTTACCATCTGAGTCACCAGGGAAGCCCAAATTTGTACTATTTATGCTGTTGCTGTTGTTGAGTTCTAAGTCGTATCCAACTCTTTGTGAGCCCAAGAACTATAGCACACCAGGCCCCCCATCCATGGGATTTCCCAGACAAGAATACTGAAGTGGGTTACCATTTCCTTCTCCAGGGGATCTTCCCGACCCAGGGACTGAACCTGTGTCTCCTGCATTGGCAGGCAGATTCTTTACCACTGAGCTATAGGGAAGCCCTTATACAATTTATACTTGTTATTTTCTTTGGAGGTTTATCCTGATTTGTCAGTGCATATGAAAAAGCTTCCCATTTCTTGGCTGTCAATACTTTTTAGTCACATGTTTAATTGTGATACATGGCTCATTCTTATAACTTCCTTTACAAAATTAAAACTTGCTTTAGATATGCTTCTACATTTCCTTAAAGGCTCTGCTATCACACATAAGAGGGAGAAAATCCTCACATTCCCCGAAAATCTTCTTTCTATTCAACTAAAAAGATACACATATAGGGCCCCATCAGCCCTATGTATGTCAGGTCAACCATTAACAAGCCAACTACTACATTTTTTGTTCACTTTTACATATTAACAAGAATGTACATAGTAAGAATGCATATGAACACTATCATAAAAATGGACTATAATGACTTTCCCAGGGGGAACGGAAATCCATTGAGAACCATCACTCACCTTCAGCAAAAGTCAGAATGTCTCCAGCACCGACAAAATCTAAACCTTCAGTAGCTGTTCCACCAACGACACGCCATTCGACTGTCACCTGACCTAAGCTGCCCCCTGTCCTGTGGATCACCATCTCCACTGTGGTTTGCGACTGCTCCTGAACTTCGACATATAAGCCATCTTCGGAGGTGTTGGGACCAATACTGTAGATCACAAACGCTCCAAAGGCATCGCCATTTAATGCTATGACAACTGTAGAGGTGTTTGGCTGTCCTATGGTTGGCTGGTTTTTGAAACTGGCTGTGATGTTCATGAGATGAACTTCGAGGAGAGAAATCAGGAAACTCTCATCCATCTCTGGGAAATCATCGGGAAGAATGGAAACGGTGAGATTGGCGAATTCGTCGCCTTCCAGCATGATGGCCCACTGCCTTGTCACAGGCTCATAATCACTACCAGCCACGGCCTGCCCACTAAAAAGAGATGCTACTCTGGTCACGTTTTTCTTGTAGGTCCAGAAGTCTGAGTTGTTAGCAGTGGGGCTGGTCCATGAAGTCATCCAAAAACACTGGGGGCCTTCAGAAGCACTGAGAAAGGAGAACGCTGAGCACGCGTGTTCTTTGAGGCACAAGGTGGCACAAGAATCCTGGGGCTCTCCCATCGCAGAGACATTCACCCAAGTTCTCCAAAGTGGGTCAGGCACCCCTTGAATTGGCGATTCATAGTAGGACAGTAAGTCTTGACCCTCCTCAACTGCAAGAGCCACTACATCAATATCAGAAGTGCTGTAGAACAACAGCAGCCGACCAAAGTGCCCTCCGCTAAAAAGTGGAGTGACAAAAGACAGGTTAGGCGTTCAGAGCAATCTGTGCATTACACGCAGAGGACAGAACGCTGACTGTGGTTCCACTTCTTTTAAATGGATAAAGTACTAGCACAGACACAGCCATGTTTCTTAATTAGATTTCTATGTCTCATTGAGTTTTCTCATGCAAGGAAACCTGGTTCATTATCATTCAAATAATACTTATTTTTAACCCAGCAATGAAAATATCTTGCAAGATACGCAAATCATATCCATTCCAGAATTTTCAAGCAGAGTGAGGAAATGAATCTTCACCACTAACTTTCGCCGGAAAAAAGGAATGATACCGACATGGTTACATTTTAAGGAAATGTACATGTAATTACTTGCCACAAGGTTGCAAGACTACCTATTTTTTTATTTCTGAAGGAGCTCAGTGAATGGTATGCTGCCTCACAAAAGAAAGGCAGGAGAAAATAAGAACCTGAAAATCAACTACTTCATATGGCATCTGAATGATTTTCAATTTAGAAACCAGTTGTTTTTTAAGTTCTAATTCAAACAAATCACCAATTAAAGCAATAAATGTCTGGGGTTAGAAAGCCAAATGATGCATAACCCATTTCACTAATAAAAGTTATGGGAAAAATAATGAGTATTTTATAGTGATAAGCATAATTTAATTAACAGATTATAATAACCTGTAAAATATTTTACATTATGTAAAAATTACCATAATTAAATTATTGGATTGTGCAAGAGACCTTTTTCCACCACCCCACAAGCCCCAAGCGCCATCTCATGTACCTTCTCCTGACAGTTATGTTAGCACAGGAACTTCTCTCCAGAGGCTCTTGGACACGAGAAACCGACTGAACAAAGGCTACTGTACCATAAGGATTATCATTGGCAGGAATAATAATATTTGCCACTCGATCTAACCCAATAGTACCTCCATCAGAGGCATCAGTTAGTTGCACTTGGATAACCTAAAAATACAGTGAAAACTTCCTTAACAGAGTCCTGGTTCTGAAATTAGAATAAACATGATGCAAGAAAAAAAATCAAAGCTATCCATACAAGAACACAATATAGAGTAATACAAATGAACATAAAGAAACTCCTGTAGCACATTTACAAACCTAACATGTAACAGAACAATCCTTCACCGACTTTAACACTAGAGCATGACTGCACATAAGAAATACAGGCTCTTTAAGTTCCTTAATATTCTGTTAAACAATCGCATGAATCAATTTTAAGATGTCTCTTTATGTTTACCACTTCAATAATATACTTGTAATCCCTACATACTTTTTTACTAAGGGAGAATATTGCATATGTGTTTCATGAATAGTTCATTTATTATGCTTTATTTCCCACATTCTCGTAAGTGGAAATTCTCTGATAAAATTTGAAACAAAAATATATCATGATGTCACCTAAATTTAGAGGAAAAAGAAATGTTTTATATGTATTAACTAATAACTAATATTTAAGAAGTGAGTAATGACACAATTAGCACTCAACTGAAATTTTATGGACTTCCCTTCTACAAAAATTTGACACTATTAAAAAGAATAAATGCTGTTAAATATAATTTTATGAGCTCTAGGTTTTAATAATACTTGAATTTCATAAAATAAAATTATCTTCAGCCAATATATGTCAGTGATGAATCAACTTCTCCACTGAGACGCTATCTTTATTTGCCACTGCACTTCTTTATCATGAAAAATAAATATCAGACAAATAAATCTCACAAGGAATTTGTCACAGAGTAAATCCTAAAGAATAAATGAATAAGCAGAAAATCAAAATCCACATATAATTAAGATTGATTGGCTCACACTCAAGCCGAGAGAGATTATGAATACAAACAAATTAAGTTTATGTGAAACAACACAGCAAACTTTCTGCCAGATTATATATGTTTAATCACTTAACCGAAATGTAGAAAAATATAATTGTACGAAAAAATAATCTTATACTAGTAAACTAGTATGTGAACAAGAATGAGACCTATTTCTAAAATATTCTTGTTTCTGTTTTCTGTAAGGATCACTTTCACACTACCAAATTTTGAACATTCTGCAGAAATAACTTATTGGACACCTCTATAAACGTCACAATAACAGGCATCTGTTCTAATCACTATAAGACAAGATACGGTTTACAGTGTCATTCTAGACTAGCCATTCCTCTCACCTCTTCAATCTCCGGAACGTCGTCAGCCAGGACCTCTAACAACAAGGTTTGAATGGTTTCCCCAGGGGCAAAGGTCACATTACCTGAGACAACTCGCAGGTCGCCAGTAGCAAGCTGTCCATTAATAGTGGCAACCCACTGAACAGTAACATTGCCGAGTGTCCCAGAATTTCGAATTACTGGCAGGTTTACCTTCACTGAGTTAAACTCAGGTTCCTCTACAGTAAGTTTAGTAATCTGAAAACCTAAAGGGCAAAGCAGAGATAAAGTCAAATACAAAGTGAAACTAAGTCAACATAGAGTGAACCAATTGCCACCCTATAGTCAATTCCTTCTTTCCCCTGAGCAATCTAAGAGGCTAAACTCCGCAAAATCAGAGACACATGCTATGATACAAATTGCTCAGGCCTGCCAAATTTTCCAAATTATTTTTCATTATGATAGAACCAGAAATCATAAACCCAGATGCCCACAGGGGTCAGATGTGTATCAGTCATGAGTGAAGCTGATCCCATGACTTCTGGGGTGAATGGCATGGGACAAGCCTGGCAGTTGGTATTTTGCTCCGAAGACTGATGCTATGCAAAAAGGGGGGCTTGATGTCACCATAGTTTTTTACTATAAAGCAAGCCCAGAAATTCAGATTCTTGTACAAATTTCTGTGGATCAGTTCTTTTAACAATTGATCTAAGATTCACAAAATACATCCAGGAGCCAGATCTGACCTAAACGCCTAAAAGTATATGATCTCTAGGTTTATGCTAAGAGGTTGATTTTTAACCACAGGTGGTGAACATACATAGATGTCCTTATATATCAGTAATAGCAGGTTAAAAGGAAACAAGATTAAATCAATTTTGAGGCTCTAAAAATAAAGAAATGTAAGCATCTATACAAATAAGTAAGAGACACAGACTAGTTTCATTACCAAATAATCCATAGGGATCATCAGAGGCCTCAATAATAATGATCGCCTCTGTTAATGCCCCGAGTTTCGCCCCTCCTGTTGTTTCATTCAGCAGTTGCACAAGAAAAGACTCTTCCAGCTCGGGGTAGATGTCATTAATGATATATATTGGCACAGCTTTACTGGCTTCCCCTTCTAATAAGACCACATCCGATGAAGCTATACTATAATCTTCACCTACAAAGACAAAAAGAAAAATGCTAAGACTTCTTCTAGGACATGATAATAAACTCCCCATATACTAGGGAAATACTATGACATATCACAATTCATGGACACAGTTCGCAAGATGTTTCTGAGGTCAGTGATTGCATTTATTTTAAACAGAAGATTTTACCTCCCTTGCAAGAAAAAAATGGGTTTGATACAACACAATAATGAAAAACCATCCTGACTATTCAAGTTCATGTCTTCATTTTTAGAAATACATAGACATAGTGTTCTACTTGCCATATACACCTATAGATGATACAAATATACACAGACATATAGATTATGCATATGCACATGAACATAAAGAATCATTCACTACCACAAGATGGCCTCTTATTTACAAAAGTAAAAAAATATGTATGGTACTTTCAAAAGAAAGAACAAGAATTCTGATCTCACTAGGGAGACCAATCACACTGCTGCACAGAGATGGGCATGTCAATATCATCAATCTCACAGCTGGAAAACATGAATTTTTCTACAGAGTTGGATTAAAAGCTACTAATGTATACCCCTATATGGATCACAGCCTTGTCATGGTGAAGGGGTTTGCGTAATGCAGCGAAGCTATGAGCCATGCTGTGTAGGGCCACCCAAGACAGACATGTCATAGCTAAGAGTTCTCACAAAACGTTGTCCACTGGAGAAGAAAATGGCAAATTATTCTAGTACTCTTGTCTCGAAAACCCCATGGACAGTATGAAAAGGAAAAAAGATATGACACCACAAGATGAACCCCAGAGGTCGGAAGCTGTCCTACAAGCTCCTGGGGAAGAGACGAGGACAATTACTAGTAGCTCCAATAAGAATGAAGTGGCTGGGCCAAAGCGGGAACTTCTTTCTTGACACTTAGCTGTGGATGTATCTGATGATAAAAGTAAAGTCTGAGGCTGTAAAGAACAATATTGCATAGGAATGTGGAAAGTTAGGTCCATGAACCAAGGTAAATCAGACATGGTCCAGCAGGAGATGGCAAGATTGAATATTAACAATTTAGGAATCAGCGAACTAAACTGGATGGGAATGGGTGAATTTAATTCAGATGACTATTATAACTACTACTGTGGGCAAGAAAACACTTAGAAGAAATGGAGTAGCCCTTGTAATCAGCAAAATAGTCCAAAATGCAGTACTTGGGTACAGTCTCAAAAATGACAGAATGATCTCGGTTTGTTTCCAACAAAAACCATTCAATATCACAGTAATCAAGTCTCTGCCCCAACCACTGATGTCAAAGAAGCCAAAGGTGAATGGTTCTATGAAGACCTACACCACCTACTAGAACTCACACCAAAAAAGATGTCCTTTTCATCATAGGGGATTGAAATGTAAAAGGAGGAAATCAAGACACACCCAGAGTAAGAGGCAAGTTTGGCCTTGGAGTACAAAATGAAGCTGGGCACACACTAACAGAGTTTTCTCAAGAGAACATGCTGGTCATAGCAAACATCTTTTTCCAACAACAAAAGAGATGAATTTACACATAAACATCACCAGATGGTCAATATGAAATCAGACTGACTATATTCTTTGACAAAGATGGAGAAGCTCTATCCAGTCAGCAAAAACAAGACCTGGAGCTGACTGTGGCTCAGATCATGAGCTCCTCATTGCAAAATTCAGGCTTAAGAAGAAAGTAGGGAAAACCACTAGACTAGTCAGGTATAACCTAAATCATATTCCTTATGATTATACCATGGAAGTGACAAACAGATTCAAGGCATTAGATCTGGTAGACGGAGTGCCTGAAGTACTATGAACAGAGGTTCAACACATTATATAGGAGGTGATGGCCAAAGCCCAATGAAAAAGAAATGCAAGAAGCCAGAGTGGTTGTGTGAGGAGGCTTTACAAATAGCTGAGAAAAGAAAAGAAGTGAAAGGCAAGGGAGAAAGGAAAAGATACACTCAACTGAATGTAGAGTTCCAGAGAATAGCAAGGAGCGATAGGAAGAGCATCTTAAATAAACAGTGTAAAGAAGTAGAGGAAAACAATAAAATGGGAAAGTCTAGAGATCTCTTCAAGAAAATTGGCGATATCAAGGGAACATTTCATGCAAGGATGGACACAATAAAGGACTGAAACAGTAAGGACCTAACAGAAGCAAATGAGACTAAGAAGAGGTGGCAAAAATACAAAAAAGAACTACAGGAAAAAAAGGTCTTAATGACCCAGATAAGCAGGATGATGTGGTCACTCACCGACAGCTGGGTATCCTGGAGTGTGTAGTCAAGAGGGCCTTAGCAAGAATCGCTGTGAACAAAGCCAGTGGATGTGACAGAATTCCAGCTGAGCTATTTCAAATCCTAAAAGATGATGCTATGAAAGAGCTGCACTGAATATGGCAGCAAATTTAGAAAACAGCAGTGGTCACAGGACTGGAAACGATCTACTTTTCATTCCAAACCAAAAAAAGAGCAAAGCTAAAGAATGTTAAGACTACCATACAATTGCCCTCATTTCACATGCTAGCAAGGTAATGCTCGCAATCCTTCAAACTAGGCTTCAGCAGTTCATGAACCAAAAACTTCCAGATGTAAAAGCTGAGTTTCAAAGAGGCAGAGAAAAGAGAGATCAAATTGCCAACATCCATTGGATCACAGAAAAAGCAAAAAAACATCTACTTCTGCTTCACTGACTACAGTAAAGCCACTAACTGTGTGGATCACAACAAACTGGAAAATTCTTCAAGAGATGGGAATATCAGACCACCTTACCTGCCAACTGAGAAATCTGTATGTGGGTCAAGAAGCAACAGTTAGAACGGAACAGTAAAAATGGACTGGTTCAAAATTGGGAAAGGAGTATGACAAGGCTGTATGTTGTCATCCTTCTTATTTAAATTCTAAGCAGAGTACATCATGCAAAATACCAGGCTGGATGAATCACAAGCTGGAATCAATAACCTCAGAAATACAGATGATACCACTTTAATGGCAGAAAGTGAAGAGGAACTAAAGAGTCTCTTGATGAGGGTGAAAGAATAGAATGAAAAATTTGGTTTAAAACTCAACATTCAAAAACTAAGATCATGACATCCGGTCCCATCACTTCATGGCAAATAGATGGGCAAACAATGGAAACAGTGACAGACTTTATTTTCTTGGGCTCAAAAATCACTGCGGACAGCAACTGCAGCCATGAAATTAAAAAATGCTTGTGTCTTAGAAGGTATGACAACAAACCTAGGCAGTATATTAAAAACTAGATACATCACTTTGCCAACAAAAGTCCATATAGTCAAATCTATGGATTATCCAGTAGTCATGTATGGATATGAGAGGTGGACCATAAAGAAGGCTGAGCACAGAAGAACTGACGCTTTTGAACTGTGATATTGGAGAAGACTCTTGAGTGTCCCTTGGAGTGCAAGGAGATCCAACCAGTCCATTCTAAAGGAAATCAGTCCTGAATATTCATTGGAAGGACTGATGTTGCAGCTGAAACTCCAATACTTTGGCCACCTGATGCGAAGAGCAGACTCATTAAAAAGGACCCTGATGCTGAAGAAGATTAAATGCAAGAGGAGAAGGGGGTGACAGAGGATGAGATGGTTGGATGGCATCAGTGACTCAATGGACATGAATTTGAACAAACTCCTGGAGATGATAAAGGACAGGGAAACCTGGCATGCTGCAGTCCATGGGATCACAAAGGGTCAGGCACAACTTAGTGACTGAATATCAACACCACCAGGAGATGGGGAGGACAGAGGAGCCTGGCATGCTACAGTTCATGGGGGTCACAAAGAGTGAGACATGACTGAACAACAACAAAAGCATATCACTCAGGGTGGCTTTGTCTCTGGTCAAACAGCAAATGAGGAAAAGAGAGAGGGAGAGATGCAGGTTCGGTCCCTGGGGTCAGGAAGATCCCCTAGAGAAGGGCATGGCAGCCCACTCCAGTATTCTTGCCTGGAAAATCCCATGGACAGACAGGAGTCTGGCGGGCTACAGGCCATCAGGGTCGCAAAGACTCGGACATGACTGGAGTGACTTAGCTTGCACGCACTTATGGAGTTTATAGGCCAATTTCCTAGAATACGGTTGACACTCACAATCTGTCAAAGCGTAAAGCCCTCTGTATATAGGCATTCCTTTGGGCTACACTCCCCCCATATACATACACACTCACACACACACATCATTCACACACATAGCAGGGACTAGGTAAGCCTGCTTCATTTTCTTTTCAAGCAAGTGTCACATCCAAATGATTTATTTCAAAATATCAATTGGGTTATCCTATCCATTCACACTCATGACCTTTGAACGCACACTAAAAAGGTTCTAACTGAATAGCTCTTGGGCAAAACTCCCTAAGAGGCCATAACTGAACTAGGAAAGAAGACTGTCTCCTAATGTTTGCATTTGGCAATAAAATCCTTCTGCTTATACATAAAATAGTTAATGCTAATAACTGCCTGTACCATGTTCTTCATAAATAAACAATAGAATAAATGAGTTGAGAGACGTAACTGTTGCCAATACTGCAATTATACAGCTGCACATTTTATCCTGCATTCCTCATTATTACTTACACATGAATCCCTTCCAAAAACCTTAAAAGTACACAGGGAGAAAGTCTAACAATGCTTTCCTTGGTTTACTTTTCACTGGTTTGTGCATATTAACCTTTTAAATTCATATACATTTTGCCCACAGTTTTCACAAATTCTGCAAAATCAAAGTCATAAATACATAATAAAACATCTAGTCTTTTTACATAATAAAAAGATGCAAGGGTATTATTGCTTTCTGGTTGATTTTTCTCACTATATCTTTGAGTGGCTTTGTTAATCAAGTATACAATTTCCCTCTAAAACACTTCACTGCTCCTTAGATGTCTTTTCTCACCGGCTACTGCAGTTATTGGCACGGCTTTAAACTTCACAGAAATATCTGCAAATGCTCCTCCAGTTCTTGTCACATTGATAATGGGTCCAACATGATTTTCTGCTACTCGAACTACTGGTGCTGAGAGCTGAAGAGTTCCAAAGGCATCATCATTGGCAATGATAATTAACTGAGCAATAGCTTCTACCTTAGGCCCCAGGCGTGGAGAGTTTGGAACTGAAAGACAGAAGAAAAACTAATATTTCAAAATTCTAAGAACTCATCAGAAGTCATCAAGAAGCCTCAGCCAATATATAGGATGGATAAACAACAGAGTCCTACTGTATAACAGAGAGAACTATGATCAACATCCTGTAATAAACCACAATGGAAAAGAATATGAAAAAGAATGTATATGTGGTGTGTGTGTGTATATGTGTGTGTGTGTGTGTGTATATATATATATATATGTGTGTGTGTGTGTGTGTTTCACTTTGCTATACAGTAGTAATAAACAGAACATGTAAATCCACTATACTTCAATAAAGAGAATTTTTTTAAATGAAGTCACAGCAAGATCCATGAGCCAAATGGGATTATCATTTTGTGTTTTCTACTATTTACATCCAAAATATTTATTGATTACTATGTACCACCATGAATTTAGATGTTGGGGATAGAAAAATAAACACAAAAGTTCCTACTTCCCTGTAACTTCTAGGGTGACTTTTATTAGAGCAAAGGAATAATTACCCTACAAGGATTATTTTAGTAAGTATTAGAAATTTCTCAAAAGAAAAAATGATTAGAGGCTAATTAATCATCACTTCACAAAATATTACAACAGATAATGATAAAACTTATAGAATTATGCTCTTCCAATTAGTTACCAGCATGCTATAAATTTTTTTAAAGCCACTACAGTTACAAAATTGAGCAGGAAAGTTAATTTAGTTCCTTGTCCTCAAAGAGGAGCTGAATATCATCACACTCCAATTCAATTACTGCCTCTCTTCAAGCTTAACTGTCCTTCCCCACAAACCTATTCCCCCTGCACCATCTCAATTAATAGTCATGCAATTACAGAGTCAGCTTCAACACTATCTCAAAGCTGGTATAAAAAGAGTGTGCTTACTTATGCTTTTCCTGCTATACTTCTAAGCCTACCTTTAAGACTCTTCTCTCACTTGCCACTGATTTTAGGGAGAACAAAACTTACTTTGAAGGCATTTAAGACCCCCCCAAAACTCTCCCTGACTTACTTTCTAGATGCAATTCTGACTTAACATTCTTGCCAAAACAATTTTTATGAACTTTCAACACAAAAGAAGCATCAGCAAGCTCACATTACAAGTAAACAATTTTGAGTTCATATTTAGAACATCTCCAACAATGGTGGTATTTGAAAGCATGTGACAATGAATAAAATTCAGTATTTTCAGACAATGTAATCTAAAACAAGTAACAACACCATTTAATTTCAATGATACAGTCCCAGATCACACTAAATTATATAGTTAAAATCACAAACTGTAAGTTGATATAATTAAATATAATATAAATACATTGGGCAAAAATAGCAGTAACCCAGAGTTGCAGCAGCAGATGACATTTTATGAGTGTGCACTACTTGACAGGCATTGTTCCAAGCACTTTCCTTGCATCCAGTAATTTAATTCCCATACCATCTCTACGTGGTGGGTAACACTGTCCCTGTCTTAGGGATAAGGAATCAGAGGTGCAAAGAGGGTGAGGTAGTCAGCTAAGGCATTAGACTAGAACCTGCTGGACACATTTTGGAGACATCGTGTAAGGGTTTGTCCGAGCTCCAGCTCCCTTTCTGCAATTCCTCAGCAAACCAGGTAGATAACTTTCCTCCATCCACAGCTGCTCACCCTGCCCTCTGCCAGTTTATCCCCACTCCTCTCACGCTGCCTCCTGAAAGGGCGTAATTCCACTCAGAGCAGAGAACACAGATCTTATCAGGTCCCGCACTGATTCTACCTATTAAAATTGAGACCATATCACATAGATTTGCACTGAATTATTCTTTTTCTTCATTTTTAATGACATTTTCTGTTTCCTTTCTAATGCACTCAAATGTTCTTTAACTCTTTCACTTCACAGCTTATGCTGAGTCTGAATTTCCCCAAGTATGCTGCATGGTTCCAGGAACATATCTAGCATAAACAAACACATGTTGACTGTTTCTCCCAACCCATGGCACAGTGATATCCTGCATATAGCACTTTATTAATAACTGTTCACATTTATTGAATGCTTACCATATGCCAGACCCTATATTCATTTTCACATGTATTATCATATTTAATCTCCATAATAAGTCTATACTATGGATAAGGAAACTTGGGCTTTAAAAGTTTATGGGCAACAATTTATTACAATACACTTGGACCTAAGTTATTTGACACGAGCACCCACAGCTCCTAGCTAGCCACTGCTACATGCAATCCTTCTTCCCGGTTTTACTCCTAGCTCACTTAATAAACTGCAGTTCCTTGAAAAGTGGGCTATACCATAAAATTACTGTGGTCAGTCGTTCAGTCATATCCAACTCTTTGTGATCCCAGAGACTGTAACCCACCAGGCTCCTCTGTCCATGGGATTTTTCAGGCAAGAATATTGGAGTGGGTTGCCATTTCCTCCTCCAGGGGATCTTCCTGACCCAGGGATTCAACCAGCATCTCCTGGGTCTCCTGCATAGGTAGGCGGATTCTTTACCACTGCACCACCTGGAAAGCCCCTTTATAATTCTTACTAAGACTACTTGCTGAGTTTTATTTTGATGTATTGCTATGGTAACTGACGCTAAACCATGCTAAGAAAACAAGGGATAGGTTACTGTGTGGGAATTTTAACCGTGACTGTAACCTAAAAATTTAATGATAGCAGTTACCCTAAAAAAGTAAATTTCCTTTTACAACCGTGGACTACAATTACAATGTGGGCAAGAATGGTGCTCACTAAACAATGTGTCAGTAAAGTCACAAAATATACTTGCAAGAAACCTTAATCTATACGGCAGAACACAGTCAACATGTAGATCTTAACTATTTCGACTATTTAATTCCAAGTTTAAGATAGTTTTATTATATTTTAAAAGATATCTACTTAATATCATATTTACAAATATTATCCTAAAACTGACATTAAATTGATATTAAATTAATATCACCAATCATCCTTCCTTTTCTTACTGTCTTATTCCAGGGAATCTAGATTCTTTATATAAAAACCCCTATCTAAAGTTATTGGTCTTCAGAGGGAGATGTGACTAACAAACAATCTACAGTGAGCCCCCAGCTCAGGCCGGCTCTCTGCTAGCAGCCCCAACTCCCTACAAAGATACTGAGCCATGACTCCAGGGGGAGAGGCTGCTCTGTCCAAATAGAAGCTGTGGAACCAGATCCTCTGGCCAACACAGGTCATCACTCACTCTTCATTCCTCATTCTTATTCCCAACCAGGGCCTTCATCTCAACTCTCAGGATGACCCCCAAATTTCCAGGTCTTCTCCTTTCCTCCTGCAGTTCTCAGATCCACCATCTCTTTGTATTGCTTCCCACCGATACAAAGAGACTCTGTTGGTTAAGGAACCATCTAGGGTGGATCAAGGTGAAAGAGACTCAGGATCTTACCACCAGGACTGTCCTCGGAACCCCCAGATTGATTTCAGAAGGCCTCAGAAGCTACAACATCCAGTACAATAGTATTAGAGATCAGTCATACCAGATTCCATAAACAGTTCTAAAAATTTAGTCTGGGACTATAACAGAGTTTTAAAACACAACAGCACAGTTTCATGTCCCACTTCCATTTGCCTTATAAACTTTTTCAAGAGGATGCTAGTAAAGTCAGAGCTTACTATTTTTACAGAATATTTTACTATACCAAATTCTTAATTTGTCTCAGAATTCTTACCTCTAATAATAAAAACAACACACTAATGGTTACTTACTTGGGCGATTCTGTACTTTCTCTGTTAAAGTAGAGTTGAGTAGCTCAACAAACAAAGACTCCGACCTTTCTGGCTCATCATCGTCCAAGACTGAAACCGTTATTGTTGCCTCACTCTGATTGGCTCTAAAAATAGCAAATCCAGAAGCTGGTATATAGTCTTTCCCTTGAGTTGCTCTGGCTAAATTAGGGGGAAAATGAGGCGGTTTTTCCATATCATCCAGTGTTGCATATGTGACTTTAACTTTTCCCAAGAGGCCTTTTAACCTTATTATTGACAACGTGATGTTCTGGGTTGCTTCCTCCACTTTAATAGGTCTATTTTTCTCAGAAAAGATGAAGACCCCGTAAGGATCATCACTAGCCAGAACTATTAATGTGGCATTAGAATGAACGCCTAGAGAGCCACTGGAGACGCTGAGGATGGTCACAGAGAATGCTTTATCCAGCTCTGGATCTTCATCAGGCAGTATTTCCACTGTGATGTTGGCACTCTTCTGTCCAATCTCAAATGTGACATTGCCAGAGGTGAAGGCCAGATCGCCATCAGGGTCAGAGTCTATGCTCCAAAGCAAAGACACTTGAGACAGAGCCCCATGACTTCTCATAATCTTTAAAATATTGAATATTAAAATATGTTAAAACAGGCATTAAATCCACCAACTCAGAGATGTGGATATACAGAACAACAGGATATTAATTTGTGATTTTATTTTATATAAGCTGTTCTGAAGAATATAAGATTCTTGAAGGCAATGCACTACACATCTTTGAAGACCCGCAGGGAGTTCCCACTTAAAAAATGATTGTTATATTAAATGACAGATTGAAAGAACATGTTTATCTTCTAACTAAACTGCAGCTGTATCATTTCTGCAACTACAACATATACCAGTAATAAAGCAAATGTAATTAACAGTGTATTATATTGCACATTCATGAAAATGTTTTCATTTCCTGCAAAGAGGGTATACAATTTATTGTAAGGAATAGATGACTGATAATTTTCTAAAGAGTTAGCCATAAAACTCATTTTTTTGAAAGATTATATTTAACTCCAATATAATATGAAAACAAAAATTCACCAAAAAGTATACTCAACCCAAGGTTATATAAGATACATTTAAGAAGCAAGAGATGCTTTTCTCAATAGTATCTTAAAAAGAATGAAAAATCTTCTTTAAAAAAAATCACTTCAAGTTACTGTATTGTTAGTTGCTCAGTCGTATCTGACTCTTTGCAACTTCATGGACTGTAGCCCACCAAGCTCCTCCATCCATGGAATTCCCCAGGCAAGAATACTGAAGTGGGTTGCCATTTCCTTCTCCAGGAGATTTTCCCAACCCACGGATCAAACCTGGGTCTCCTGCATTGCAGGCAGATTTTGTACCGTCTGAGCCACCAGATGGTACAAGCCCTACTTCAAGTCAAGTCCCAACTAAACGTAATTTTTATACTTAAAATAAAAATGCTGACTCCATTAGAAACAGGAATTTTTATTAAAAAAATTTTAATAAACTTGATGCTTTCCCTGAATCCTTTTTTCTTTCTTTCTTGAGTAATTAGTTATCCTTTCTAAAGCTGTTTAATCTATGCCACAACAGTTTACTGCAGATCTGCCATAAGAATACAGAAAATATATATTCTGAGTGATCTTTCTTTATCCTTTGAATAATATCTGAGGACACTGAGCAAGGTGCTGGCTCCTCTAAATTATCTAACAATAGTAGCCTACTTAATTCCTACTGGATGAACGTAGAGTAGAAACACACATACGTAGATACACACACACCACATAGAGATGTTATTATTGCTATTCACAAATGTTTTGCATTTTCTTTCCTTCTGGGAAAGATACAAGCCAGGATTACATTTCTCTACCCAGTTACTTTCGCGTTGTCACGCGACATGCTTTTACCAAAGAAGCTAAATGGAAATGCTGTGAATGACCTCCAGAGAGAAGCTGAAGAGCCAGTGTGCCGTTTCCCCCAACCATGCTTCCCCAGTCAGTGGAGACAGAAGTATCTATTGAGTTATAGCCTTTGCAACCCTCAGTCCTAAGTGATTGATGACAGCCAACTTCAGATGGGACATAAAACATGAGTGAAAAACAGATCTTTGTGGAAAGTCAATTAGAATTTGGAGATGTTTGTTGCTACAGCTTATCTGAATTAAGATAAAAATCTATATTTTTATATTAATAGATATTCCTTAAAGAGTCAGGAATCCTCAGAATCACAATGTATGCAAAATGAAATACAAAGACAAAAGACAAATCACTGTTTAATTATCAATTTGAATTGTTGGTGCCACTAGATTCATTCCCCTCCACTTACACAGAAAAAATTAACATAAAGTATACCTTAATAATACAATAAAACAGTGTTTTTAAAAAAAAAACAGAAAATGTCTAGGACTGGAGGAAAGAATGTACTCACATTGAATGTAACAGTGCTGTATCCATCTTCTGGTTCAGTTCCGCTGACAAAGAGTGACTCAGGGCTAAATTCAAATACACCATGAGCATGGTCAGAGGCTGCAATTGTCACTAGAATTTGGGAAGCCATTCCTAGACTGGCTGCATGAATAAGTTCCAACAAACAGAAGAAAATGTTAATCAGTAATTTACAAACCAAAGGGAAAAGCAAGGAACAACTTTTTGAAAAGAGTTGTACCATTCACTGAGTATGTTCTAATTTGCTTTAGAAAGAAAGGCAGACACAAACGGCTGCCACAATATTCGTGCTTTTCTGACCTTCCTCTGTTTGGGCTCCAACGTGACATACAAGTGCTGCATAAGCACTTGAAGATGTATAAGGAAAACTTGTTTTTCTTTTTCTTCTCTATGAAAGAGAACATTCTTCCACACAGAGCATAGGAGGAAAGTCTCTCACGACCTTTACTGACCTTGAAAGAACAGGAGCCAAAATAACTCCTACCTTTATAAAACAGTAGTTTTCCTAAGATTTTCACCAACCTGACTGCACAGATTCTTGTTTCCAAATGTACAGTAATTCTACGCCTATTTTCATCATATTACAATATTATAGCTCTCTCTCTCCTGGTCTCAAAGAGTCCAGTACTATAACTAAAAATGCTAAAATCTAAATAAATAAGTACTTTTTTCCTAGGAAGTATGTTCGGCTTTTATGCTGATTAAATATGTGGTCAAGACAATAAGGAATCCCAAAATGAGGACAGTAATTAAATACAGAAGTTATAGGAGACATTGACAGGAGTCAGGAATGAGAGGGGTGTTAACAACTTCTGAAACTAAAATTATAAAACCTGACACTGTGAAAAAGGAATGTTTTGAGCATAAAAGGAATCTTTCTGAGGGTGAGAAAGAGTCCCCCCTAAAGAAAAACAAATAGTCTATGTATTGTCTCTTTATATGAAAAAATATTTGAGGTGAAAAAGCTGAACCATATTTATATATACATCTAATTCAAAAGGCATCCTCTTTTCAACATTTCCTTCAATAAATTGGCAATTTATTCTCCCCATTTATTTTCTTAATTTCTCTTTCCCATGTGTTTGATTAAATGCAACATGTAATGACTCATATGTTGTCGTAAAGAAAATCACTTTGACACATTTTACATGAAAATATAAATATTCTATTTATCTTTTTTAGGTATTCAAAGCTATGTAAACGCTTTCTCAATAATCACTTTTGTAAATGGTATCAAGCAAAATTTCTGTTATAATTAGAATCAGGGAACTGATTCACATTAGGTTCACAAAGAGAGGAGGAGAGTCTGAGTTGCGGAGGCAGACAGGACTTGATTCTGAGTTGATCACTTTCCAGCTGACTTATAACAGCATGGAGTAAATAATACTTGATAAAGTTGTGCTGATTAATGAGACAAACTATATAAAGGACCTGCGTATAGCGGGTATGAAGAAATGGTTAGTACTGTTGTCTCTAAAAAGAAAAGTTGAAATGTAGAATAGTAAAGGGCCTTGGAATAACTGCTTACCACGTCTGTGATTAGCTGGAAGGAAGAGTTCCATGTCCCCATCACCACTACCACCGCCATCAACCCTAAAGAGTTCAGCCACTTCACAAGGAGAAACACAGAGTCACGACCCACACAGCACACATTGACACAATGAGAGAATTGAGAGTGCTTAAAACATATCCAGCAAAGAGGAAAATACAGTAATACTAGACATGCATCCTTTCAAATAAAACAGATTAGGTGGTAATGGTATAACATTAGTCAAGCTACCAAGTTATAAAACTTTCATTCATAGCTTCAGAAAAATATTCCACGTAGGGTGCAACTGGTACTTCCCATTTCCGCCAATATAACTAGCTTTACTTTTAAATTTTCACTTTACAGCAGTGTAAATTGTTTTCATCGTTCATATAAATATTTTGAAATATTTGTGTGTATGTATCAGCCTATATTAGTCCTATAAACCTGTGACAGTCACCATCCCACTTACAACACCATGTGTATTAGTCACTCAGTCATGTCTGGCTTTTTGCAATCCCATGGAGTATAGCCCGCCAGGCTCCTCTGTCCGTGGGATTCTCCAGGCAACAGGACTGGAGTGGGTGGCCATTCCCTTCTCCAGGGATAAAACCTGGGTCTCCTACATTGCAGGCAGATTCTTTACCATCTGAGCCACCAGAAAAGCCACTTACAATAACTAATTCAAAAACTGGGGAAATGCATCCAACATTTCTCTTTAGCCACACACTTAAAAGTTCTCACATTTCGGCACCTAGACAAGCGGTCTAGAAACCTCGGCTTCAGTCCTGGCTGTGACAGACACCAGCTGTAAAACCTTCAGCCAGTCACGAAAGCCCTTGGCACCTCACTTTTCTCACCTATAAAAGGGGCCTGCTGCCTTTTATACAGAACTGCAGTAAAGACCAAATAAATGATGTTGTAGAAAATGAGGGACCTTGGCAATATATGAAGACTGTAAGAAAGGGAAAGTGGTTCTAACTTTATTTCCACTACATCTCACAAGCCAGCCATTATTTTACCAAGTATTTGCAAACAAACAAGGCAGGAAGCGCAGCGGTGGAAAAGGAGGAAGAAGAGGAAGACGACATCCACACCTATGTGCTTCTACCATATCCTTGATTGACATGTGAGGCTAAGGTCTGCCCTGCTCTTCCGGGCTTCCCCTCCCAGGGACTGGGATACACCAGACATGAGAATTGATGACACCCAAAACCTGAAACAGCCTTAGAGACAAAATGGATTTCAGGGAATATCCAGTGCATGGCTGTGCTTCCATATTAACCACAGGTTACAAGGAAGAGGGGCTAAATTTAATCCCAATGTACCCCGACTAGCATACAACACCTACTCTGGTGGTGTCATATGTAGAAGGGTCTTACAGGCAAAACAGTGTGGAATAAGGACTTCTCCTTGGATCCCCCAAAAGCTTAGTCTACAAGCTATCTCACCTCAGGCAGCCCAGCATCGAGGCTCCTCTACCTCCAATCCCCACTCAAGGCGGGCTGGGAGGATCAGATTCTCCGCCAGTACTGCCGACTTAGGAAAGTGCAAGACTGGTTTTCAAATGAGTCCTCGTGCCCAATAATACATACCGATGTATATTCTAGCGATACAGAAGGAAGCTCCTCTATAAAATCACAAGTAGACACGATGATCACAAATATAATTTCTAAAGAAAATCTGATGTTCCTTAACAATCAATATTAGGTAAGGCTCACTAACATTTTCTCTATTACCCACATAGTTTTAGCAATAAGTAATACAAAGAGCAACTTTTCAAATACTTTACAGTGACTTCTGATTAACGAAGTCCTTTCATGAAAATAATGATCTGGAAATGGGAGGACTTGTCTCTTTGCCTGAGAGAAGCAAAGCTGGTCCTGTTACATGACTCCAGTCCACCAGTCCAGCTTGCCTCCACTGTTCTATGAAGCCAACCAAGCTACGGTCCTGTTTAATCATTTCCCTGACCTGTCCTCTCTGGTTTCACCTGGGCTTTGGGAGAACAGGGAAGGGAAACATGGGGAAATTCTGTCATACTTCTCCAAAGTCTCACTAATACTAAAAGACACCCTTAGTATTTCTGTCCTACCCGATTTCTCCCCCTTGGATTGCTTATTCAGTACTATGACTTTCTTCATCAAAACATAAAAATAATAACAAGATAATAATACCAGCTTTTGTAAGGAAAGAGACTGATCTGATGAATACCAACTCTCAAATTCTTACACTTACAAAGATAATATGATACACATCTCATGTATTCTATAAACCCCCAGCAGCACCTGCTAATCAAACAGAGTGATACTTCTGCAAAGAAACATATATAGTTAATCTATCTTGGATAAATAAAGACTGTAAGCAGCCTCTCTTCAATACAGAGGAGTTTTGCCATAAAATGGATTTTTGACTCCAAAAGTCTGTGATAAATCAGTTTTCAGCATATTAGAACTGAGAATATTATTAACCTGCTTTATTGATAATCACTTCATAATAGGTTTCCTAAAGGGATTAATTTTGACCTATTCTACAACTGGATATAGCTAAAGGAGCTACTGTGAAAACTGAAATAAGGAAGAAGAAGGAGAGATGATTTTAGGGGCACCACTATGAATGATAACTATAATTTGGTGATTCAGTATAATTAAATTATTTCACTATAAAAGCACATCTACTTTAGGAAAAGACCAAAGGGTAATGTGAGAGGGAAAACCAGCATAATAGGTTAATTCAAAAGAAACTTATTTACTTAATCCACTATCATAGTGAGTGGACAAGTAAACATTTGATATTTTTGAGTCACCATTCTTACCTCCTCCTTCCAAGTTTAACAACTCAACTTTAAAGGATTTCTCCAATTCAGGAATAGAATTATCAGTGATATTTACAGAAATGTATTTAAATCTTTCTCCTGGTTGGAATTCTAAGGTGCCAGCAACACTCTGAAATATAAATAAAAGATTTGTGCATTAGATTATAATTATTTTGTGTATGAATGTATAAGATGAGAATGTTTACTATGTCCCAGGTTGTTACAAATACTGAAACAGATGCAGATAAATATAAAATTGAAAACATTTAAGTGGCTGTGAACAGTGATTAATATAAATTCTAAATAAATAATCTCAAACTAAATCAAGTAGATGGATTTTTATTTCTCTTACTTGCCTATTCATCAAAAAACTATTAAGGCAAATAAGAAATCTGTATAGGTGACATCCACAAATTCCTAAACAATTAATTCAATGAGATATATGAAATTCCTTTGACTAAGTATACTGAGAACTATTCAGATTACATCACTGAGTAATTTAAATGCTAGGGTATAATAATAATAATGGCATTTTTCCTACCAATAATATTGATCCATTGGGCATTAATCATTCTTTAATTATACTCTCAAATGAAATTCATAATATAGATTTCCCATCAGAAAAGTTCATAACTAAGAGAAAAATAAAGATTTGAAGTCTTAGGGTCCTTTTTTCTCCCATTACCTAATATAAGCATTTTCCCCTCAAGTCATGAGAATAAATTTTAAAGATGTTTAAATTTTTCTACAGTTAGGTTTTGTGGACAACTATATTTCATCCTGTGGAACAATTAATGATCTTAAAACTAAACTGAGGAACCCAAGTACCAATTCACTTAATCACTCATTGATTAATTTTTTTTCAATATCTTCAAACACATAGCATGTGCCTGACACCACTTAGGATGCTTAGGACTCAAAACTAGTCAAGACAGATCTCTATCTCCATGAAAACATTCCAGAAAGAGTGTTAAGCACAGGATAGAAAACAGCAACTATAAAAGACATATCATGGGCTCAAGAAAAAAAAGTACCTTTGCCTAGGGTCCAGTTATCAGAGGAGTAATTCTACAAGTCTTAACAACAGAAATAACATCTGTCTTAGGAAACCATAATATTTAACCCTAGCAATATCTTACACAATTGGCCACTCCCTCAGTCTCTCGTATTCCATGATATCACACTTTCTGTTTTTCCTACCTTTTTGGCTCATCCTTGTGTTCTTTGCAATTTTAACATTCTCCTAGGACCTGAAAAAGCTATTCTTCATCAGATTCTCCCTAGACTCTATCCCTAGACAAGGTTTTAATGTTATGTATATTCTAAGCTTTTAATGTTATGTATATGTCTCCAACTCCCAAATTTCTACTGGCAGACCTTATTTTATTCCACTTCACTTTATTATACTTTGCAGACACTGATTTTTGGGGGGTTTTTTGGGTTTTTTTTTTAACAAATTAACAGTGTGTGGCAACCCTACACAGAACAAGTTTATTTGGGACCATTTTTTCCAATAGTGTTTGTTCACTTGTCTCTGTGTCACATTCTGGTAATTTTTGCCATAGTTAAAATTTTGTCATAATTGTTATATTTGCTATTGTGGTCTATGATCTTTGATGTTACTGTTATAATTGTTTGGAGGCATAGGGAAAGACACCCATAGAAAATAGCTAACTTAATACATGTCACATGTGCTCTGACTGCTCCAGTGACAAGCCATTCCCCCATCTTGCTCCCTCTCCTGGGGCCTCCTATTTTCTTAGATACAACAATATTGAAATTAGGCTAATAAGTAACCCTACAATGACTTCTAAGTGCTCAAGTGACAGGAAGAGTCACATGTCTCTCACTTTAAAAGTTAGAAATGATTATTAAGCTTAATGAGAAAGGCATGTCAAAAGCTAAGATAGGCCAAAACCCATACCCATTCAGCCAGACAGGTAGCTAAGTTTTAAATGCAAAGGAAAAGTTCTTGAAGGAAATCAAAAGTGCTACTCCAGTGAACACATAAATGATAAGAAAACAAAACAGCCTATTGATGATATGGAGAAAGTTTAGATAGAAGTGATCTAGACAGAAGTCTAGATAGAAGTGGTCTAGATAGAAGATCAGAGTCACAACATTTTCTTAAACCAAACCCTAATCCACAAAGGGCCCCGCTGCTGCTGCTGCTAAGTCGCTTCAGTCGTGTCCAACTCTGTGCGACCCCACAGACGGCAGCCCGCCAGGCTCCGCCATCCCTGGGATTCTCCAGGCAAGAACACTGGAGTGGCTTGCCATTTCCTTCTCCAATGCATGAAGGTGAAAAGTGAAAGTGAAGTCGCTCAGTCGTGTCCGAGTCTTAGTGACCCCATGGACTACAGCCCACCAGGCTCCTCCATCCGTGGGATTTTCCAGGCAAGAGTACTGGAGTGGGGTGCACTGCCTTCTCTGACAAAAGGCCCTAACTCTTCAATTCCATAAAAGCTGAGGGAGGTGAGAACGCTGCAGAAAAAAGGTCTGAAGCTATCAGAGGTTAGCTCATAAGGTTGACAGAAAGATGCCAATTCCACAACACAGAAGTACAAGGTGAAACTACAACGGCTGATGCAGAAGCTGCAGCAAGTTATACAGGAGATCTAGCTAAGATAATTAATGAAAGTGGCTAAACTAAAGAGTCTTTCAATGTAAATAAAACAACCTTATATTGGAAGAACACACCATCGAGGACCTTCAAAACTAGAATGAAGTCAACGGAAAGATTCAAAGCTTCAAAAGACATACTAATTTTCTTATTAAGGGCTAATGCAGCTGGTAACTTTAAGTTGAAGCAAAGACCCATTTACCATTCCAAAAACCCGAGGGCTCTGAAGAATGATGCTAAACCTACTGTACCTGTGCTCTATAAATGGAACACTAAAGCCGAGTTGACAGCACATCTGTTAACAACATAGTTTACTAAATATTTAAGCCTACTGTGTAGAGCTACTCTCAGAAAAAAAAAAAAAATCCCTTTCAAAATATCACTGCTAACTGACAAAGGATCTGATCATCCAGGAGTTCTAACGGAGATGTACAAGATTCGTATTGTTTTCACACCTGCTAACACAACATTCATTCAGCAGCTCATAGCCTGAAAATTCTCAAAAAGGTCTCCAAAGGTACTAACTTTCTGACAGTCATGGAGGATAAGAACATATTTTTTCATTTTGTTTTAGTTATTAAAGAAAATAATAATCCAACTGGAGACTGAATATGGCCATATATGTCAAATCCACAACTACCAGCATACCCAATGGAGGAAAGCAGAAAGCATTTCCTCTAAGATAAGAAACAAGACAAGGATGCCTACTCTCACCCCTTTTATTCAACAAATAATTTTAGAATTTGTCTGAAACACAGAAGACCTCAAATAGCCAAAACAATCTTGAGAAGGACAGAGCCGAAGAAATCACACTCCCTGGCTTCAGACTATACTAGAAGGCTACAGTAATCAAAACAGTATGGTACTGGCACAAAAACAGACACAAAACCAATGAAAGCAAAAGTAAACAAGTTGAAACTAATAAAACCTCAAAGCTTTTGCACAGCAACGAAAGCTATCCACAGAATGAAAATACAACCTATCAAATAAGAGAAAATTTTTCCAAATAATATGACAAATAAGGGATTAGTATCCAACATATATATACAATTCAGACAACTCAACATTAAAAAAATCAACTCAATTAAAAAATGGGCTAAAGAACTGAACAGATGTTTTTCTAAAGAGGAATATAGATTGACAAGCACATGAAAAGATGCTCAGCATTGCCAATCATCAGGAAAATGCAAATCAAAACCACAATGAGATATCACCTCACACCCGTCAGAATGGCTGACATCAGAAACAGCACAAATAACAAATGTTGTCAAGGATGTGAAGAAAAGGGAATCCTCATACACTACTGGTGGGAATGTAAATTGGTACAACCACAGTGGAAAACAGTATGGAGGTTTCTCAAAAAACTAAAAATAGAACTGTCATACAATCCAGCAATTATACTCCTGGATATATGTCCAGGATATATATTCACTGGATATAAATTCACTAAAGAATATAAATTTACTATTTTGAGGAGACAGCTATATTTCCATGTTCACTGAAGCCTTATTCACAGTAGCCAAGATATACAACCTAAATGTCTGTCAGCAGATGAATAAAGAAAATTATATAGATAGGTAAATACACTGACAGACAGAAAGAACAGAATATTATTCAGCCTTAAGAAAAGAAGGGGTCTTCCCTGGTGGTCCAGGGATTAAGAATCCACCTTCCAGGGAGGGGGCGTGGGTTCCATCTCTGGTTGGGGAACTAAGATCCCACATGCCAAGTGGCACAGACAAGAAAAAAGAAGTAAATTCTGTCATATACAACAACAGGGATGAACCTGGAGAACATTATGCTAGGTAAAATAAGGAGACACAGAAAGACAAATACTTCATGATCTCACTAATACATGGAATCTAAGATAGTCAAACTCACAGAAGCAGAGACCAGACTACAACAGTGCTTGCCAGTAACTGGGTGAAGGGGAAAATAAGGAGATGTTTACCAAAGGACACTTCCAAAGATTCAGTTATGCAAGGTGAATAAGTTCTGGTGCAGTACTATACGGTACACCTGAAATCTGCTAAGAGGGTAGATCTTAAACTTCCTGAAAGAAAGTGAGAAAGGAGGGAAGGAAGGAAGGGAAAGGAAACATTATCTATGTGAAGTGATGGATATGTTAATTAGCTTGACAGTGGTAATTAATTCACAGTATATGTATATAAAAATATCAAATTGTAAATCTTAAATATATATAATTTTATTTGTCAACTATACCTCAATAAAGTTAAAAAAAATAGCTTTTAAAAGAACATCAGTATAAGACTGAAGTGTTTCTTTAAGAGAATGCAGAGAAGACAATAATACTAAGCTGAGTCGAGATACCCTATGGAAGGTATTTCATACCAAACTAGCTAAAGATGAAATAAATGTTAGGGCAAGAGAAATATAACTTGCCCAATAAAACAAATCAGAAAACTTTGCCAACTGCAATACAACCAAAATTAATTGAATTCACTTAGGAAAGTTTTCTGGAATTTGGGAGAAAAAGTATGCACAAATTACTGAAGACTACACCTTTGTACAGGTCTTATTAGGAATAAAAGGAAAATCAAGATAACTAATATTAAATTTAAAGGAAAAGATTCTTTGGAAAAACAAATGTTGAAGGATATAAAATACTTGCTGAGAAGTATAGCCAAGAAGAAATTATGAACATTCACTTAATATGAGTAGTGGTAATAAGACTACATAACAGTTATTCAGGGTTACTTATATATGTGACACATACAGTATGTGACACTTAAAACTGTCATCAATCCTCAGGGTGACCTGCCCAATAGATAGTATCCCTCTCTTACCAATAAGGAAACTGAGGTCAGGAAAGATTGACTCTCCATTAAGGCCACACATTTAGAAGCTCAGTTTAAACCCAGTTTCCAAACTGGTTTTCTTTTTTTGCCAGTACCACACTGGTTCTCACTTGGAGAAAATAATTAAAATTGAAATGACACAGACATATAATTTCTTTACAATTTTGGTTGTGTTAGACACAAACAAGGGGATTTAAAATGTGTACAAAACATAATTTTTAAATACATATGATTAAAACCTAGAAGATTAAAATAATACGATGAAGACTATGACAGATAAAAGGGACAAGAGAAATCAACAGGATAGCTATTTAAGTGTCAGACTTTGGGGGACAGAAATACTTTAAATTCACATAAATTTAAAGGCTTCACATAAATCTCAAACCATCAATGCTTCCTTTCTTTGTTTAATAAGTTGCATGTACAGTGCCAAGCCCCTTGCAATCCTAGAAGGGGACTATGTCTGTTCTACAAGTGTACGTACTGCTTCAAAAGGATGAAGGGATTTACCTGGTAGTCTTCAGGACTGAATGCTGTCAGTGACACTGTTCTATATTCTGCTATAACGCTCCCCAGGAGCCCTTGTGCGCGGACAACCAACAACCTAACTTCTCCATCTTCCTCCTGCACGGTGACGTGGGGAACACCGCGTGCAGGTAGGGTCATTGGGTCCTCAGGCTGCGGAGGCGGCCCAGTGGAGAACTGTAGCAAGCCTGGCAGATACAAAGAGAAATGGCATATTTGCCCCAGTTATCTGTGGAAGAATTTCATACGCACTTGAAACAATCTTACACAATTATTTTGATCACCAGGATAAAATTCAGAGGGCTCTCCTTTAGAAAAGACCTCAGTGACGATTTGATTAACATGCTTTTGACACAGAATATGGTAGGAAGTTTTCAGGATATTAAAAACTAAACGGACAATTTTCCTTGTCTCTACCCAAAGAAAACTTTTTTTAAAGGAAACTTCAATAAAAAGAACAGCGATGGAGTTTTACAATATATATTATCACACATTTATTCGTATTTGTCTCTAGAATTCATCCTTAAACATACAGCAAAACAAAATTAATGGCACCCCAAAGGACTCGCAATTCATTTTTTTTTTAATTTAAGTATGAAAATGGGTTGAAGAACTTCCCAGGTTTCCTACACAGACTTTTTTATTGGATGCTTTCCTGCAAAAGAAATACTACTTTTCACTGCAGAAAACAGTCTCAACTTATTATAACAGACATCTGTTATAGTCGCCCAACTAAGAAAATTATCCCTTTTCAGCATAAGACAAGAAGAAATTAATATAAACAGACAGTGATAACTCTACTTTTTGAGATCTAATAAAACATAAATTACAATGTACTTCAACCAGGTGTTAACATATCACAGTAGGATAATTTTTAAAACTAAAACTTTTGATAGCCATGAATAAAAATACTTTTATTTCCATTTAAAATAATCCTGCATATACTTTATAAAATATATTCTTTAACTTTAGAAACTGATTATTGTATTTCATAAACACCATCCCTCAAAATGGCAGCTTAGAAGTTCAAGAGCTTAGAAGGTTACAGATCCAAAGAAGGTCTACTTCAATCATTTTGCAAAAGTCCCTTAAACTCTTAACAAGAACAAGTATACCCAGAGAAGGGAAGACTATTCTTGCACAAGGGCGTGGTTACCATATGGATGATCACTAGCTTTGATGGTGATATCTGTTGTTTCCTTTTCAGGGTCTATGCTTGCACCACTGGTGGGAGTTGAACCTATTTTCCCATCTCCAGGAATCGCAGAAACCAAGGTCACCCGGAAATACTCATTAAGCTCAGGAATATCATCATCAAGGACATAAATATTCAGGACCTTTAAACACAAAAATCCAGAGGCAATAAGCAATGACAAGTAGAATAAACAAGTGGAAATTATTTACCACTCACCAGAAGAAAATAAAGCAGCCAGCTGAAGTTACTTCCTAACATGAGAGATTTCTACAAAAACTTAAACATTAAAACACAGAGTGAGAGAGAGAGAGAGAAAGATCTGAGAAATTAATTCTTTAATCAATAATGGGTACTGAACAGTAATATTTTCTGTATAAAAATATCCTAGTTATGTATTAATATCATAGCATATGTGATATAGTGATATACCCGTATCATATATTCCTTGTACCAAAGACAGCAGTATTACCAACCTCAGGGTATAGAATTCCTACTTAAGGGAATGCACGTTATCTGTTAGGATGTGGTAGGATTGTAGGAAAGGACAATATGTCTAGTTACTGCCTAAGGAAAGTCTGACATACCTAGAGGTAGCATGCTAGAAAACAGATTTACAATAGACCCTAGAAGGCTGGCATACACAAACTGCCCAAAAAACATTTGGAAAAGAAACAGCAATAATTCAGCCATGCTCAGCAAAACATAAGTCAAAATTTGAAGTGAAAAAATGATTCCTCTCTCTTTTACTAACTAAACAAGCATGTTGACATCTACAATGGGCAATTTCTAGTCCAGAGACTGAAGACTTGTCTGTAGGAGAGAGACCTGTGGAAAAACATTTAAAATGCAATGTAAAAATGTCATAGAGTTATGTACAAAATAAACTGAGAACAAAACAATCAGCTCTACCCGTGTCTCCTGCGTTGCATTTCCCGTATTGTAGGTGGTTTCTTTTCCCCTGAGCCACCAGGGAAGCCTCTGCCTAGTAAAGGTTTTACAATAGACAGGTTTGAAGCAAGTCTTAATGAATTAGTTGTAGTTGTAAGTAATAATAGGGGAAGGGCAAGTAAAAGAAACAAGAGCATGAAAGAATAAGATATCTTGGGAACTACAATTAGACACTAAGGCTGGATGGATAAACAGAGGTCAAGATTATAGGGACCTGTCATGGTATCATCAGAAAAATGAACTTCATTCCATAGAGAGTAAAGCAAAACTGAAGAATCATAAACAGGAGACAGATAAAATGAGAATTACACTTCAGCATCAGTACCAAGGCAGAATGTGAACAGAGTGGACAGAACCAGAAGGGGTGCAAAAGTTAGGAGGTGATGGACCAGAAATACCGAGGTTCTAAACTAGTACAGGGACAAAGGAGATGAGAAAGAGAGGTGGATTTGAGATTTGTTCTGGGGACAAAAGACCCAGATCTTAAAGACTCAGCATAGGGAGTGAGGGACAGGAAGGAATGACATATGATTTCCTGGTTTCTTCAAGAAAGGAAGGTGACAAACGTCTGAAAACAGACTGTAGCTCCAAATGCAAGTTTCAAACACTAGTCACTGGGCCTGAAATTATTTGGAGAGCCTTTTTTTAAATGTAGTTTTTGTACCACTAGGCCCAAGGTAGAATCTGAATTTGGTTTTGATGTTCATTTTGATCAGAATTTTAATTAATAAAGTAATATATGGAATGGTCAATGTGCTCAGATATTCTACTCAAATATTGTCATTGTTCTTGAGCTAGAGAAAACAAAAAGTAGACTTAAGATTTAACACATCTTGCCCCCAGAAAGCAAGCTGACAAATGTTACTATGAAAAGCAACACCAAATCATCAAGCTGTCCATTAAAAATGAAGCAATTAATATTTTTTCAAGCAATGAATGATACCAATGTAACTGCTCATTCTAGTGAAATGAAGACTTTCAAACTGAAGACCATATCAAACTATAAATGTATTTCATACAGTGACTTTATTATGCTATACACTCTACTTTCTATTTTTTAAATCTTGATCATAACTCCCTAAACTGATTTCATAACTAACAGACCACTTAAAAACACTTGAAAAACACATTTCTATTTTAAGTTCTTGCATTGTGGCAAACACAAACACACACTTTAAGACTCTCTGGCAGCTAGGTTTCTGGGTGCAATTTAAGTATACTTAATTAAATACACTCCCTCAGATATCTAGAAAGCAACAGCAAAACTACTGCTGTCTGTGCTACAAAGCACAGTGTTAGAGCATCAGCAGACACCCCAGGATTCAGTCTCTGGCTTGGTAAGACTGAGAGGCTGCTGTAGATTCAGCAGGTATAGTGCTGTAAACCAACACCTTTATTCAGTGTTATTACTGTTGCTTTAAAGGTCAATTTATTTTTTAAAGAACTTTTCAAATGATCAAAGAAAATACATTAAATAAATCTTGACAGCAGCATATATGACTATTTACCTAACCAAAATCTTATTTATTAACTCTTATCTTTTCCAAAATATACATGAACCCACTTTATAAAACAGTGGTTCCCAGTTACACTTTTATTTCATAGTTGGTAAATTTTCCAATAGAAAAATTTGAGGATCAACTCTGTTTTCCAAAGAGGAACATTAAAAATTCACCGCATACTGTTATTATTACTTGATTTGAGTATTTCAAATCCAAAAAAGAAGTGAAAAAAGCATCAGAAAATAGTCCTTTAAATTGAATGATCTCAGCCTCATGAAAGCTTACTAGTGTCCTCCTATTCCTCATTTTATCGAATATCAGTAAAAATATTTATCATCACTCTCTCTTCAGACTGCCTTTGGGGAAGTTTTGTTTTAACATTTTTCCTTCTTTCCCCAAAGTATAGATATTTGGCCACTCTTCTTGAGCTTTAACTCTTTAAATCTTAAGAATAGTTCAAGTTTGCCCTAATTTTATCTTTTTCATCCAGTCAATGCCTAAGTCCCTTAAAAATTTCTTCAAAGATTACATTTGCAAGTCTTAAATTATTCTATTTATCACTGTTGACCTATAAGCTATCTACATTTCTAATAAAATATTACACTGATATGAATATTCCAACATACTAGACTAATAGAAAGTAAGAAAATTTTTGATATAAGAGAAGGTCTCATTTTGATTTCACTTATTAAGAAGTGTCACTTATTTCTGAAGTATATATTCAGAAATCAGACTCTAGTTCACAGCAAGTTTTTGAGAAAACTTGCTTGATTTTTTACTTTCAAAACAAAGGAAAATTACCTATTTTTCCAAATTTAAAAATAAAATGAGATTACAGTTAAAATAATTCCTCTTGGCTGACTGAAAGAATTCTTAAGTGTTGAATTTTTAAGTATTAAGAATTTTGCAGTTTCTCTCTGTATTGGTAATAAGTAATGATAAACCTTCATGCTATACCATTTTTATTACACATATATTAAAGAATAGATAAAACTCTAACTGGTGGCTCAGTGGTAAAGAACCCACCTGCCAATGCAGGAGAGGCAAGGGAAGATGCCCTGGAGAAGGAAACGGAGGAAACCCACTCCTGTATTCTTGCCTGGGAAATCCTTTGGACAGAGGAGTATGTGGGCTACAGTCCACGGGACCACTAGAGTCAGACTCAACTTGGCAACTGAACAACAGTGACAAAACTATAACACACGTTATTCAACATTCTTAATGTTTCTTTTAAAGAAATAAATACAAAAATATCTTAGACAACGAGATATACCTAATCACCTAAATATTCCAAATTGCTTAAAAAGCAGGATGCTAAAAATGAATTACACAACAAATGGATAAGGAGAAGCTTCCCAAGAGGTTTTCAAAGAAAGAAAAGAAGATAGGGTTTACCTCTGATCTCTGCCAAGGAAGGAACATGATACTTCCACTGGCATTAGCAAAATCATCAACAAGGTAATTAACACCATCAGATTCGATCTGTGAGATAGTGTAAAAAACATGCACATAATCCAGAGCTCCTCTGGTTCGCTCCACTACACATGAAATGGTGGATCCCTCCTCTGCAATCTGAAATTGAACATAAACTCACTGTAAGTATATACTGATTCAAATCAGTGATAAAATTACAAATGAATTCATGAAATTCTTTCACCATAAACTTAGTTCTGTAACTTTCTACATCTGTAAGGAGGCCTCTACATTCTTCCAGAAATATCTCTGATTGCTAAAAAATATTTACAATCATTGGTTTTTTGGTTCACTCCTTTAAAAGGATAAATAAAGGCAAAACAGCAATAATTAACTATACCATGTAATTCATTCATTGAAACCTCTCGGGTCCGGCACTGTGTTAGTTTTTTGTATGTTTGTTTGTTTGTTTTTAGTACAACCCTTTTTCCAGGTAAGTCTAAAGAGGAAAACAAACTCATGATTTTATGATGAGTTTAGCACTGAAGTTAAGGGTAGAGAGTGGAACATGACATCACAGAGAACTTTTTAGGCATAAACATAAGAAGTAATCAGGAGAATCTGGTGAAATCATTTGGAGGTGATACAAACTATCCAGTGGGGAGAACCTTGAAAAATTCCTGGTGGGAGGACAATGGTCAGGTAAAGGAGGGCACTGATACTGTAATTAATATCTTTTTGCTATTTCTGACACAAATACATATGTGTGTTTACATACACGTGTGTGCATTTTTTCCTGTGGAAAGCATTTTTATCTATATTTTAAGATAGTGTTTAGTAATTACATGGAGCAGGAAATTGGAATATCTTTAAGGTCTTCATATTCTTGTTCTCCCAATTCTATTTTTATAGTATCAAATACATAACTCATAGAAAAAAAGAACTAAAACTGAATAAACAGAGCTCAAACTATAAATCTTAATATACAATGTCATTTAAAAATTTTTCATATCAATCTTAAGCACCTCTGATCAACATTAAATAGTTATTTTGGTGCTAACATCAGAGCTGAAGAAAACGGACTTGAAATTTGTCTGCTAACAGGCAACAGTCAGTTATCAAGGAGCACGGAAACACTAGTTGTTGTTCCAGTAAACCCTCTGAGTTTCACTGAGCATCAACACCCCTACTGCCTCAAGGTAAAGAAGATCAAGCATCCCAGGGAGCAGTATTGTGTAACTCCTTTATTTGCCGGCTCATCCACTAGCATAAGAAATGCAAAACGACCATATGGTTGTTCAGAAACAGCCTTTAGTCTGTTTCCTGATGGACATATTCTATCTCCTGGTCCAACCAGAACTTCTAATCCAGTGGAGCCTAAAACATGGGAGCAGGAGGTGCCAGAGATTCAGTCCTACTGCTCCCTCTTGCTTCCTATGCTCATGTGGTCTAATCTCTGGAGACACAGAAATAGACATCAGCCACTGGGCACACACACACAGCACCCAACCCTTCAGGATGTCGTCCCTGAGCTGGTACTTTGGCTGAGTCTTCAACAGAACGTTCCCCTGTTACACTAGGCCCACCGCTTCAGGTGATGTCGTATAATACATACACAGATGGCGGAATGTTAGCCATAAAAAAGAATGAAATACTGTCATTTGCAGCAACATGGACAGACCTAGAGATTATCATACTAAGAGAAGTAAGTCAGAGAAAGATATTATATGTCATCAATTATATGTGGAATCTAAAAAGTAATACAGATAAACTTATTTACAAAACAGAAACAGGAAACTCCCTGATGTTCCAGTGGTTAAGAATCAGGCTTTCACTATCATGGGCCCAGATTCAACCCCTGGGCAAGGAACTAAGATTCTACAAGCTGTGTGGTGCTGGGAAGAAAAGCCAGAAACAGACTCACAGACACAGAAAGCTTATGGCTACCCAAGGGGGAAGGGCGTAAGAACAAGTTAGGAGTATGAGATGAACAGACACACACCACCATATACAAAATAAACAACAAGGATTTACTGTATAGCGCAGGGAACTACTTCATGCAAAGATGAGCTCAAAAAAGGACAGAAAGGGTATGGACCTAAGAGAAGTAGAAGATATTAAGAAAAGGTGGCAAGAATACACAGAAGAACTGTACAAAAAAGATCTTCACGACCCAGATGATCACGATGGTGTGATTACTCACCTAGAGCCAGACATCCTGGAATGTGAAGTCCAGTGGGCCTTAGGAAGCATCACTATGAACAAACCTAGTGGAGATGATGGAATTCCAGTTGAGCTATTTGAAATCCTAAAAGATGATGCTGTGAAAGTGCTGCACTCAATATGACAGCAAATTAGGAAAACTCAGCAGTGGCCACAGGACTGGAAAAGGTCAGTTTTCATTCCAACCCCTAAGAAAGGCAATGCCAAAGAACGCTCAAACTACCACACAGTTGTACTTATCTCACACACTAGTCAAGTAATGCTCAAAATTCTCCAAGCCAGGCTTCATTCAACTGTACATGAACTGTGAACTTCCAGATTCTCAAGCCGGTTTTAGAAAAGGCAGAGGAACCACAGATCAAATTGCCATCATCTGCTGGATCATCAAAAAAGCAAGAGAGTTCCAGTAAAACATCTATTTCTGCTTTATTGACTATGCCAAAGCCTTTGACTGTGTGGATCACAATAAACTGTGGAAAATTCTGAAAGAGATGGGAATACCAGACCACCTGACCTGCCTCTTGAGAAACCTGTACGCAGGTCAGGAAACTACAGTTAGAACTGGACATGGAACAATGGACTGGTTCCAAATAGGAAAAGGAGTATGTCAAGTCTGTATATTGTCACCCTGCTTATTTAACTTATATGCAGAGTACATCATGAGAAACGCTGGGCTGGAGGAAGCACCAGCTGGAATCAAGACTGCTAGGAGAAATATCAGTAACCTCAGATATGCAGATGACACCACCCTTATGGCAGAAAGTGAAGAGGAACTAAAAAGCCTCTTGATGAAAGTGAAAGAGGAGAGTGAAAAAGTTGCCTTAAAGCTCAACATTCAGAAAACTAAGATCATGGCATCTGGTCCCATCACTTCACGGGAAATAGATGGGGAAACAGTGGAAACAGTGTCAGACTTTATTTTTGGGGGCTCCAAAATGACTGCAGATGGTGACTGCAGCCATGAAATTAAAAGATGCTTACTCCTTAGAAGGAAAGTTATGACCAACCTAGACAGCATATTAAAAAGCAGAGAGACATTACTTTGCCAACAAAGGTCCGTCTAGTCAAGGCTATGGTTTTTTCAGTAGTCATGTATGGATGTGACAGTTGGACTATAAAGAAAGCTGAGCGCCGAAGAATTGATGCTTTTGAATTGTGGTGTTGGAGAAGACTCTTGAGAGTCCCTTGGCCTGCAAGGAGATCCAACCAGTCCATCCTAAAGGAGATCAGTCCTGGGTGTTCATTGGAAGGACTGATGCTGAAGCTGAAACTCCAATACTCTGGCCACCTGATGCAAAGAGCTGACTCACTAGCAAAGACCCTGATGCTGGGAAATATTGAGGGCAGGAGGAAAAGGGGACGACAGAGGATGAGATGGTTGGATGGCATCACCGACTCAATGGACATGAGTTTGGGTAAATTCCGGGACTTGGTGATGGAGAGGGAGGCCTGGCATGCTGTGGTTCATGAGGTCACAAAGAGTTGGACACGACTGAGCAACTGAACTGAACTGAACAGGAAACTATATTCAATATCTTGTAATAACCCATAGCGGAAAAGAATCTTATTCAGTGTAACTCAATCACTTTGCCATATGTGTGAAATTAACACGTACTTATAAAAGTATTATAAATCAACTACAGTTTAGTTTAAAAACTGGTATTTCAAAAAAAAAAAACCTGGTATTTTGAGGCCATAAACAAATGGTATATTTTAATGTCATGACATAAATGGTATGTAAAGACTGGATGAGACAATAGAGAAATAAACCTAGATAGAAAAGGACCAAGTACAATCAGGTCTGAAGTAATCCTGGTTTTGAAATGAGTATCCCAATACAACTGACATATCAGAAAGCATTCTAAACATAACATGGATTTCACATTTATTTATGTAAAACTTCATCCGTTAGAAACATGGCAAACACAGAAAATTGCACCACCTGAAACAAGCTACATGGGCATACACATCTTCCAGTTACCTCAGTTCAGCGTGTGTGTTATCAGCCATTTACCTGCATCCAATATGACAACTTTCCCTCCGATTTCAAATAACCCTCCTTCTATCACTTAACTGCACTTTCCCCACTTTTACAAACACACTTAACATTTTTTTAAGGTATACATGCCATACTTAATAAGCATATTTAAGACTTAAAAACATTATGTAAACCTATTCTTTATTAGGTCCCTACATTTCAATTTTTCTACTACTGACCAATTTAGGGGGTTGTGTTCTCCTAACCCATCTTTCTCCTAAGTTCTGTGTTTTTCATTATGTGATTTGCCATATGCAGCGATTTTTAGGAACCCATCAATCATGCTATGTGAGAACTAACGTATTCTGAATGTAGGGCTCGCCAAGCCTAAGAGGCTGGAGGGAAGAACAACAGACTGAAGCAGGTGTTTAACACAGGACCTAATTTAGACATTAACATCAGCGTGCTCATCACAGCCAAATGGTGCACAAACACATGTGTGCTGGAAAGAGCACGGCTCTGAGGTCACTCAGTCCTGGTTGACTGTTTCACTCTGTCATTTACCAAGCAGCCTCAGTCTCAATGATCTCTTCTTAGAATGAAGATCACAAAGTCTCATGGGTTTTGGTGAAGGTTAAACAAGTGCTTTACATGATCCCTAGTAATATAGTTAAGTGCTAAGAAAAAAAACCCTTACATTTCTTCCCCTTATGTTGCAACCCCCTGGACTGTACCCCGACAGGTTCCTCTGTCCATGGGGATTCTCCAGACAAGAATACTGGAGTGGGTTGCCATGCCCTCCTCCAGGGGATCTTCCCAACCCAGGGATCGAACCCAGGTCTCTCATATTGCAGACAGATCCTTTACCATTTGAGCCACCAGTGAAATCCAAGACATAGATTCAGTTCAGTTCAGTTCAGTCGCTCAGTTGTGTCCAACTCTGAGACCCCATGAATCA